TTTCATTGATATTTAAATATATCTTACTGTACTATGGAAGAATATTTACACACATTACTTCACTATTCATGGATATTTACACACACCTTATTATATTGTGGATGGAATTCAGAAACACCTTACTGTACATTGAATGGACATTTGCACCACACCTCACTGTACAGTGGATGGACATTAACACTACACCTTACTGTAATTTTGATGGGCATTTTTACTCAATCCAATGCACATTAAGGTGTGTGAATGTCCATCCAAAGTGCAGTACGGTGTGTGCATGTCCATCCACTGTACAGTAAGGTGTGTGAATGTCTATCCACTGTACATTAAGGTGTGTGAATGTACATCCACTGTACAGTGTGTGTGAATGTCCATCCACTGCACAGTAAGGTGTGTGAATGTCCATCCACTGCACAGTAAGGTGTGTGAATGTCCATCCACTGCACAGTAAGGTGTGTGAATGTCCATCCACTGTACATTAAGGTGTGTGTGAATGTCCATCCACAGTACAGTGTGTGTGAATGTCCATCCACTGCACAGTAAGGTGTGTGAATGTCCATCCACTGCACAGTAAGGTGTGTGAATGTCCATCCACTGTACATTAAGGTGTGTGTGAATGTACATCCACTGTACAGTGTGTGTGAATGTCCATCCACTGCACAGTAAGGTGTGTGAATGTCCATCCACAGTACAGTAAGGTGTGTGTGAATGTCCATCCACAGTACATAAATGTGTGTAAATGTCTATCCAATGTACAGTAAGGTGTGTGAATTTCCATCCACTGTACAGTAAGAAGATGTGTGAATGTCCTTCCAATGTACATTAAGGTCAACTGTATAGTAATTTGTGTGAAGTCTATCCACCGTACAGTTAGGTGTGTAAATGATCATCCACTGTACAATTAGGTGTGTAAATATCCGTCCACAGTACAGTAAGGTGTGGTGTGAATGTCCATCCACTGTACATTAAGGTGAGTGAATGTCCATCCACAGTACAGTAAGGAGTCTGAATGTCCATCCAAAGTACAATAAGGTGAAAATGTCTATCCAATGTACAGTAAGGTGTGTGAATTTCCATCCACTGTACAGTAAGATGTGTGAATGTCCTTCCAATGTACATTAAGGTCAACTGTATAGTAATTTGTGTGAAGTCTATCCACCGTACAGTTAGGTGTGTAAATGATCATCCACTGTACAATTAGGTGTGTAAATATCCGTCCACAGTACAGTAAGGTGTGGTGTGAATGTCCATCCACTGTACATTAAGGTGAGTGAATGTCCATCCACAGTACAGAAAGGAGTCTGAATGTCCATCCAAAGTACAATAAGGTGAAAATGTCCATCCACTGTACAGTAAGGTGTGTCTGAATGTCCATCCAAAGTACAATAAGGTGAAAATGTCCATCAACAGTACAGTAAGGTGTATGAATGTCCATCCACAGTACAGTTAGGGGTGAATATAGTAAAGTGTGTAAATGTCCGTCTCAAACGGAACATTTTTGTAAATGTCTGTCCAAAGTAAGTAAAAAGAGGGTATGCGTGTATGTCCATCCACCGTAATGTTGTAAATGGCCGTTGTCAAACATAGTCTGAAGTATTTCCGCTGATTCATGCCACTTCAATTTAATGTGTACAATATGTTATTGGAAAGGCCCTTCTGTGTGGATAAATTACACTATATTTCAGTAGTAATAGCTTGAGTAGGAATCTAATTTACTTGGTTAGCTTCAGCCACAAGACTTTATATGAATAATTTATTTCCTTCAGGTAAGAATATACCTTATGTAATCAATGTTGAATGTATGTTTAGTTTCTGATACTGCAATAGATTTTCTCCGGAATAATATATATTTCAGGGTTTCCTCAGCTAATCTGGTTGTACAAACAAACTTTCGAAAAAAAGCGTAACAGGCTGACTAATCTATAGTTGACAGAATGTGGGTTTTTCCAAGCTCATCCCCAGGTACACACAAACTTTTACCGTTATAAATTTACGGTGCACTACCGGTCACAATAGATTAACAAAAACCATGCTTATTATGACTTCCCCATTTTTCAATTCATTATTATATAGGGACATTTTTCTGACAATGGAAATCGATGTTAGTCGGTCATTCGTTCGTTCGTTCATACATTCATTCGTTTCTTTGTTTCTTTTTCTCTTTTTTGTTATATCTATCGTTGTTTATTGTTATTATTGTCGTTGTTGTTGTTGTAAGTAAGTTTGTTTTGTTTCTTTTTGTTTCTTAAGGCTAGTTACCTTACTTATGTGACAGATGCAAAAATCTTTTTACAGCATCATGTGTTGTACTGCAACAATAACGTACATGTAAATTCATTCAACAGTTTGTATTTCAATGCTAATAGAATGAAACATCTGTGTTCATCTATAAAATATATTTTAGCAAATGTCTTTGGTTTTACGATACAAATTACATGTATATCTCTATTTATTTTAAGTTTGATGTTACATAAGCATTTCCAATATGTAGTTTTAAATTTCATTTTCTGCATACAAATGTATATGACCTAACATGAATAAACAAATATTTTGTTGTTGTTGTTGTTGTTGTTGTTGCTGTTGCATGATAACCTTACTTTTTTAACTTCGTAAAAACAAGATGAATATTTACTTTGCTATACTGTGTGAAAAAGGGGAACCTATGTTCGAGCCGTCAGTATTTAGCCATATTAAAAGATGAACAGTCCATTTAAGATATTTTGCATGGTTCGAATTAATCATATTTGTCTTGTTGACATTAGCGGCGGAATAGCTATTTGTTACTCTTACAAATGTTACGCTGGCGATATGCAATCACCTAATTATTGCCCTAGATTTCTATCAAATAGCGACATCAGCGCCGAAGTGGATGTGTCAACTACGACGTGGTGTATGTGATAACTGCGACGTAGAGAATGTGATAACTGCGCCGTGGTGAATGTGATAACTGCGCCGTGGTGTATGCTATAACTGCGCCGTGGTGAATGTGATAACTGCGCCGTGGTGAATGTGAAAACTGCGACGTAGAGAATGTGATAAATGCGACGTAGAGAATGTGAAAACTGCGACGTAAAGAATGTGATAATTGCGCCGTGGTGAATGTGATAACTGCGTCGTGGTGTATGTGATAACTGCGCCGTGGTGTATGCGATAACTGCGCCGTGGTGAATGTGATAACTGCGACGTAGAGAATGTGATAAATGCGACGTAGAGAATGTACTTACTGCGACGTAGAGAATGTGATAACTGCGTCGTGGTGTATGTGATAACTGCGCCGTGGTTTATATGATAACTGCGCCGTGGTGAATGTGAAAACTGCGACGTAAGTATGTGATAACTGCGCCGTAGTGTATGCGATAACTGCGCCGTGGTGTATGCGATAACTGCGCCGTGGTGTATGCGATAACTGCGCCGTGGTGTATGCGTTAACAAAACCGTGGTGTATGTGATAACAAAACCGTAGTGTATGCGATTTCTGCGCCGTGGTGAATGTGATAACTACACCGTTATGTATGTGATAACTACACCGTTATGTATGTGATAACTGCGCCGTGGTGTATGCGATAACTGCGCCGTGGTGTATGCGATAACTGCACCGTGGTGAATGAATGTTCCCTTTTTCATCTTCTTTCTTAGTCTCTATTCATAGTGGAATGATAATTTACATCCATTAACAGACCTTTGACTTTCAAAAATAACCCGTCTTTTCGTCGCTTTGTCTGTTTTATATTAGTCTTATGAGCGCCATCAATCATAGCAAAGAAACCACTTCTTAATAAATCTTACCCTAGCTGTTATTGGATGTTGAACCTTAAGTTTTAAAATCTTTATATGCTCTATTACTAGTACATATGCTTTATCAGGACTTTATTATGGCAAAGGGGAAGTTTTAGTTGTTGTGTTTTTATCATGAAACTACACCGTCAATATATGAAATATGATCAACCTTGCCAAGGACGATAACAAAATAATTTAACGCACAGGAAAAGGAAAAAACATGTAATAGCTTTGAATACGTAAACACCGGATATGCCCTATACACCCGGTTTCATGTGCGGGAGAATCAATACTTAAAGCATTACAAGTGACTAGATACAAAAGTTATTGTCAATGTCATCAGAATGAATACATGTTTAACTTCAAAAACAAAATCATTAATGTAAACAAAATTATCGGTCTATTTCAAACAGATCTAAATTAAGACAGGGGTATTTTATTTGAAGAACTAGCACGGTTTTTCATATCATGCCTGATATATAGTGATACTCTACATAAAAATGTCACTGTTAATATCATTGAAACATGCGTTTTAATGTTTTGCTCTAGAAAATTTGCTTTAACAAACTTTACGGTGTTATCTTAATGAAAAATCACTTATTACTATTATAACTAACAAGACAGGATAGTGATCGAAACCTTGACCTCTGCCAGTCGGGGCACAAGCCAAATAACTCATGCAAATCGAGAAACTGTACAAAAGCAAATAGTAAAGTTAAGAGAAAAATCGATTTCACTGTTGTCTTTTATTCATTTACGTATCGATTTTCAGTTCCAATCCATAACAAATTACTTTGAACTTAATCAATAATTAATATCACTACCAGACGACACTGTCGCTTTAAAATGAATATGTCTCATGTATGGAGAAAAAAGGCGCGAAACAGAGGGAAACCTCCAGACGAAAAACAAAACCTAACAACCGCTTCCTCACGTGCAGCGTATATTGTACGTTACTGAATAACTCGTTAAATATATTTGTTTCATTTGATTATTTAATTTAATTATTTATATAATATGAAAGTTGATCTTTACCATAAAAAAGTAATAAAAGAAATTCTGATTGCTGTAAGCTTAGAGTCTGCTTTGAATATGTATTCTTTTATCATTGTCCCACAAAAACAATTACAATGTATCATGAATTTTAAAAAATGCTGTTTCCTTCATTTTAAGTTTTTATTTCATTTTAGATATTGCTAATTATGAAAAAAGGAAGATATACATACTCAGGTGTATAATCCAGGTGTCTACCGTAATGGTTGTGCAATCGTGTAAATCGTTACAACTATTTTAAGCTTAAAACATGCACTAGATATCGATTTGGGTTCATTCGCCTTTGCTACAAACTACGTTTTTAAAACATTGAATAGCCTAATATTCTAACAGGTCTGTAATTAGATATTTTAATCATATCAATTTGTGTACAGACAAGTTTTGCGTACTACTACATAATATACATGTACTTAGGGGGTAGAAATTTGCTGATCATAGTAAACGTTTTCACATTTTGAGATCATGATATGAGCCGCGTCACGACAAAACCAACATAATGGGTTTGCGACCAGCATGGATCCAGACCAGCCTGCGCATCCGCGCAGTCTGATCAGGATCCATGCTGTTCGCTTACCAACTCTATTACAAGTAGAGAAACTGATGGCGAACAGCATGGATCCTGATCAGACTGCGCGGATGCGCAGGCTGGTCTGGATCCATGCTGGTCGCAAAACCATTATGTTGGTGTTGTCATGACGCGGCTCATATTTCTAAAGATATAGATATACTAAGTTAGTCTTTTATTTTACACATCTAGAGGCATGCCACTGGAACCTCTATGCAACTTGAAATTTAAGTGGTAAAAACTTGTGACAGACCGTTTGTTCTATATGTTAGCCTAGTATATTTTAGCATCTTTTTGATGATGCCAAACATCGCGGTACACATTTTCTTCGATATACATATCTGGTACGACTGAGATATTTTGGGGAATTTTGGAAGACGGCATTATTATTGCCTAATTTTATAGCGTTATCCCCATCTATACAAACGCTTTTGTCGAGTTTCGAGAAGCGTCTATCAAATGCTGCAGACCGAATTGAAGATTTTTTTCTTTTCAAAAATATCGATACAAGTTCGTTATGCCTTTGTACTTTTAAGTATAAAAAAGAGGAATGACTGAACATATGTTTTCTATTCAAACAATTCCGTTCGTATTGGTTGCATTAATTACGACAATCATTTTTAAAGATCCTGTATGTTTTGTGATTGATATTGTTACTGTGTGTATACCACACTTTCAAAAAATTATATATGTATATAATTATGCAAATAAAATAATTTTCAAACATCGAAGAATATGTAAAATGTGTACTGCAAATATTTGTGAACATTATATTTAATCAATAAATTATATGCATTCATTTCTTATTGGAAAATTTGAAATAGAATTTATAGAAAATAAATTTCTAATTACCTCCCTTTATTTACATGAAATGATAATTTCGGTAATATCTTTATAAAAATGCTTTTTGGAACTTACAATATTGACAAATCTTAATTTGAGCATCATATTTATGGAATAACAATCACCATTCAATAATGCCATACCTGATTTCACACGAGTATAATAATTCAATGAATTATATATGCTCTATTTTAAATCGTACAGGTAAAATATCGATTATTATAAATGGGAGTACGCCCGGGTAAACAATATACTAGGATAAACCTGTACAAGATGTACCATGGGGGTAAATTGTTGTTTTTTCCTGAATTCTAGGTATGTTTTAAATGTTTAGGTAAAATTTAAAGCCTAAACATATATATATAACAGGACTACTTTGAAGCTGACTAATTTATTTTATTATATTTTGAGATACACAGATTTATATATCAAGTTAACAATCCAATTTCTTAGAAATGCTGTTCCTGGTAATCTATTACAAACAGATTTGATATAAATAAAATATAGATACACATATAGATGAACGTATTTTATCTTGCCATTGCTAAAACGCGTAAGAGTTCTGCAAGTTTCAATACCTATTTCTTCTTCCCGGTCGCCTTTTGTGCTGCCTTCGTGGTTTTTCCTTGCATCTCAGATTTCTGCACCGATTTTATTACACCAACCGCCACGGTCTGTCTCATGTCTCGGACAGCAAACCTCCCCAGTGGGGGATATTCTGAGAAACTCTCGACCACCATCGGTTTAGATGGTACCAACTTTACCATACAAGCATCACCAGATTTGACCATCTTTGGATTCTCTTCCAATACCTTGCCGGATCTACGATCAATCTTTTCCTTGATTTCCTCAAACTTGCAGGCAATGTGTGCCGTGTGACAATCTAAAACCGGGGCATATCCATGATGAATCTCTCCTGGGTGGTTCATGATGATCACCTATAAAACAAAGCAAACTATTAACCGTGAGTACAGCGTTAATCAGAATGTATACTAGTATTTAATTGATTTGACAGTAATTGTTCTTTACTGTACTCTTGTACTTGTGCATTGTATTCGTGTATTGTACTCAGTGTATAGTTCTCAGTGTATTGTACTCAGCGTATTGTACTCGGTGTATTGTACTTGTGCATTGTATTCGTGTATTGTACTCAATGTTTTGTACTCGGTGTATTGTACTCAGTGTATTGTATTTGGTGTATTGTACTCGGTGTTTTTGAACTCGGAGTATTGTACTTAATGTATTGTTCTCAGTGTATTGTACTCAGTGTATTGTGCTCCGTGTATTATACTCGGTGTATTGTACTCAGTGTATTGTCACGGTGTATTGTACTCAGGGTATTGTACACAGTGCATTGTTCTCAGTGCATTGTACCGGTGTATTGTACTTGGTGTATTTGAACTGGGTGTGTTGTGCTCGGTGTATTTGAACTCGATGTAATGTACTCGGTATATACGCAATGTAATGTACTCGGTGTATTGTACCCAGTGTAATGTATTCGGTGTATTGTACTCGATGTATTGTACTCAGTGTATTGTACTCGGTGTATTGTACTCAGTGAAATGTACTCAGCGTATTTACAGAGTGTATTGTACCCGGTGTGTTATACTCGGTGTGTATTGTACTCGGTTTATTGTACTCAGTGTATTGTACTCCGTGTATTGTACTCGGTATTGTACAAGATAATTGTTAAGCAACAATATATTATTTGTAGTAAAGTACTTAACTGTAGATATAGAAAATATTTCTTAAATACCTGTGCAACAAAACTACTCGCTCCTTTTGGGGGATCATTCTTTGAATCACCGCAAACATTTCCTCTCTTTATATCTTTAATAGATACATTCTTTACATTAAACCCCACGTTGTCACCTGGCAGAGCCTCGGTCAAGGCTTCATGGTGCATTTCAACCGACTTGACCTCAGTGGTAAGTTGTACAGGAGCAAAGGTTACCACCATGCCAGGTTTGATAACTCCCGTTTCAACACGCCCAACCGGAACAGTTCCTATTCCTAAAACATCGCAAAGCAATTGATATTATATCATTAACTATAGTACAATTTTATGTAAATAGGGGATTTGTTCACCAAAGATTAAAATTATTTACAAAAAAAAATGTAGTTTTCAATTTTTCTAATTTTTTTTGTAAAACTAATGTATCATAGTGAGAAGATTTCTAAACATTTAGTGACTATTATATTATAAATTAAGATTAGGTTCTGTCATTACCTCCGATCTTGTACACATCTTGAAGAGGAAGTCGTAATGGTTTATCTGTTGGTCGAGCCGGAGACTGGATAGAATCCAATGCCTCAAGGAGGGTCTTTCCCGACGACTGAATAATTTTTCCAGTGACAGGCTCCTTCTTCTCAACAGACCATCCTTTGTACCAGGGCATGTTGTTAGATGGTTCAATCATGTTATCACCGTGCCAACCGGAAATAGGTACAACTGCTACTTCCTTCGGATTATAACCAACCTTTTTCACGTATGCACTAACTTCTTTTGTTATTTCATTGAATCTCGCCTGGACAAAAATAAAACAATTTATTTTATTTATTGTTTTGTTATCGCATTCTAAAAAAGCAGTCATTATACATCTGCCATTATCATTATTCTGCGATAATTTTATGCAACAATTTGTAGACATTATTTCCAAAATATCAAGCGCCCATACATGTACAAATGAAGCAGCTTTCCCAGGGTGAATTTTGTAGATCGTTCAAATTTTATACCGACTTAAATTCAGGTTAAATTTATAAAATAAATATATTTGTAATATTCACTTTGACGTCTTTACGTCAAGCTGTATATGAAATTTTATAAACGCAAACCTCAGAGTACGGTGGTTCCGTGTTGTCAATCTTATTTACACCAATTATCATTTGTTTCACACCAAGGGTGTAAGCCAACAGGGCGTGCTCTCTTGTTTGACCGTTCTTTGAGATTCCCGCTTCAAACTCTCCAGTACTGGAGGCGACAATCAATACAGCGCAGTCAGCTTGTGAAGTTCCTTTTCAAACACAAATTATTCCAAATCTTTATAATTATATTACATTCAACAATCTATATCTTATATCAAACGAAGTGTAGTCTACGATATTTGTATAATATTTAAGTCACAGATAATGGTAAACAATGTATTTGTCTTATTTGCCCTCTTTCCCCTCGCTCTCTTGCGTAATGATATCAGTCTATCATGATTTCAAAGGTCAAAAGTTGTCATTAACCTGAATAAGACTTACATAAACATCTGTTTTATACCTGTGATCATGTTTTCTATTCCTGTGATCATATTATTTACCTGTTAACATACCTGTGATCATGTTTTAAATACCTGTGATCTCTTATACGGCTGTGATCATGTTTTATATACTTGGTTCATGTTTTATATTCTTATGATCATACTTCTATACCTGTTAACAAACCTGTGATCGTGTTGTATATACCTGTGATCATGTTTTTGATGAAATCACGATGACCCGGTGCGTCAATTATGGTGATGTAGTATTTCGATGTAGTAAATTTCCACAGTGCAATATCGATCGTTATACCACGTTCTCTTTCTGCCTTCAGTTTGTCCAACACCCAGGCATATTTGAAAGATCCTTTGCCCATCTGTATGAAAATATATTGCATACCTGTTTTTGATAATACATTTTCAAACATGCAGGCGCATGTCCAGTAATTTATTCCGGAGGGGGTCGCAAAATTTAAGCAAAGTGTAATACGTGTCCAAAAGGGGTGGGGACAATTACTAATGTTTTCTTTTTTAAAAAGAAGTCCGAGTCAAAAAGAATTTGGTTGAATTGCACTTGTTTTTTGCACTATTTTAACTTGGAAAAAAACACGTAAATTGATATTTGAATGCTTGAGGGATTCCACATACTAGACAAATATTAAAGTGGTATCGTGACTTCATATACCCTGTTACCCTACCCCCGTGGATCCACGAATAATACATGCTTATGGTTATTTAAAGCTCCAGTATTTCAAACCAACATCCAACAATGGTTTATGTGTTTACATTTTCATTTCATAATGAAAATTATCATTTCACAAAATAAAAAATGAAAAACTGAAAGTAAGTATAGCACAACTTAATGATAAAATTTTAACATTACCTCAGCAGCCTCTTTCTCAAATTTCTCAATGGTTCTTTTATCAATACCACCACATTTATAGATCAGGTGACCAGTTGAGGTGGACTTGCCCGAGTCCACATGACCAATCACAACAATGTTGATGTGGACCTTCTCTTTAAACTCTTTAGGAGGCATCTTTTTGTTCTGTGCAACAACCTTCAGTTCTAAAAAATAAAACATATTTTTGTGTGTGAGCACTTTAACAAACATCATTTTTGTAAAATGAATTTAATTCCCTAAAAATTCTTTGATATATATATACTAATGGAGTTCTTGCCCAAGAAAATTTCCATAAATAACCATGGGAATGTTACGGTACGGTGGCACAAAGGTGACATGTGGGTGTTTTTATTTATCTCGTGGCCACGAGATACTATGTCGTGGCCACGAGTTACTAAGTCGTGGCCACGACATGGTATCTCGTGGCCACGACTTAGCTATCTCCTGGCCACGACTTAGTAACTTTTGGCCACAACATAGTATCTCGTGGTCACGACTTAGCTATCTAACTCGTGGCCACGACTAAGCTATCTCGAGGCAACGACTTAGTAACTCGTGGCCACGACAAAGTATCTCGTGGCCACGACTTAGCTATCTAACTCGTGGCCACGACTTAGCTATCTCGTGGCCACGACTTAGTAACTCGTGGCCACGACATAGTATCTCGTGGTCACGACTTAGCTATCTCCTGGCCACGACTTAGTAACTCGTGGCCACGACATAGTATCTCGTGGCCACGAGATAAATAAAAACACACACATGTCACCTTTCTGCCACCGTACGAATCCGTTCCTGGAACCAACCAGAACCTTTCTATTTTATCATGTACACGTATACATGTATATATTATTAGCATTACGTTATGTGGTCAACTATAAACGTCATATGTTAAGGAAATACGTTTTATACACAGCCATATTAACTGACAAATGTCTTTGTGACTAATTCATAAAGGAACTCCGCTATGATCAGTCCGATTTGCAATTTTTGGTCGTTTTCTACAATAATAAAAATCATTCTGGAACGAATGATCACAAGATATTAAACTAGATCTGCATCAAGAAGAACATTTATCATGACAACAAACCTCATTGGAGTCTCTATCATATTAATACTGCACAATAAGTGTTAACTTCGATTAAAACAAAAATTCGTTTATTTACAGCAGTCGTGTATAATTAATACTAAAGTTACAAAATAGTTGAAATTATACCGACCCAACACCATTCCCCCAACCCCACCCCTGCACTCCCACTCCAATCGGATGACTCAAATCAGAATTAAACAAAGCGGCTTAGTAGTATTTATGTCAAAGCATAAATATCAAATAAAATGTAAATTTACTATTTCTAGACATTTTAATGCCGGTACCTATAATACTTTTAGATGATTGGTTCCAACAATAAAAAGTAAGGACTATAAAAAAGAAAACTATGGTTTTGCACAATGTATAGTTTTCATTAAAGAGGTGTATCAGTTATGTAGTTTCAAGCTGATGTGTATAATTATTTTTCAGTTTTGATCAGAGAAATAATAAATGTAAAAAGGGCAATAATAAAAAAAAAGAGACTTATGGGTACTTAACACAGTGCTTCACATAAATGAAATATATTGAACTGTGAAATTTCAAAATGATGTTTTCAATGTTTTATGAGGTATACTGTGGTCTAAAAGTAAGTATGAAAAACTAAAAAGGGCAATAACTCGACGATTATGAAATATAGAGTGAAAGCAGCCTTCTCTTTTTCTAAAGGTTTGTTATATTGTGATAAAAATGATTTTAGAATTACTGGAATGGAACAAAATGTCATCATATTTTATTGTGAGTGGGCATGCGTGAAATCATCGCCAAACCTACTAAAATAGCAACAAAATATTTTATTCTGTTCACATACAATATCCATGTATAGTAATCTTGTGATAAATATTTTAAAAGTTTAAGAAAATAACATAATTTTACAGTTTGTTAGTTTTTATAGAATATTGCATCAGACATACTTGAACAGTTACGCATTACTGGCTATATAAGTATATTTTAAAACATTTGCATGACTTGCAATTGATCACCCGAGACAGAATTTTTGAAATTATCTTCATTTATTACACAATGAAACTTCGCTATGCAAAACCACGCCAGGTCTTACTTGTATATACATGTGTACGTGCATCTTTGCGTACCCGTGAATGCAGACGTTTTAAGAATGACTGTTCAAGACGGCACTCTTTTAAAAATAGTACTGTTCCAAGTTTCAATCATAAAATCTTACACAAATGTACTTATAAATGTTTAACCATATCTTTCTTTCGATTTTTCAAAAAGGATGTAACTTACCTTATTATAATGATTAAAAGCAAACTCTGATCTGTGTGAAAACAATATAAGCTATTAAAAGTAGATTTTTTTCCTAGCATTTGTTTGTTTATTTAAAAGGAATAAAATATACTTAAGGACAACTAAAACGCACGGTCGGGATAATTGGATTTTAACAAGGAAAATATATTTCTTTTAAATATTTTTTCACATTTTCATAAAACCGAATGCATTCCGGTCATTTAGATACCAAAGTTATGAAAATAATTGCATTTTAGTGAAGTTATTGCATAATAAAGACTATGGTGGCATATTTCTGCCAACAGATAACCTGATAACAAACAAGTTAATTAAGAGGTTAACTAGTTACGTAACTAGTTAACCTCTTAATTAACTAGTTAGTTATCAGGTTAACTAGTTACGTAACTAGTTAATTTTTTCAATAAATTAAAGATCATAACGGGAAATAAATGCATGTTAGTGCCTGCAACTGCCATCCTTTTATTATATTATCATCTTAAAATTAAGAGGTTAACTAGTTACGTAACTAGTTAACCTCTTAATTAACTAGTTAATTAATAGGTTAACTAGTTACATAAATACTTAACTAGTTAACCTCTTAATTAACTAGTTAATTATCAGGTTAACTAGTTACGCAAATACCTAACTAGTTAACCTAATAATTAACTAGTTAATTATCAGGTTAACTAGTTACGTAACTAGTTAACCTCTTAATTAACTAGTTAATTATCAGGTTAACTAGTTACGTAACTAGTTAACCTCTTAATTAACTAGTTAACTAGTTAACCAGTTAAGTATTTATGTAACTAGTTAACCTATTAATTAACTAGTTAATTATCAGGTTAACTAGTTACGTAACTAGTTAACCTCTTAATATTAAGCTGACAATAAGGGATGGCAGTTGCGGGCACAAACGTGCATTTATTTCCCGTTATGATCTTTTCTTTATGGAAAAAATTAACTAGTTACGTAACTAGTTAACCTGATAATTAACTAGTTAATTAAGAGGTTAACTAGTTACGTAACTAGTAACTAGTTAATTATCAGGTTATCTGGTGGCAGAAATATGCAACCATAAAAGACAGTACCCGAAAAATGAAAAGTAACACTTTTGGCTAATTGTGATAAGATCACAACAGAAAAACAGATTGAAACAATTCATGGTTACTTTATGAAATGAAATTATTTGATTTTTTAAACTGCTAATTATTAACTTGTTTTTCACACCTTTCTAGAAATGTTAGACACAAATGAGCAATTAAAATCTTTATGAGAATGAATATTAAACTATGCCAATGATCAGTTTTAGAAATCGTAAAAGCTCACATGGAAATTGCATATACAAAATGTACACACTTTTCCTCTATTAAAGGTACTCAATTTCAAACACTACTGATGACTTTGTAGCAAATTGTATGCAATGGTTCTACAAAGAAATAACCGCTGGGTAGATTTAGGACATATTCAGTCTGGTCTATCGTCCACCGTTTTGGTGTCCATCGGTCTACAATATCTCTGCTTCACCAGCGTTTTCGCACTACACTACAGGCCGAATGGCGTCAGATTCCACAGGCGACTATCCGCACCGTAAGGTCTATGAGACAACGATGTACATCTGTAAGAGACGCTGATGGAGGACATTGTCGTTTCTAAAGATCCCGACGGTGACATTACGAATAGACATTTATGAGTGACATTGTTTTGGATTTTCATTTTGGTTTTTGCCTTTGTTAAAGGGACTCCACTATGGTTTAAAAGCAAAAAAAATATTACTTTTGAATTTCTTAAATAAATGAGCTGGGGCACTTTGAACAGAAAGATATGCAAAGATAGTTAACAAATATACTTTGATATAAATTGAAAATCATATTTTTATGCTTTTCTTAGCCCGATTTGAGTGAAAAGTGTTTAAACGATTTTCATTTTGGGTTATTTTTTATAATTTGAATAATTATTCTGGAAAAACGAAGTGTGCGAATTATCTGAAATTTTGCACAAATATTAGTGGTCTTAACCTACATCAAATGGTAAATTTATCTGGAAAAAATATTTTCAGTCCCATCATGTCAAAAAACCTCAGTGGAGTCCCTTTAAGATTTCATTACTGTGATGAAAAAGTGTGATTTTGGGATTTTCACCTTAGGTTCTTCGATTTACTGGTGTACGTTTGATTTCAAATATTTTGAATTATTTTCAGTTGTAAAGTTTACATTTTGTATTAAAGTTATGATATATATCTAATGGAGTCGTTAGTGGTTTGTTTTCATGTAATAAAATGCATATAATGCGGGCGTGCGTTTTCATTGTCCTTAAGTATAAAATATAACCAATGTGAACCTTTTTTATATTAGATATTGTAGCTATCCCACCCACAGAGCAGCAGAATATGAATAATTGTTGACATATGAATAAGAATAAAATTACAAACATATAAATTTAATCCATGTCCAGATTACAAACAAAAAAAAAGAGATTGTCAAAATAAAAAAATTATAAACAAGAAGGAAACTAACCTGCCTTGTTGATGTAATATTCAGAGAACTGGATATATACATATCACAAGTTTCAACCAATTACAAACATTTCGTTTTATGTGCTTACATGCATAAAATGAGGGTTGTCATGAAAGTTATAAAGAAGAACCGCGAATATATGTAACAATATAATATAGAAATATGAGTCAGTGTGAATACATCAAAGACTCGTGATAATTCGGCACGATTCGGCAGTTTCCGTGTCGTTCTATAACACGCAGAAGGATTATCCCAAGAAAAATTTAGAATGCAAAAAAGCAATAATGCACGGACTTCCGCCATTACTGGAACGTCGCAACGTCAACTTATAGATATGATGCATGGAAAATAACGACTTTGGCCGAAATTATACCAGCATTTGATTGAATGAATATTGATTTAACAACCCTTTAAGAGAAATCGAAATAGAAGCTTTTGTGCGACAGATGTTTATTGAACCGTATTATTCAATATAGATGAAATATAATCTTAGCGTGTCATTTATACAATAAACTGTACTTTAATACATATGTACCTGTATACAAACTCTTACTGATTTGAAAGTGGTGATTTTCATTTCAAAAAAAACTAATCCTCTTGAGTTCATGGTAGGTGAACCTTCATGTATAGGTAAATATACTATTGAACTGTCCATGTATGTTGAAAATCATTTATAAAATTAAATGAATAAGAACTGACACAAGGGTCAGTGCGTCCAATGGGTCAAGTCTGTAAAACGATTAAACAGTGAAGAAAATATCTTTTAAAGCAGCACGCCTACAGATTCGAAAGTTTTTAAAATGTGTATAAATATAAAATGGTCTGAAGTGAGCAAAGAAAGTAAAGCGCTTACAATCCACCGAAGGAGGTCCAATTATGAAAAATTGGCCCTTACTGCGTTAGTCACGCAGTAGAAGTGTGATGATAAATACTGCCATCATCAATCATTTATTACACATGAAATGTAAAGTATTACTTGCATCTAGAATATTTTTAATTTTCTTAAAATCTTAGAACATTTTTCTCAAGTTTGATTTCCTTGAAATATTTTGGTTCATCTTGGCGCATGCAGCTTTAAAGAAGCATATCGCCAGCTTTGTACAATAGATATAATATCATAATGCTCAAAAAGCACTGATAATTGATATTGTCAATAAAACACTGGCAGATTTGTTAAGAACAAAATTAATTTGACCACGTACAGGGTAATGCATCTGTCCAAACCTATTTTGTGCATATCTAAATTAGATACATATGTACATTGTATCTGAATTTCCTACCTTGCAATGAATTTCGGCCATAAAAGAATATCACCAAAGATGATAGTATGTATTTATGTTTACAAATGATAATTTAAGAATCTTTGGGATAAAATGGTAAATTCTGTTTTTTTTATTTTGCACTTAATATCGATCTTTGCATTTCTTACACAATGAATGTTTTACTTAGCTTGATTTTTGTATAAAGATTTATTTTTACTCAGATGAGTTATTTAAAATTCTTTAGCAAGTGTTAAGTGTTTGAAATTATTTTAATATACAGCTGACTTACTAGACTGATTAATAGTTTGTAGATATGTTAAAATTCATTTGAAATACTGCAATCATATTGGACAAAAAAAATGATTTCGAACACTAATTTACCTTAGCGATGAAGATTGAACAAAATAAAATTATACATTACAACCTGTGAACAATATGCAACATCAAAGTGACATTTAAAAGACAAAGATTGAGATTCTTGATGAGAGGTGTTGTTCTGGTGGTTAAATTTATTGTAAAGTCTTAAATTACTTAAGAAGACTTGATACTGTTGTTATTGAAGGACCTTTCTACAGAAACTGCATCTTAAAGTTTAACCGATTTATAAGTTTAAATGGATAGGCGCTGATGAAATAACGAGACTATCATCTACCATATGAATCACGTGTAAAGATACGAAAACTGAAGAAATATCACAATATTCTAATTCAGACACTCAAGTTCTTTTTGCTGAAAGAAAAGCCTGCCTTATACACATTTATCGCACATTGGATTGATATGATGAATAATTATCATATTATTTGAAGTAAATGGTTTAAGGTTCATGTATTCAACTTTTAGATAGAGTATGGGTTAATATACAATTTATCGATATTGCTATATATAAATCTGTAATTAAGAGAATAAAGGCTCAAAATAACATAAGATCGAAGAAATTGATAACTATGAAAGGCAGGTGTTATATCGAAATCTATGTCAACTGATATCAAATATCAAATCTTGAGACCCGTTCTGAGGTCACTTGGGTGAGAATGTACGACAATGCCAAGTCAATGGTATCAATATTCAAATTTACATTTACAGCTGTAGTAGTTCAATTTTCAATGTTGTAGCTCTCAATAAAAACAAGAGCTGTCAGTAGGACAGCACGGTGCTTGAATTTGTAAAATTTTCTAAGTTACAGGTAAGGGTAACATTTTTTCTTTAAATCAATGTAACAATTATAGGCCTTGAAAAGAGTCATTCTATGCTTCCAAAGAAGTGTATAAAATTTCAACTTGTTTAAAGCCAGATGTCAATGGACTTTGAAAATACTTGAGGTGGTACGCGCGCGAACTTTAAGTCGTATTTCTAAGTCAAAAGGGGGCATAATTTCGTCAAATGCTTGATAGAGTTATCTTCTCCTGTCTACAGGTTGGGGTCATGGTGTTTAGCAAGTGTGCAAAGTTTCAAAGCCATATGTCAATGGACTTTGAAAATATTTTAGGTATTACAAAAACTTTAACACTAGTTGTTTCGCCGACGCTCAGGTGACAAGTATAGCTCTACTTACTCTTATCGAATAGTTGAGTAAGAAAGTATGTCATTGGGTCAAAATCTAATCAAAGTTCAATTCTGCATCTTAAAATGAGCACACAAAAAACAAATTTCGTAGCTTTTAAAAGCTGTTTACAAAAAGAAAACTACTGGCAACAAATGTAAAAGTTAAATTTTGCATCTACTATCGGCATCTTGTCCAAATTTCATAGCTGCATATTTGAAAACCAAAAGGTAAGTCACATGGTCACCACACCTGGAAGAGGGACTCATTTGATACTAAGGCTATAATTTCTTAAAACTTGGTAAAGGTCCAGCGACAGTATTTCATACCAAGTATCATAGTTCTTGCCCTTGTATATTTAAATTTAACTATATTTATAAAAGGAAAATCATAACCAACAGGGATAGCCAACATTGACTCCATAGCTTTAATTTGAACAAGGATGAAATAGGTCCAATACTTAATGATTAATGCCAAATGTCAAAGCTCTAACCCTTCTTGTTAAGGTATATGTATATATTTATATACTGAAACAAAAAAGAAACTTTCTCCAAGTTTGAATGTAGATATGTTAGAACAGTTTTTCAATCCTTTTGAAACTCGATTTTATACGTTGAATAAACATATCGGGCTTTTATACGGGGATTAGCTGACCGATTTTGAATACAAAACGAGTTTGAGAAGCTACTACATGTATATAAGTGTGTACATCTAAGTGGTACCCTTGAACAACTGGCACATACTTTGCGAAAGTTTTGGCTCAGTATATATATATGGAAAACACATGGTTAACCCCTGGAATGTTATTTGAACGAACTTGGCAGAGGTCAACCAGACAATATTTCATACTCTAGCCCTGTTGTAGTTTTAGACAAGAATTTTACTGTACATATACATGTAGTAAAAACCTAGGACCCTCTTGGGCGGGGCCAATTTCTACCCAGATCTATAATTTTGACTATCCTAGTTAAGTCCACAAGATGTTTCATGTCAAATATCTAAACTGCAGCTTAAGATTTTATGTATGAACAGAAAAACTGACTCGTGGGACACCACAAATTTTAACCCCAGGGCTATAGTTTGACAATGTTGGTGATGTCTTATAAAATGTTTTGCAACAGACATCTGACAACCTCTGTTGGGAGACTTAAATCTTTACTTTATTATAGAGGAAAACTTATGATGCACGACCCTAAGATCCAATTTGATATACAATGTTTTATGCCAAATATCTAATGGGCACTTGCAGTTGGTGAAGATTTTTATAGACTTTTTTCTTTGGTTGCTTCAGCATCTAGAGCTCTGCATAGAATTACATTATTTGAACAACTTTGTAGGCACATTCATGTCAAGGCAATATATTGGCCTTGTGGTTTGTGAGGAAATGTTTCAACTGTTGAAGCATATAAGCAAGACCACAGACAACTACCAACCACAATGGTTATTAACAAGTAAAAGTAACTAAAAAGTAAAGGCTAATTTTAGAACCACAGAGGCCAAAGTCATGTCAAGGTCAAAATAAGTTTGACATACATTAAGGTAGTTTTTATACTTGCTATGGCAAATTATAAATACAACACATACATTAATAACTTCAATTTTAAAATTCAGACAATTTAGTTTCAAGGTAGTTGATGGTTCAAGGTTAAATTTCTTATGGTATGCGCTGAAATGTTAAGTTTCATAAAATTTCAATACAAGAGGGCCGTGATCAGATGACCAGGCCCCAAGGTTATAACACCTTTTCCTGAGATCAAGTTCGAATCTCGAGATTTTCATTAGTCAATTCACCCATTTGTATATACATATAAGGAAATCAAATCTAAGCTCTTGCTCTTTCGGTCTTTAAAGTTTTTACTATAGACCTTCAAAAAAAATCAGACCCCCCAGGGCGGGGCCAATTTTGACCCTGGGGCTTTTATTAGAACAAACTTGGTATACACTCACTGCTTAATATCTAAGCTCTACCTCAGTTTTTTTAACTAGAACTGCCACTATCATGGCGTGAATACCCCCGCATACCACTTTGTCAGAATCAACAGTGGCCATTTAAAGCTCAAGGACAACCTCCCTGTCAAATCTGAGGTTACTAAGCCAGTGCATTGCTAAGTTATGTATTCTACATGCTTCAAATGTGAAAATGTCAAAAACAATACACTGCAGACAGGCATTCTTAAGCAATTGTGGGGAAAAGCTTTTTTTGTCAAGGTCCCTGTGACCCTGACCTTTGATCCAGTGACCTCAAAATCAATAGGGGTCACCTTACGGTCATGATCAACATCTATGCCAAATACGAAGACTGTGGGTCAAAGGAATCTTAAGTTATTGGGCAGACAAACTTTTTGAAGTCAAAGTCCCTGTAACCTTGACCTTTGATCCAGTGACCTCAAAATCAAAAGGGGTCATCTACTAATCATGACTAACCTCCATGCCAAATATGAAGACTGTGGGTCAAAGGAATCTTAAGTTAATGGGCAGACAAGCTTTTTATAGTGAAGGCCCCTGTGACCTTGACCTTTGACCTGGTGACCTCAAAGTCAATAGGGGTCATCTACTAATCATGACTAACCTCCATGCCAAATATGAAGACTGTGGGTCAAAGGAATCTAAAGTTATTGGGCGGACAAGCTTTTTGAAGTCAAGGCCCCTGTGATCTTGACCTTTGACCTGGTGACCTCAAAATCAATGGGAGTCATCTACTAATCATGACTAATCTCCATGCCAAATATGAAGACTGTGGGTCAAAGGAATCTTAAGTTATTGGTCGGACAAGAAAAAACCGCCGGACGGCCGGACAGACGGACAGACAAGCTGATTCCAGTATACAACTTTGTTGTGCGGGGGTATAAAAAAAGATATTTTAAGTTTGTTCCTTTGGTTTTATGGCAACCAAAGTTCTGCATGGAATTAAATTCTTTGAAAAAATTTTTAAAGGTGACCACCAAAGGAACATGCCTGTGAAGTTGGGTTGAGATGTCGTTTCAACGGACAGACGCCGGACAAAAAACCATCACAAAAGCTCACCAGGTCACTTTGTTACAGGCGAGCTAAAAAACAACCAGGCTGGTATGATAGCCTCAAGCAAGTATGCCCCCTTGTAACTTTCATTGTGCACTGCGTATATTTACATACCAAACTGAAATGTCTAGATTTCTGAAAATTTGTTTTTCATATATAATTAAAGAAAAAGATGTTTTTAACTAACGTTTTATTTTCTATATATTGTATGTGCCAAAACATGGCAAGTGAAGATGACAATGGTAAATTTACAATGGCACCTGAAATTTTTTATGTATTACATTCTTGGAGCCTACTCTTTGTTCCATCAAGTATTGTTGTCAATGAACTTATTTCCAGTTTAGCACTAATAGATTAACAATTAACAGTTCATTCATGAACTAACAATTTTTTAGATGAAATCAAAGCCATTTAAAAGTGGCACAATGAAATTGGAACAACAATTTGCTAATGTTCTGGAGCAAGTTGGGCTCCATGGTTAAGTAACTGCAGAATAATTACAATAATGTTGCAGACCATCAGCATATGTCTGATAATTTTAGATAGTTCACATTATGATAATGTCAAACATAAGGAAAATGAAAATTATAAACAGAAGAATACAAAGAAATATGTTAAACCTGATATTACAAACATTTGATTTTTACTTTGGCCTTTAATCGTCTATATACATTCAACCTGTCCCACAGGCATTTAATAAGATCCAAAGATCATTTCTTCTTTCCAGTTGCTTTTTGTGCTGCCTTCGTGGTTTTTCCTTGCTTGTCAGTTTTCTCCACCGATTTTATTACGCCAACAGCCACCGTTTGTCTCATGTCTCGGACAGCGAACCTCCCCAGTGGGGCATACTCGGCAAAGGACTCGACCACCATTGGTTTAGATGGTACTAAAGTCACCATACATGCGTCACCAGATTTGACCATCTTTGGCATATCCTCTAACTTCTTGCCAGATCTACGATCAATCTTTTCCTTGATTTCTGCAAACTTGCAGGCTATGTGTGCCGTGTGACAATCTAAAACCGGGGCATATCCATTATGAATCTCTCCTGGGTGGTTCATGATGATGACCTATAAAACAAAGCAGTATTTTATTACTTCCATAAGTTTTGCAATTATCCCATCTTGTTTTTAATTAAAAGCTGATTAGATGAATAAATACATGATTACATAACTTATTTTAAGTTAAAACAAGAGCCATCAGTGATCACATCTGCCGCCTCATGATAGCCAATTGCATGTTGCAGCTAGTGTGTATAGCTGGAGACACAAAAATCATTAACAGGGTAAAAACAATTTTTCATTCAAGGGCCATAACTCTGCCAAAAATCATTCAACCAGAAAACCCATGTAATTTGCGCAAGTACTTGAGCTACCAATCAATCCTACAGTTTCATTGTTAGTGGTGTAAAAGGAGTAGTCTGGACAAACTTTAAAAATAAACATCATTAAAGGGCCATCACTCTTGACAAACAAGAGGGCCATGATGGCCCTGGAATTGCTCACCTGGGCCAATGCCAAGTTTATACCAGGGACTTTTATTTGAACAAACTTGGTAGACAGCCCCCCCCCCCCCCCCCCCCCCCCCCCGGGGAGGGCCAATTTTAACTCCAGTTTTATTTAAACAAACTACTAGAAAATATTTCATGCTTAGCTCTTTTGGTTTTTTAAAAGTTAAGAATGAAAATCAATGACCCCCTGGGGCCGGACCAATTTTGACCCCAGGGCTTTTATTTGAACAAACTTGGCAGACATTCACTAGAAGATGTTTCATGCTTAATATTGAAACTTGAAACTTTTTATTTACTTAAACGCCTATTTTTACAAAACATTCATATTCAATGGCGTTGTACAGCAATAATAATGATAATAAAATACTTCTAATAAAATACTATTAAGAAATGGTTACAGTGTTATGAGCAGATATTAAGAAATTATTGAATGATTTTAAATGAAAATGAGTAAAAATGGTATCAATTCAAGTTAAGAACATATCATGCATCAAGAATAATAAAAAATTGATAAAAGATTACTAATATCACATTGAAAAATCACTTTTAGAATATACTACATATCACAGCTATGAATTTTAAAATTTCAAACGTCATTTGCGCTTTTTCACTTTTGAATTAAAACAAGTTGAAATAGTCCCTGAACATGTGGGTCTTAAGATTTCTCTTGAATGCTTCTATAGTGTTACTGTTTCTGATTTCTGTCGGTAATTGATTATACAGTTTAGGTCCAATGTAACTAAAGCTACGGTCTGCGAAAGATTTTCTCTTATTGAAAGGAACATTGTAACAATTGTCAACACATTCTGATGATCTGAGAACTCGTTTTGCAGATTTGCTTTCTAAAAAGTTCAGTAAGATAATCTGGTGCGTTTCCCTCGAACAATTGAACATGTAAGTTAAGATTTTAAAACTTATTCTTGCCTTTACTGGCAGCCAGTGAAGATCGAACAAAGCTTGCTTAGAGCTATCATATTTACTTCTTGAAAGAACTAACTTTGCGCACATATTTTGAATCCTTTGCATCTTTTGTAAATCACAGTTTGCGATACCGTATAAGATGGAGTTACAGTAGTCTAAGTGAGACATTACTAAAGATAACACAAGAGTCTCTGTCGCTTCCTTTGTGAGGTATTGTCTTATGTTTTTGATCCCCATAAAATTTATCATGGCAGTTCTACATTTCCGCTTTACGTGTTCTTTGAAGTTCAAATTTTCGTCGAGGAAAGCACCAAGATATCGAATGCAGTTTTCTTTGTTGATGGTATCGTTTACAATTTTGATAGATTTAGTTTCACATTTGGTAAGTTGTTGCTTACTCCCAAACAATGAATTCGGTTTTTGAGGTGTTCATTTTCAACTTATTAGAATTCATCCAGTTGTTCGTTGTTTCGCCAGCGTTTTCTAAATCACTTATTGTATTCTTTTCACTGTTTTGTATATTTGGAGAAAACGATTTGTCCATAGTATGGTCGTCTGCGAAGCCACGAAGTGTGACCGTCGGCGGAATGTCATCGAAAAGTGTGCCTGCATAGGCGAGATACAACCAGGGCCCGAGACAGGATCCTTGAGGAACAGAACACTCCAGTGCACGTGACGTCGAATATGCCGAGTTTACATTAACCCGACAACTGCGTGGGTGAAGGTAGGAGTCAACCCAGCTTAATGCGGTAGAGGTAAGTCCGTGTTGCTTGTTGAGCACGTCGATCAAAATGCTGTGGTCGACCGTGTCAAACGCGGCGCTCAGGTCAATGGCGATTAAAGCAGTCACTTCCTGTTTTTCCATTGCGCCGAGAAGGTCGTTCACAAGACGCAGAAGCGCAGACTCACAGGAATGATTTTTTCTATAAGCACTTTGATTTGTGGGTAGAAGTTTATGTTTTTCAGCATGTGAATTTAACACTAATAGGGCTGCTTTTTCAATAACTTTTGAAAGAAACGGAAGATTACTGACTGGGCGATAATTCGAATAGATCAGATCAAGTCCAACTTTTTTAAGCAATGGTCGAACTACAGCCTGTTTCCATTTCTCAGGAAAGATGCCTTGACTGAGCGATAGGTTCACTAATTTAGTTATCAACGGAAGTAATTCAGTCAAAAACATTTTCAAGACGACAGTTGGTAGTACGTCGAGTTCACACGATTTCGATTGCATATTGTTTATGATTTTCTTCACATCATCTTCGGAAAGTTCGTCGAATTTTGGTAGATTTTTCCACATTTTTTGACCGAAGGTTCGTAGTTCGGGTAAGTTTTCAAAGATTCTCTGATTTTAGAAATTTTGTTCATAAAATGGTCCGCAAACGAATCCGCAATAGCATTGTCACTCTCGCCGCTCGGCATAGGATTTTGTACTTTACTTCCGGTAATTTCTGTCACAAATTTATATAATTTCTTTGAATCGCCTTTAAACTCCGAAACTTTTTCGCTGAATGTTTGCTTTTTCACTTTTTTAATTTCCATAAAGTATTTATTCCGGGCATTTTGAAATGAATGATAGTCCTCGGGTTTTTTTGTATCGTTTCCATGTTTTTTTCTGCTTTCCGAAATTGTTGTTTCTTTTCAAGAATTGAATCACTGAACCATGGCTTTGGAGCACGAGTAATACGAGTTTTTCTCTGTGACTGGGGCATGTTTGTCCAAAATAACTTGAATTTTATTCTCAAAATCACATACATATTCGTTTATGTCTATTTGTTCAATTTCTAGACTTTTCAGATCTTCTGAGAAAGCGTCTTTATCAATATTTTTTATAGTTCCTAAACGAGACTGTTTCACTTTTGATATTTTCCTTTTTTATTTCAGTCACAATTTTGACAACACAATGATCTGATAAAAATGGACCCTGTTCACATGATTTTATTTTAACCCCATTTTCTTGTTCAGTTATTACAAGGTCTAGTACGTTGCCCCCAATGTGTGTACTGAAGTCGACATGCTGATGAAGCCCAAGCGAAAATAAACAGTTTTTGAATTCTGATGTTGCGTGTGTACCGTCGTTTAAATGTAAGTTGAAATCGCCCATTAACATCAGGTTAGAGTTCTAAGCTGTAGCTATTTGGGGTTTTTAAAAGAAGATTTTTTAAAGTTTTTACTATATACAAATAAGGAAAACACAATGATCCCTCAGGCTGGGGCCAATTTTGACCCCAGGGCATTGATTTGAACAAACTTGGTACACACCGACTAGATGATGTTTTCATGCCAATTATTTAAGCTCTAGCTCTTGCGGTTTTCTAAAAGAAAATATTTTAAGTTTTTACTATATACAAATAAGGAAAATCAATGACCCCCGGGGCCGGGCCAATTTTAACCCCAGGGCATTTATTTGAACAAACTTGGTAGACACCCACTAGAAGATGTTTCATGCCTAATATTTAAGCCCTAGCTATTTGGGGTTTTTAAAAGGAGATTTTTTAAGTTTTTACTATATACAAATAGGGAAAATCAATGACCCCCTGGGGCGGGGCCAATTTTGACCCCAGGGCATTTATTTGAACAAACTTGGTAGACACTGACTAGTTGATGTTTCATTGGCCAAGTGGTTTATGAGGAGATGTTGTTTAAAGTAAAAGTTTACGGACGGACGGACGCCGGACGAAAAGCGATCACAAAAGCTCACCATGTCACTTTGTGACAGGTGAGCTAAAAATCATTGAACCGCAAAATGCTGATATGCACAACTCGACATGGTAATGATCTTTCCTGTAAAGTTTGGATGAAATTGCACAAGTAGTTTTTGAGGTGTAGTCGGGAAAAGTTTTGTGACGGATGGACAGACAGATGACAGAGAAGTGGTCCTTTTGTCACCAATACTTTGTAGAAGCGACAAAAAAAACTATTTGGTAGTAATTAAGAAATCAAACCTTCTCTTTGAACAATTTTTAAATCCTATAAGTTTGGATGAAATTTACTTAGCGGTTTATGAGAAGATGGTGTTTTAAGTAAATGTTTACAGACGGATGACGGCGGCTAGACAAAAAGCGATCACAAAAGCTCACCATGTCACTTTGTTAAAAAACAAGAGGAAACAAGGCCCGGAAAAATTGTTGCAAAATACGCCCATCATATTAAAAAGCTTTTTACAGAGATGTGGGCTTTATAGAAATGCATAATAGGAGATATACTTTGGGCAATATCCAGACAATATCTGGATATTTTATCATCTCTAGTGTCCTTGACATTACAAATATAAACCCAAATTACATGTGTCACACTTGTAGTCATGATAGTTATCATTTGTGTTATAATCCATCAATAAATGATGCCTAAATGGTCCCTTATCTTTATGTTGACCTATTGTGACCTTGATTTTGGTAGCAGGGACCCCGATTATGTATGCAATACTTCGCCTCACAATACAGTGAACATTGTGCAAAGTTAAATTGAAATCCCCCAATGAATGTATAAATTTTGCTTTCAATGACCTGTGACCTTTGACCTAGAGACCAGGTTCATGCACTTGACACAACTTCTCATAGTGGTGAACATTTCTATGAAGTTTCATTAAAATTCCTTCATGCCTGTAGGAGATATGCTCCTGACAAAATTGGACGCTGCCCGCCCGTCGGGGGCGAAACTTATAATAATACAACCTGTTTTACAAAAGGGTGTAAAAAAAACAGACATGACTGCAAAAATATTTAAGATTATCATCCCTATTTGAAATCATCAAATGGTAATGTTTAAGAAGAATAAACATGTACAGGTTTGAAATGAATAGCTTTTTTAGTATAATAGAGAATGTGGACTTTAACGCAAGGTTAACCAATACAGACATTAATGCAGACACCTATAAAATAGTCATGACAATAGCTTTCTTTTAAAGGAAGGTAATAAAGGCTAAATACCTGTGCCAGAAAACTGTCTGCTCCTTTTGGTGGATCATTCTTTGAATCCCCGCAAACATTTCCTCTCTTAATGTCCTTGATAGATACATTCTTTACGTTAAATCCCACGTTGTCACCTGGCAGAGCCTCGGTCAAGGCTTCATGGTGCATTTCAACCGACTTGACCTCAGTGGTCAGTTGTACAGGAGCAAAGGTTACCACCATGCCAGGTTTGAGCAGTCCAGTTTCAACACGCCCAACCGGAACAGTTCCTATTCCTGAAATTCCCAAAGGTAAACCTTGCTTAAATCATTTTAAAGGAAGCAGGTTTCAACATATTATGTATAATTATATAGATGTTCCTGCCACATTACAATTATGATCACCATGATTATATATCATTGGTGTGGGTGTTGTGCATGACACATCCCCTAATGTTGGTCAATAATCATTTAGGAATAAGAAAGTTTTAAGCCAAAGGAAAGTGGGCAAACTCAATTTACATGTTTTCAGTTGTGATGACAATAATGTTATGAAAGAGAAAATTTAACTATTCTTTTACAATTGTTTATAAAGCTCTGGAAAATCTAACTTGCTGTTAAGTTAATCACCTACAAATAACCAACAGATGGACAGAGGGTTCAATTACATGTACTATATTCCCTGGGGGTCATTAAAAAGCAAACTGCCATAATTTAACAACACACATGTATATAATTCAATTTTGATTAATTTCTAACAGCAAATGAAATCAATCTTGATACATTTTTTTTGCTGCATCAAATGGATATTTCTTAATCATAAAGAGCCATAATATTTAAAATGATTTCCTTACTGAAATATACATTCACAAAGACTACCACATTGAACAGGTTTTCAAATTTTAAAAGGGTCACATTTACACTTGGATTTCTATAGTACGTCTATTAGATAGAATCATGCAGAGTTTAATAACATTCTTATAAATCACTTGTAAAATAAGGCTCATAATGGTCATTAATTTGCCCTAAAAAGGCCAAGTTTTATAGATGCAATTGGCTAAAACTCGGAAAAACATGTGAAGATTTTGAAAAGTACTAAAATGTGACATTTCTCTACTAAATTATAATTATGTCCATGCCAAGTTCAATAATTTATATCTGATCATCCGCTTGTAAAATATGGCCTTAATAGTTTATTTTCTCTTATAAAGAATCACAAATCAAAAATGCATATAATGATATTAAGACTATTATAATATTTTAAGGACATAAAGGCTAAATAAAATGTAATGTTTTTGCAAAATTTATCAACAATTAAATTAGATAAGTTCCATGGTCAATTCTCAAAAAAGTTGTATTGTAACAAAGAATATTTAATACACATGAATATTGTTCAAAATAATTTTGTGCTTGTGCTTTTTCTACCAATTTTTTTCATCCAAGCAGAGTAAAAAATTAAAGAATTTTTGTAGCAGATATATAGCTTAAAACACTTTTTCCTTATTTTATTAATATTGTTAGCATTTCAATGTAATCAAACACTTGTACGATATATGGACTAAACATGAAAATTTTCATTTAAAAATTGTCCATTTGTTTAGGTCCATTACTCACTGTCAAATGGATGGATGACAAAAAAGTGAGTGATCAAAAAAATATCTCAGGTGACTTAAAACCTTCATTACATTGTGCAAGTTTGTTTAAAGATTCACTTTAAAGTATACCTCCTATCTTGTAGACATCCTGAAGTGGTAATCTGAGTGGTTTGTCTGTAGGTCGGGTTGGAGGAAGAATGGCGTCAAGGGCCTCAAACAAAGTCTTCCCCGTCAGTGACTCCTCCTTTCCATCTGCACCCTTCCTCTCTATTTTCCATCCCTTGTACCATCCCATATTTGGTGATGGTTCCAACATGTTGTCCCCGTGCCAACCAGAAATGGGAACAATTGCTACTGCTTTAGGATTATAACCAACTTTTTTCACATACGCACTTACTTCTTTCTCTATTTCTTTGAATCTGCTCTGCAAGTAAATGTTTTAAATAGTTTTGAAATCAAGTAAATTGGTTCACACATGTTATAATTGAGTGAAAATAAAAGTTTAAAACTATACCTTAAATCCACATAGGGTCAAATCTAAAAATTCTATTATGGGTAAAATGCAAGATTATGTCTAAATTACCTTACCTTAATCTTAACACACAACAATAGCTAGATATATCAAAAGTCTAATATCAACAATATAATTGTCTTATTAGATGGCTTGTATCTGAATATCTGTAATATTGAGACTGCTAACAGACGGACAGACAGATGGATTTCTTATTTTAACTGCTGGAAAACCAATGTTTTGTAAGTACAAAAACAACCTATAGCTATGACTCTAAAGTTTCAGATGTCTTCCTAACATGCTGTTGTATAAGGTTCACCAGTCTAACTTGGTCAGCAACTTGTAAAGGTCTACTACAATATAACATATGCTTAATGTCCAAGTTTTAGCAATGACATTTCTATACACTTTTACAAAAAATATGAACTTCTATACAAGGCCAAATCTGACCTCTGAACTTATAATGGGCATTTCAGTTTTCTGAAAGAATATTTTATTAGACTTCATTTTTTAATGTCTATTTTTGGCTTCTACATAAGAATGATACAACTTGTATACATTAGCTTAGGGTCACTAGGATAATTCTTAAATAGTTAAATTCAAATATGCAGTTTCACTTCAATTTTTTTATATATCGGCATCAATTTAACACTGGTAAGGTATACCTCAGAGTATGGTGGTTCTGTGTTGTCAATCTTATTTACTCCAATTATCATTTGTTTCACACCAAGGGTGTAAGCCAACAGGGCGTGCTCTCTTGTTTGACCGTTCTTGGAGATTCCCGCTTCAAACTCTCCAGTACTGGAGGCGACAATCAGTACAGCGCAGTCAGCTTGTGAGGTTCCTTTCAAATACAAAATGGTAACATTTTATGCTCAAAACTGTGCACCAATTCTTATATTTACATCACAATCACAAAATCGTCTGAACCCTGAAAACATAAGTTATTTAATGCTTTTATTTGTTCAGACATTTACACACCTTTGTTTAGTCACCTTTAGCCATTTCAATAATTGGGACATTTTCAGTTGATTAAGTGTATTATTGATTACTTTTACATAGTAAAATATAAAATTGAACACGATTATGTCAAATTATCAAGTTACTTGGACATATACCTACACTTCACCACCGGGATAGGGCGATGAAATGGCTTAATGTTTCCATCTTAACAATTTGCAGATAAATGTTCTGTAGGTTTTGTATTTGGATACTTCAAAAAGATACCATCATATTTTTATACCTATAGGTCCTAATTTACCACACGTCCATTTAATTCAGGTACAAACTGGTGTAGAACCAGCAACCTATAATCTATGGATAGTTGCTCAAAATAATAAAATGTATAAGACTATGTTTGTTCTGTAAAGTCGGCATAGAAAATGAAAAACATGTTCTTTTGGAGTGCCCCATGTATGAATCAGATAGAGCTGCATTAACAAATAGGGCTGATAGTTTAAATGAAGATTACAATACCATGCAGATAAACTGTTTTTCTTTACACAAACCCAGATACATGTTTGATAAGATTACTAAATGCAAACACCTGTTGTAACATTCTTACTAAAAGAAATAATATGTTATATTCAAATAACTCAAGAAAAATAAGATCCTAGCAGTTGATTAGTCTGTTTTAACTCAGAAGTTTTAGACCATTTTAAGTGATATTTTATCCCTTTTAACTACTTTTTTATGGACCGTTTTAAATTGTAAATGCCTGTATGATAGCAAGAATTTTAAAGTCTATGTAAATAAGGGAGACAACACTGTACTGTATATAGACAGTATATGTATATGAAGTTGTCCCCCTTATAAGCTATTATAGTCTCATAATTCTTTAATAAGAATGGCTATACTTGAAATGTATGTATCATATCTGTTTTACATCTGTTTTTATACATGTAAATCATGTTAGATGAGACTTAAATACATTATTAAATATAAATGTAACAGTTGGAGAATAGTTTTACTTTATTACATTATTAAAGGCCCATTATATATCAGAAATGCAGTCACTTATTTCTCAAATGTTTTACGTGCTCTTAATCCATAATTACACTCTAAATCCATAATTACACTCTAAATCCATAATTACACTCTAAATCCATAATTACACTCTAAATCCATAATTAAACCATTAAACGCACGGTTTGACATCTCTAAAGAATAATTTCTGAGGTATAATGTGCCTTTACTAGCAATGCTTTATGATACCTGTAATCATGTTCTTGATGAAATCACGATGGCCTGGGGCATCAATAATGGTGACGTAGTATTTAGTGGTCTCAAATTTCCACAGGGCAATATCGATGGTGATACCACGTTCTCTTTCTGCCTTCAGTTTGTCCAACACCCAGGCATACTTGAACGAACCTTTGCCCATCTGTTAAATATATAAATAACAAAAATCTTTTAAGTGTATATATATTATGTCATTTAACATGCATACATCAAACATCAAAAGCAGTCTAATTACATCATAGTTTACAATTTTCTTCATATAGTGTAGAAATATGGTGATAAATACTACAAATCAGTTATACTCACATAACATTTAAATTTCTACATGAATCTTGAATATTTTTACTTTTCTTAAAATCTTGGTTAATAATTTTCCAAAGTTTTGTTTTCTTGAAATAACTTGGCTCCTCAGCTGCTAGATAATTGCTATAATTTTGTAACGACTAAGAAAAAATTTGCATATATTTTTTGTCAGGAAAAACTCTAATGTCTATGTTAACTTACCTCAGCAGCCTCTTTCTCAAATTTCTCAATGGTTCTTTTATCAATACCACCACATTTATAGATCAGGTGACCAGTCGAGGTGGACTTGCCAGAGTCCACATGACCAATCACAACAATGTTGATGTGGATCTTTTCTTTACCCATTTTAATTTGTGTTTCTGTTCTTTTCAAATATCAAGCGAAGTTCTGTAAAAAAAGGTAAAAACTTGCATGTTATGCCATTAAATGTTTCCTACTGCAAGATTGTCAATTAAACAAGAGCTGTCAGAAGGACAGCACGCTCGGCTATTCTCAGTGCTTGATAGTAAAAGATCCTTGATAATGTAATTTCAGTAAAAAATTTCAAAAAAAGTTCAAAAGGGGCCTATTATGCTCCCCAAAAAAGTGTATAAAATTTCAGCTTGTGTCAAAGCAACAACTTGTGTCAAAGCAAGATGTCAATTGAGTACATGTATAAAAATATTCGAGGTGGTACCCAATCTTTAAGGGACTCCACTGAGGTTTAAAAGCCTAAAACCATAACATTAGAATTTCTTACATAAATGTACTGGGGCGCTTTAAACAGAAATATATGCAAAGATAGTTAAGGAATATACTTTAAAATAAATCGAAAATCATAGTTTTATGCTTTTCTTAGACCAATTTGAGTGAAAAGCTTTTATACACTTTTCATTTTGGGTCATTTTTTTTACAATTTTGAAAATTATTATGGAAAAACGAAGTGCGCGAATGATCTGAAAGTTTGCACAAAGATTCGTGGTCAAAACCTACATCAAATGGTACATTTATCTGGAAAAAAATATTTTTCAGTCCCATCATGTCAAAAAACCTCAGTGGAGTCGCTTTAAGGTAAATTCTAAGTTGAAAAAGGGGCATAATTCTGTCAAAATGCTTGATAGATTTACTCCTGTGTAAAAGTTGGGGGCATGAGAATGAACAAGTGTGAAAAGTTTTAAAGACATATGTCAATGGACTTTGAAAAATTTGACATAGTATGCAAACTTTAACACAAGTGGTTACGCTCGGGTGTCTAGGATTAGCTCTTACTTATTCTTATTGAATAGTGGAAATAAAATGACCATTGAAAAACAAGGTGCTTGTGGATTAATACCTTATCCAAGATAATAACAAAATTACAGTTTGGATTTAAATTTTTGAAAACGACAATTTGACCAACTTGTATAAGAAATTAAAGCAGCATGCTACAATTTTCTTTATCTTCAGTTTTACGATTATATAATGAAAACTAAGTAGAAAAGAGGATTAATTGTGATAAAACTGTTCGGCAGAAATACAAGTATTTCAAGTTTGAAGTGAATATCTCCTATATTTTTAGAAAATTATGAAAGGGGGAGATAATTGGGCAAGAATGCCCTCCAGGCCCCATGGGGTTTAGTCTAGCCCAACAAATTGTGCGCTTAAAGGTTTTTATTATATAAATGATGGTAGCCCTTCTGTAAAGACAGACATCTATGAAATATCAGATTATAAAATTGGTTGGTCTTGCAGTTGAAATATTGACAGGTCTAGGATTTCATGATATTTATGGACTGTCCATAAATTTATAGATAGTCTAGAATTTTAAAGATTTTTCCATCCATAAATTTACAGATATTCAATGTAAAATTTGCTATTTTTAGTTTTACACTAACATCCGCAGGTTAAGACAAGTTGTTTTATTGATTGTTTATTTTTACAAAGGTAATGGGGTGAGTTTCATCTTTGTATGATGATTTTGAAATTTTTGTTAAAAGTGAAAATTGAAAGTCATCAAATTGTTCTGAATCTTACCATTCTGTTACATTTATTCATATAATACGTAGCCTTATTCATTTTATCCTGCGGTTTTGAATTTTAATGCAACCTCTACTATTATATTACTTCATATCTGTTTTACAGATAAAAAAAATCTGTAAAATATGGATCTTCCAAAAATTTACAGACTGTCCATAAATATCATGAAATCCTAGACCTGATTGCGACTAGGGCTTAGTCCTTTAATTTTAGCAAGTGATCCTATGCACACAAGATAATTATAAACACAAGAGCGATCAGTAATCACATGTGTCGCCTCATGATGGCCAATTTCATGTTGGGACAAAGTTTGTGACAGACGGACAGACAGACGGACAGTGCACAACTAGACTTGGTACTGATCATTCCTGTAAAGTTTGGATAATATTGCACCAGTAGTTTATGAGGAGTTGTCCGGACAAGCTTTTGCGTATCTGGCAACACACAGAAAAAACACCTTTTTATCAAAGGGCCATAACTCGGCCAAAAAACATTCAACCGGAAAACCCTTGCAATATGCGCAAGGACTTGAGCTACAGATCAATCCTTAGTCCTAATTATAAGACCTATACGTAACCTATTTCATATTTATCATTCATTAATCTGATATTTTACATTTTTCATTTTCCATGTTACGTTAGGTCTTAACAGATCTTTGCAAAATCGTGTAGCAAAAAAATTGACATTAGACATCGATTTAGATCTAATGCATTTTAACAATTAAAACAGCGTGTATTTACATAAATTTTGAACTATTTATGAACAAAACTAAAAATTAAATACCTTTCAACAAAATAATTGAACTGTCACACCCGAAAAGTCATGATTAAATCCTCTCATTTTATTAAATTCCATGTACAGCAGATATACAAATGGCCGCCCTACAGTGCGCGAAATCTGATTGGCTAATTCAAATGCAAGCGTTTAAATGATTCCAGAAGTTTCTAACGGAATATTTTTTGAACGAAATAATTGCCCATGCACCGTCAGTGTGTTCGAAAATATTTTCCGTTCAAAAAATTGGAATCAATCTGTAAAACGCTTTACTTAACCAGTATGGCCGATGAGCGAAATAGATTGATATTTATATTTTATTTTTAATTAATAAGTACATTGTTTGAAATTTTTGTTACTGATAGACCATGCAATTGAAAGAACAGAAGATAAGCTTTTGAATAAAGCTTGAAAGGCAAGTCAACAGACATTTTTTTAATTTTCAAAATGCTACGCGTTTTTGACCAATAACTATTAGACGTCAGGCTTGACCAACATAAAGCTATAACAAGCCTGTAACGTCTAATCTATTGGACTAATCAATCCTGTAAAGTTTCATTGAAATTGCTTTAGTGGTATAAGAGAAGTAGTCCGGACAAACTTTAACATTAAAAATTATTAAAGGGCCATAACTCTGCCAAAAATCATTGAACTGGAAAATGCTGATAATATGCACAACTACTCTTGGTACTGATCATTCCTGTAAAGTTTAGATAAAATTGCACCAGTAGTTTTATCTGGAGTAGACCGGCACAAGCTTTTGTGTATCTGGCAACACGCAGAAAAATACACCTTTTTCATCAAAGGGCCATAACCCGGCCAAAAATCATTTAACCAGAAAACCCTTGCAATATGCGCAAGGACTTGAGCTACAGATCAATCCTGTAAAGTTTCATTGAAATTGCTTTAGTGGTATAAGAGAAGTAGTCCGGACAAACTTTAAAATTAAAAATTATTAAAGGGCCATAACTCTGCCAAAAATCATTGAACTGGAAAATGCTGACAATATGCACAACTAGACTTGGTACTGATCATTCCTGTAAAATTTGAATGAAATTGCATCAGTAGTTTATGAGGAGTAGTCCAGACAAGTTTTGTGACGGACAGACGGACAGACAGAAGGACAGACGCACAGACAGACGACGGAGAAGTGATCCCTATATGTCGCCACTACTCCGTAGAGGCGACACAAAAATGAATTGCGACTGCAGGCAGGGATTTTTTCTTATTTTATAGCCATGTTATTGGGACATATTCCCAACTGAAAATAGTATATTTTTTCCCAATCCTTAAGAAAATATTCCCAATTGAAAGTTACAAAATAAAAATATTGAATAAAGAGTTTTAAAATTTGAAAATAAGGGCTTGTTCACTGTATTAGTGCAAAGGTGTTCGGCGCTTTGATTGGTCACTACCCCCGGGCCAACACCCCCCCTCTCACCCTTTCTACAACCCTCCTACCTCCAAAACCATGTAAACTGCAGTATTTTTCATTTTAAACATGTTTAAATATTTGGTATATGCTTTTAATGCAATTACCTTCAATCTCCCACAAAAACTAAAAAAATGATATACTTATATTTAGTACTAAAAATAAATATAGTTTTTTTTTAGTTTTTGTGGGAGATGAAGGTAATTAAATTAAAAGCATATACCAAATATTAAAACATGTTTAAAATGAAAAATACTGCAGTTTACATGGTTTTGAGAGGTAGGATGGTTGTAGAGTGGGTGAGAGGGGGGGGGGGTGTTGGCCCGGGGGTAGTGACCAATCAACGCGCCGAACACCTTTGGTTTCCAAAATCTTGGGGCAGGTGATTTCATGTCGATCAACATTTATAGAAAACTTGAATGCACGTGGTTGCACCCGCACGTGGCACGGCCGTGCACGTGGTAACCTTTCATGATTGATAAAACACTGCACAAAGCATTTTCTTTTCTTTTTTCCCCGAAGTATGCTAATACTATACATAATAATATATCTTTAAAGATTTTGCAGACGTAAATATTTAAGAAAAGAAACGAGGTGTTCGCTTTCAGATACGCCCTGTACCCCCACCCACACTTACGTGCCGCATCGACCAACAGGAATCAATACTCTCTACCCCAAAGAAATGTGTTGAAATTTTAACGAGAATGAAGAATTATATATATCAAATACGCAAAATAAACATTCCAAACTTATTCTGGTTTAATACTTTTAAACAATTTCATATATAATATAGAATTTTCAATCACTTACCGGTGTATTAGATAATCTTCAGTCTAACCGCGCAAGTAACCGCACATGTAGAAAAGTCGCTTTATAAATGACAATTTCCCGCCAAAAGTAAAAAAAATCATGAATTCTGCGAGATTCTTCCTTCGTATTAACGCGTGTGAAGGGTTTTTACAAAAGTTTCTAAAGAAAAGCAGGAAATCTGTATATATAAATGGATAACTTCAGCTAATGTTGATTTAAGTTTTATTGAAAGACCCTCATTACGCAAAGAAAAGCATCGCTTCAATGATTTTTAAACCACGGATTTATATAAATCCGATTTATGTAACAAAAATAAAATTGTTTTAACTATTACTTTCTATCTACGGTAGCACAAAGGGGACATCAAAATTGTTTTATCACGAGCTTGATCACGTGTTTAAAGATCCTGTAACTCATTTTTTTATGGTTTTATATCAAAGATATTATGCATAATTATATAGATCTACATAATATTATATAAGATTATTACATGTACAAAAATATTTAAAGGACCTTAAAATTTAGCCAGTCTTATTAAATTCAGCTTCTTAATAACGCTTTGTAAACATAGAAGATTTGAACTTGCCACAGACGAGTATATGTTGTCGCTACCGGAAACCAACCAGAAGTTTAGAAAAATTCTCCCTCTGAAATCTAGTTCAGTGGATACAGAACCATCTCTGTCCAGGGAAGGAGGGCGGCAAATCGTTCTTCAGCAGACACGATGTAAAGCGCCGATACATTGGAAATCCGTCATTCAAAAGACAGTTTTGGCCGTCTGTTACTCCATACCAGGAAATCCAAATTGTTCTTTAGCGGCACCGTTACATGGGAAATTTGTTTCAGAATCTCATCGGAAAGAGAATTTTCGTTGATATAGCGGGATTTCGTTTAGTCAAAACACTTGATCACTTGACTACTCCGCTTACTTTGCACCAGTATACGTGTATCAGGATGTCCATAGGACTCCATACCACGTGACATATTTTGTGATATGCCCGAGTCATTTTTGTTTTGTAGAAAATCCGTCGACACAAAGATGAAATACGATTTTATTACAAGAAAATCAGTACGAAAATGTTTCTTCTTTCTTTTGTTTTATAAAAATTGAAAATACTCCCAGTCGGACTCAGAAAGATTGCAATCAATAGACATGAAATACACTTTTAGCACATACCTTTACAAAACATTCAAATCAAATTATCTAAAGCATTAAAACTTTTATTGAAATGTATATTTTTTTTATTGTAAATTATTTTTTCTTTCCGATAAGAATACGAATTTATGTAGAAAGAAAAATATGTTTTGATAAGAGTTTTGAGTTTCGATTTGGGGCAGATATCGTTTTTGGTCTGGCGCCAAATTTTCCATATCATGCCATTTCCTCTGTTTTCGTTGTTGTTACTAAGCTGAAGGAAACCAGCCGAATTCTAAACAATAATAATGATCTGCTGATAATTCAAATAAGTCCTACTTTTATTGAATTACTATGCATATATACATGCATATATAATGTATAACAGACAATCAACGTTGTTACATCATTTGTATTTTGTTCTCAGTATTTTTAAGTTTTTAAGAAATGTACAAACAACAATTAAAATGTCATTTACAATGTATATGTAATCAATATTTTAAAACATAGGTAATATATGTCAATATACCCATCATATTTCTTGACTATTATTGAAATTTATTTTATTATACACCGACGGACTTTGAAAACGCATCAGTTTGGGTTTGTGCTTTATTTATAGGGAAGAGCATATTCGATTTTTATTTAATTATTTTTTTGCATATGTGCATATGTGTAAAATTGTTACTGTCACTGACTCTATTGTTGAGTTTTATTCGAAAACGCGTGGTAATCAGCATTCACAAAAATCACAACCGACCTGTTTTATTAGTTTTATCGTTTAGTCATGATCTCACTGCATGCCATGGAATTGTTTAAGATCATGTCCGTCCTCCATGCAAGACGAGGACGTGTCGGGACGTCGGATAATCTTTCAATTCTTTCAAATTTTGTTATAAAATACACATTATGTCAGATCATGTGAAGCTGTCAAAATCTGCACGTCGCAGAGACGGCATACGGCAGGTCAAGGTCAAGTCATCTAAGGACCAGGAGTGATTGGTTAACCTGTCGTTACTAACCCGGGAGTGTGTGGTCCTACAAAAGGTCATTTTGATTAATGTCTTTAATGATTTTTTCGCCTTCTACTGCCATCTATAAACAAAGAGGTGGTACAAATAACCAGCTTGAACAGTCGCTGTGGAGGGTACAATACCGGATCGGCAAGTAGTGTATATATTCTGGCTAATAATTCATTCCGGTGGAAAGTATAAAAAAACGTAAAACAAACCAACAAATGCTTTGAAAATCACTGTTTATATACTAGTTAATCATCGCGACACAGTCACTGCTTAATATAATATAATCCTATCTTTTTGTGAAGACTTTTATATTGAAATTAAAAAAAATATATAATATGATACAACAATACAGTCATGTGTATCATTGTATATTATGATGTTTCAAATTAGCAAAATTTAGTTTGTTTCATAGTGAAGACTATTTAGCAAAAAATTATTAGATTAAATATCAGTTGTTCTATTAACTTTGTTCAATGTTATTGCTAATACGAATAAAGCTTTATTTTCTTTCTTTTTTCTTTTATTTGATCATTGATGCCATAATTGTTTGTGATTTATATGTCATTAAACATGGTCCTTGATTGGAATTAAAAGTTATTCTATTCTATTCTTTTCTGCTTATTAAGCTAAATGAAACAAGTTCAAAGATATGCCATGTAAAAACAAAATGTACATGTATGATGTAAATGGCTGTATCAACGGGAAGATCTTTATACATGTACATGATAGATTTTTTCACTTCTTATGTGTCCGTATCAATGTCACCGTAAATCTCAACAAGCTCTTTCAATATTTCCTTCTTCTCGTCGTCCGACGCAAAACAGGATTTGGCGGCATTGAAAATCTGTAAAAGATAAAATCATAATTATGTTCAAAGAATTCGAGAACGATACATGGACGCGCATTTACATAACAGAAATAATTATTAACAAGATGATGTCCGGCTTATGAAATTTACAGACTTGCGTTAAGTTTTACATTTCTAAAGATACTGTACGAGTAAACTAAAATTTAATGTTCTACCAACGTATCATTTGTTCTTTCATAGGTTAAAATTAGGACTAGTTATCTAAGAATCGCTAGCGCTGTGGGTTCAAACCCTGTCAGGGGGAAGCTGGTGTTTCCTTCAGCATGAAACTACTTAATGTATTGCTTAATTCCGGTAATGGATTCGATTTTGTCTGTATAAGCTAATATACAACTCGAAATTTGCTAAGGATAACCTTTTTGACATTGCATATTTCAGTCCTATTATCATCATATTAAAAACGATACACCTGTACCTCATAATCGTGTACTTAAGTTATCGATTTGTCATGTACACCTTGCACGATAAGCACGTGGAAAAGCATACCCATGGAAATTTGGTGTTTTATGGCCATGTGCTTTCACTTAAACATGTACATGTAGCACTTCTCTTGTTTTATTGTAAAACTGTGTTCGAAATTAACAAACTATGGCAAATCGACAGGTTAGACGTCGTCTTAGTGAAGATGAGTTGAACAGGGTTATTGGAATGTTTAAGGCTGGCCATTCACAAAAACACGTTGCCCATGTTCTTGGGGTCTACCAGAGCGTTGCCTCCAGGATGTGGAACCGATTCCAAATGACTGGAAATGTATTGCAGGGCCACGCAGGAGGTCGGGAACGTTCAACGACTCAAGTCCAGGACAGTTATGGGAATTGTGCCAATCATATATTAAGATAAATACAGAAAACAAGTGTGAAGTTTCAATTCAATCTCCTCAGTAGTTATGGAGATACCAGCTTACAGCAAAAACTTAACCAAGAATTTCTAAGTCGAAAAGGGGGCATAAATATGCAACAAAGCATATCAGAGTTATGGTACTTAAGCCAATCATGTTAGATCTTCACAGACAACAAGCGTGTGAAGTTAGCCCCCGCTAATTAGCGTGTTTTCGCTCCACGCCTCCACTATCTTAACTGTTAATTCTCGACTTTTCGCTTGGCGGGGTCGCGGGGCGAAACAAGAATGGCACAAATCTGTGGTGGCTGATTTGGAACGCTTTTGTGCGTCGTGTTGGCGCTAGCGCTAGCGCTACAGGACAAAGCGCCAAACGGCGCGTTGTCAGACTTTCGTCTTGTCGTCCTGTCGCTAATGATGTACGTCAAACGGCGCGTTGTTGTGCGGCGTGTTGTCGCTCGGTTAAAATGACAAATCTTACAAGCCAATCGACAAGGCGACATCGCGACGCACGACAACTCGACGTTTGGCGTGCTTCGCCCGAGACAGGACGACAAGACGACAAGACGACAGCGCGTCGTTTGGCGCTTTGTTGTGTTGTTGCTAGCGATAAGACGAAAAGGCGATAACGATATAGGCTGCGTTATCGCTATCCGGTATCGACAACACAAAGGGCAATGTTCCGAATCAGCCACCATACAAATCAGCCACTAAACACGTTATAAACGATTTGTAAAGGCTATTATGTCTCAAAAGCAGCAAGGCAATTGTTATATAGTAATATCTTTTATAAACAAGACCATGTAATACATAGATCCCTGACCTGCCAAATTTCTTATGATCATATTAGTGTATACAATAAGAATTTCACCACGACATAGTTGTTAACAAAAGAGCACATGTCACTGTTTGTAGGTAAAATTTTTGTTATTCAAATGAAAGGTCAGAGTAATGATCCATCAATATGCCAATGTATAGTAATATATTTACTTTAAAATCGCTTTCCTCAATTAAATAAAAATAAATTAGTCATAAATGTGTGTATATATGAGGTATATAAGAACATGTGTCATTATAATCCAATGAAAATTGAAATTACAAACTTGAGGTACTCGCAAAACTATAGACTTATTTTTTCTTACAGATGTGACAATATGTTTGTCCGTCAGTCCCATATCTACGGCAGCATTATAGTCGTCTAACAGACAGCTATCAAACACAAAAGGGTCGTCTGAATTCAAAGAATAGTTCGCCTTATCCTCGGCAAACCTGTGTGGATAAATCAAAAATGTTCAAAACATGTGAACAAACTAAATGTGTTCAGTCAGTTTTAATGTTACATTTTTTCTTGACAAAGGAATATATCAACATCAACAAAAGTAGAAGTAAAACAGTAAGAATAAATCGTAAACTATTCTATTACGTTAGATAACCTCAAATAAGGAAGTGGTAAGATTGGAAGATTTTAAAGGGACCCCACTGAAGTTTTTTGACATTGCGGAACTGGTAACATCGAGGTAAATGTTTCTATTGATGAAGGTCTATACCAATAACTTGTGTGCATAAATTCACAACATTCGCTCACTCCGTCTTATCCAGAACAATATTAGTCTAATTGGGAAAAATGACCCAAAATTGAAAAGCGTTGTAACGCCTTTACTCAAAACCGGCTTATAAAGGCATAAAATACGATTTGAAATTCATCTCTGAGCATATTTCTTAATTATCTTTCGGATAGTTTCCTGATTTAAGAGCTCAAGTTGGTCTAGATAACAAATTGAAATTTTAAGTTTGAAGGGTTTTTGACCTCAGTGGAGTTATTTTAAGGTCGTCTTATTATCCAATGGTAGCAGGGTCTTTCAAAGACTCTGTTGTTATAAAATATAAGCTAGACTTATCAGCTAAATAAAACAACCGAATTCAGTACAGTATTTCAGTGTAAATTTGTAACAAAATAAATAAATAAATAAATAAATAAAACAACCAAAAACAGAAGGTTACCTTTACCTTACTACAGGGTGTTTATGAATATCTTCCGGCACGGCTCCAGTGCATATGCTCGAGATAGGGCATGTTTCTAAGTGCACGTGTTTTTCGCGCACTTCTTTATATATTTTCTCATCCTCGAGTACGCGATATCCGTGCCCTATTCTCTCAGCATGTAAATCGTCAAGTGCCTATAATCACAGAGTACCTTTTGGTTAGTGATGTTTTTATTGTCTGAGACTCTTCGGTACTGTTTTCATGTAATCAGTTTCCACGAGTGTTTTAGCTTGGCCCAAAATATAGGTGAAATAAAAAAAAACCTCTTTGTTTCAATTACATGTAATGTTTCAAGTATTTGTTGTTTTCAAAAATATTTTGACAAAATTCCATATTTCATTTATTTACCTACGTAAAAAACGAAGAATGCCGATGTATAGTGTGCACTTTCACTGAACAGGTAGAATAGAGCAAGTGCATGATAATGGTGTCGTTTGGTAATTAAACATTTGACATTCAAACACTTAAATATTCGACATTTGATGAACAATACACACTTTCCATCTCTCACACCTTAAACAAATGGAGAGTATCAGAAACCTATTATGACAATATAGTGACAGTTTTTTTATTAGTAGAATTTTTAAGCTTCAAAATAAGTCAAATACCTCTTTCACGCTGGCTGCTGTTCCTGCCTCACCGGCGTGGACTGTTATATGAATTCCGAGTTGTTTGGCACGCTATAAAACAAGATGGTAATAATAATTGGCATTATCATGCGAAATCTTGTATTTTAATAATGCTTTTTATTAGAGGGGAGATAATTATGTCCTATTATAATGTTCATTGGGTTATACTAGTTTCCTCCCTTTTGAAGTCAGGTGTCTCTTGAAAGGTAACGGCTGTTTTTCATTTTGTTGAGTATTTTCACATCATAATGTTTAATTTAAACGATCAAAACCCACCCTGTCCCTCCCTAATGATTTTCTGCCTTTGTTGTGCTTTCTTAATTTATATTTTCAGATGTATCTATGAAGAACTTTCATCATGGATGTATTTCATTGAAACAAAACGTCATGGCTGGATTTACAATGTGACTGTTGACATTTGAGACAAGTGCTTACAGACATTATTATTTAGTAATATTAAGTTAGTTTCTGTTATTTGTTATTTCTCTTCCGAGTGTCCGGAGTGAAATCAACATTCTAAATTTCTTGTATATGACATTATATATGTATCAGTCAGTCATTATATCATTACAATATATGTTTAAGGCATGACATTTGCCAGCACGTTGTCTCTTTTTCAAAATATAAAAATTCACTTCCGACTGCCCAGAGTGTAATCAGCCATATGGGCTTTAGTAAAATTCACTTCCGATTGTCCGGAGTGTAATCAGCCATATGGGCTTTTAGTCATATTGTAATCATTATACTAATTGTATTTCCGATTATCCGGAATACATATCCAGCCATTGGACAAAATTCTGCCAAAACCATAGTAAATAGTTTTTAATCTAAAAATTTTGGTTGTTATATATATATTTATCTTTTCTATCTTAATAATTCTCTGATGCATGCTTGTTGTATAATGTTCACTAAGTATCAACATGTCTGACAAATATATTTAGGATATTCATTTTTTTTCTTTAAATACACGATTTATTTTCATCAGGTGATATGAAATAAATGAATAATGATGACTGGCGGTAGCCACTAGTGAAATATGATAATTTTACCATGAGATGAAAATAAATCCCGTATTTATAGAAAAAAATGTTCTGTTTATTATATACTTTTTTCTTTTCTTTGACATTAAAATTTGAAAAACTTCTCCTTCACTTCTGTGTGTTGGTTGAATTTAGATGACAGTAGTTCGGTGAAAATACGGAAAATATGTTTCACTGCGGTGGGAAATAAATGAAAATGAAAATACGCATTTCATTACATCATTTTTTCTTAATATTTCATTTCTAAGTATATAATAAAAATTCATATACAGTAGTTTTCTCCTGCGCATCGGTCGAATGTTTCACTATCGCTCACTGTCTGAAGCAACCCGAGTACAGTCGACCCTCGTTATCTCGAGGTCATCGGGACCGTCCAAAAATATCGAGATAACGAAATGTCGAGATAAATATATAAGGTTTGAACAAGGCAGTAACTGATTTTTACAAAGGCACGTGTATACATTAAGTCAAATTCATTTAAAGTATCATATCTCCATGTCTTGGTTTCTTCAGCCTAATATACCAAAGTTGATATATATATTCAAAGACATGCTTGCAGAAATTTGTGACACTTTTTATCGCATATTTTCATCAAAATATTGCCGAAAAAAATATTATTCAAAAAGTGAAAATATATATTATTAATAAATACAGTGCAGTGCTTTAAACAAAATGAGAGAGATGGTACATATGACAGGGAAAAAACAACAGCAAAGAGGTAACCCGTGCCGCTAAGAAACCGAAAGTAAGTTGTTTTTATTACCTTAAAATGCGTTTTTGACTATTTATATTTTTCCAAAGATAATATAAAATGATTACATGTTAAATGTATTATGTGTAAATTATCAAATCATTGGTTTATTTTGGCGAAAAAACATCGTGATTTTGTGTAGCTTTGAGAAACGTTGAATTAATGAAATTTAACAGCCCGGAAAAGTAAAAATGCCATCATTGAAACCTCTGTTCCAGAAGTATTCATGTGCATGTAATTATTTTTGTTAAATCTTATCAAGTGGGTGTCAAACGTGCAACACCGTCGCCTAGAAATTGACAACGGGATATTTTCTTAGGGAGCTTTTCATATTGCCATTAATGTAACCTTATTAACAGGAACCTTTTTTGTTTATCTTAATTGTGATCACACTCCAAATATGACAAGAAGACTTTAAAATGAAATTGTTGCATTTCTTAAGTTATACTCGTACATGTATATATCTTTAACCAGTAATTAAATCAAATAAAATATTAAAATATTGACTAAACACAACATAATTTTCTTACATTGAAAGCCTTTTTATGACCCTCATGGACAAATTCTACACACACACTTTCATCATTACTCCCTCCGGCGATATCTATGGCAACGACGCCATCTTGTTTGAATTCCTCCGCCAAATCAACAACTTCCTCCGACCAATCTGTAAGTATATATCTCTATATAAAACATATAATCTTTAAACATATGACATATAGTCTCGGAAATTGATCAATACAGGAACTTTTACAGCTACTATTGTTCATTAAAATACATCATATTTTTCTACTATTCCCGAGCAAAGATACGTTCACGCTAAAACAAAATAAGGAAAGAGTGAGTAGTGTTATAAATACGTGTCCCAAAATCCTATTCGTTTGTGAATAAACAAATAAAAGACTGTCACAGCATATGACCACAGAATGGCAAATATATATTATGTTGTGTTACCGTAACATGCCAATGTTTTAATTCATACCATTAAAATACATATTATAATTCCTGCACAACAATTACCTGGTCTGTGCCGTATGCAACATAAAATTGTCTTCACCCTTATTTTGAAATCTTCCATTCCCTTCTTAGTAGCTACATTTACTAGCTGGACTACTTCGTGGGGCGTAAGATCGCCGTGCTGCAATGCGTACTCTGGTTTTGGCTCACTGTTAGCCAAAAGATGTGGCGAGTATCTCGCTTCAACATATTTTATGTTATTTCGCGCACTGTCCTCACAAAATTCATACACCAGTCTAGATATTGCTTCTCGGTCTCCGCTGAAAAAATTAAATACATTCGTCCAAAAAACATGATCAGGAGAAGATTTTCTTTACGAATGGCACTGATATACATGTACAAAATATTGTACATGCACTGTACATGATGATGATGATGATGATGATGATGATGATGATGATGATGATATCTTTGCTGTGTTTATTAATTTCTAATCAATCATGTGTTTTTGCTGTATGTTCTATTCAAATATATTTAAAAAGCACATACACTTACCTTGAATAAAAAAGCCATTTTGTTATAAATATAAATATGTTAAAAATAGTAGGAATGGTCTTTTTATTATTAATAACATTTGTTTACATTGATTCTGTATAATTTAACGTGTGTGCGTGCGTGCGTATGTGCGAACAAGAAAGAGAGATAACTAAACTGAGCTTACGCTATTATAGGCATGAATATAACGAACGACGACAGGACCTTGTAGAGGGAATGGGCGTGGTACACACATACATTCTTACGGAAATCCTCGATGCTGGTAACTTTAAGGTCTATCTTCCTACGTCTACAACATGAAAAGAAAACCTCATGATTAACGAAACATTATATGAATTAAATTAAAAAATCCATTTTCGTATATAGCAATTTACTGTATTTACAAGACTCCTAGAACATTAAAGGGACTCCACTAAGGTATTTTTGTCATGACGGGACTGGAAATAATTTTTTTGAGAATTACGCTCCATTTGATGTAATTTATCTAGATCAAAAAATTGTGTGTAAAATTTCAGATAGTTCGCTCCAGAATAATTATTTCTATTGCGCAAAATGACCAAATATTGAAAAGCATTATAACGCTTTTCAGTCAAATCGGGCTAAGAATAGCACAATTACTCGATTTTAAATTTAATCTGAGTAAAATTTTTAATTGTCTTTTACATATCTTTTTGTTTTAAGTGCTCCAGCTGATCTATGTAAATAAATTGAAATTTTATTTTTATGCTTTCGTACTTCAGTGGAGTTCCTTTAATGGCATCGATCTTGTAATATAAATATAGAATATAATGCTGTTGACTATCTATTGATAGAACCCCTAGCAGTCCGGTCAGCTCAATAGGTAGAGCTCTGGACTGTGAATCGGGTGACCCAGGTTTGATTCCCGGACGGTGCAGGTCACTTTCCTATAATCTTTTTTACGGTCATTCGCACTGTACCTCTGCTCCAGTATGTACAGCTTGCGAAAGTGAGGGCAACTATAGTGCTGGTAAACACAGGAGTTCGAGACATTTGCTTTGCCAATAATGATCAATTATCATGAACTCATCTCCCCTTAATCATCAAGAACAAAAGCAGCTAAATGCATGTTTACTCGTAGTTGATTTCGAAATTTTCTTGGCACTAAACATGTCGACCTCACAATTTTAAGGTATTTTTCACTATCGTAAATGAAGACAGATGGCTCAATATTTTTAACGGTTACTGAAAGATTACCTGCATGTATAAGAATGAAAATATGTCTTATTCTATAACTATGCGAGAGCAAAATGTTCACCGGGGTATTACGCGAATTATATACCTTGTATAATATTTTATACAGTAAACGGGGGCTGGATTCTTGAGGATGAAGGGGAGATTTTTAATGATAATTTCATTAGTATTTACATAGCAAATGTGCCGAACGACTGTGCTGATAAACTGCTTGACAGCCTGTCGAGGAACGATGCGGTGCCTGAACTGTGCTGTGGTAAAGTCAATGAGGCTTACTTTCGTGATCAGGAGTGAAAACTACAAACACCACCATAGAACTACAATCTCTTAGAATATTGAAGTGTCACACTTGCAATGAAAGGGGAAATTACTGTGTAAATATTGCAACAGCATATTATCTCCCTTGACTTATTATACAATAATCTCACCTGGCAATGTCATAAACAGAAGACAGTCTGAAAGCTCCATCTAAATGCACATGCAGCTCTACCTGAAAAACAGAACAACAACAAAATTATTATTGTACACACAGTGATATCACCTTTGTAACATGAATTACAAAAGACACTAGTTTAATATTCTTCTGGTGGCTACCCAGCGCGACCATTGCAGAAATCATGGTCTGCACTGTCCGGTTTATAGTCAGATATTATTTTTAAAATGATGAATCGTTTTTCCAGACTAAATAATATTAACATGTTAAGTGTAAAAAAAAAACTTGGAATATTTTTTTAAAACTTCTTATTAACTTGAGAATGAGCTGATGACAGCGGTAACTAGCACGTCACGGACAAAACAGCTATATTCTACGGTAATATTATTTCAAATTATTTTTGCGGGGGGAAATGTGGATGACAAGAAATCTGCGTCGCGTATACCACGTTGCTATAGACACATATGAGAGACATTTTACACTGACAGCATTCGGGGAGGATTTAGAGAAATAATGACGCATGTTTACAAAAACTTACATTTTATTCCATGCTGCAAAATAGTTCGCATTAAGATTTGATTGTTATGTTATCAATACGGTCTCAAGTTCCGAGTTACCTTAATTGATGCTATTTTTTTTTCATTTTCTTATAGAATATTAGAATATATTTTATTTATCCTCTTCATTCGCTCTTATGTTTTTGGGGACGATCCATAAACTTGTACTGTTATCTGTTGTACAAAAACGATGTAGATTTACGAAGAAGTCCTTTAATTGACTGGTTGTTATTTGCATAGACTGTACCAGTTATCTGCCAACATATAATAAATAGCTACTTCTCCTATACAACTAAATTACAATAACTGGTGTTGATATGATGTGTTAATCAAACGTGCATCACACTGATTTTAAAGAGCTTATTATGATTATTAATAAGATACTCAAAATATAATAATGTCTTAATACAAAAAAATTACAATGATACTCATGCTATACAAATTATTCTTAATTCATAATATTATGCGTACAAACTGTCATAATAGAATAAGAATATTAGCTAGTATGTTAGAATATCAACGCAACAACACAAAATACGAATTGGCGAATATTCCCTTACATAAATTATATTAAGTACTTTTCTGAATCAATCGCATATTATTACAAGAATGGTGTTAGTTTGAATTATTTTCTATGTCATATAACTGAAACAAAAAAGTCAAATATATTATAAAGATACAGGCATTAGTAACCGCTACACAGTAACAAAAATAAAAGGAATAATACCTTGTACGGGAAATTATCCTTTGTTGGATTTACCCTCTGTCGTTTTTCGTCCATGGTTATCTAAATTAATGTAGGTCATGGATAATAGTCGCTGGACGGTGACACATTCAATTAATTTCTACCCGACCACCGCTTGCTGTAAGCCAAGATAATTTAATATCATTACAAGACGCTTTTAATTATGGGGCACACCATCCACATTTTTAATCGGGTAACTACAGGAATTGAAAGACATGTACTATTTTCGCGTCATTCGGGACGTCACAATAACCTTTGACTTTATACAGAGATATGAGTTCTACCACGTGGTTTTAGATGTAAACAAAAACCAAAACCGGGATTGCGATCTTTAATAACATATGACTAATGTATATATTTTACATACATAGGAAGATAAAGTCTAATTCGGTAAAATTGTTATTGAAAATATGTCATTCAATTTAAGAATCCCCACTGATGATACGAATTATTGTCAACAATGATGTATCATGAATATACATGTATACATGAAATAATGAAGTACAGTGTATATAAATTATGTACTGTTTACTTTTATATCAATAAATTTACTTAATGTATGTGGACTTTTACTTGATATATTGGAATAAATGTAGCTAACAACTCCAAGTAATAAATCACTATTTGATTTTTTTTCCGAAAACTGAAAGGGCCGAAAAGATGCGATTGTCTTCACCGAAGAATAAAGAACAGGTTCCTACCATTTTTGGAAATGCTAAAATTGTAGGCATGTGTGAACTTCTAAACTACGGAATGCCGTTAGGGCCATCGCCTATGAATGTGTTGATCTAAAACGCGATAGTCGATAGTACGATGGTGAAAACGCGAAATCACGAAACTACGATGGTGAAAACGCGAAAGCACGATGATGAAAACGCGATAGTACGATGATGAAAACGCGACAGTACGATACTACGATGATGAAAACGCGATAAACTATCGTGTTTTCACCATCGTACTGTCGCGTTTTCACCATCGTAGTTTCGTGATTTCGCGTTTTCATCATCGTACTGTCGAGTATCGCGTTTCAGATCAAACCATTCATAGGCGATGGCCCTAACGGCATTCCGGAATGCGTTAGGGCCATCGCCTATGAATGTGTTAATTCTGAAAACGCGATAGTCGATAGTACGATGGTGAAAACACGAAATCACGAAACTACGATGGTGAAAAACGCGATAGTACGATGATGAAAACGCGATAGTACGATGATGAAAACGCGGATAGTACGATGATGAAAACACGACAGTACGATGGTGAAAACGCGATAGTACGATGATGAAAACACGACAGTACGATGATGAAAACGCGATAGTACGATGGTGAAAACGCGATAGTACGATGATGAAAAACACGACAGTACGATGATGAAAACGCGAAATCACGAAACTACGATGGTGAAAACGCGAAATCACGAAACTACGATGGTGAAAACGCGACAGTACGATGGTGAAAACACGAAAGTTTATCGCATTTTCATCATCGTAGTATCGTACTGTCGCGTTTTCATCATCGTACTATCGCGTTTTCATCATCGTAATTTCGCGTTTTCACCATCGTAGTTTCGTGATTTCGCGTTTTCACCATCGTACTATCGACTATCGCGTTTCAGATCAACACATTCATAGGCGATGGCCCTAACGGCATTCCGTACTAAACACCGTGTCCAATCGTCAATGTTAATACGTAACAGGATCAGTATATCTAACATCACATAATACGTTAAAGGGACTCCACTAAGGTTTTTCTTTTACATGACGCGGTTAGAGAATAATGTTCCTTTTGATGTAGGTCTAGACAAATAAATTGTGTGCAAAAGCTCAGATCATTCGCTTACTTCTTTTATCAGAATAAGTATTCTTATTGTATAAATTACTAAAAATTGAAAAGAGTTGCAATGGTTTTTGCCCAAATAAGGCTAAGAATTGTATAAAAATACGATTTGCATTTTATTTCTCAGTATATGACTTAATTATTTTTTGCATATCGTTCTGTTTTAGTGCCCTAGCTGATCTATGTTCGAAATCTTATGTTTTTAAGGAAATCACTTTTTTACTTAAGCATATGGATGAAAACGTTCTGCACGTTACATGAAAATATTCTTACGTATATTATAAATAGCATTATTGTATTACAATTGTGATTTACATTAAAAAATGAAAATAAACATGACCAGCCGAATTTTTATGTTTGCTTAATCATTAAATCTCGTTGCACGAAAATGATAAGAAATCAAGACACATAATGAATTTGACCGAATGTTTCCCTCTAGAAACTGTGCCACTTTCTTGTATAATCGTCTTTTCGGCAAATTTGCATTGTCCTTAGCAAAATGCAACGACACGTTTTCCATTTTCTTTTTGTCGCATGGCGGGACGAAAAGAGATAGCGAGCGAAAACCACTAAAATACTCTTGACGCGAGGCGCCTTCTCTTGTCATTCTGTCGTGCGGCGCATGGATTTGCTGTCATCCTTTGGTGCAGCGCCTTGTCTTGTTGTTTTGTTGTGCCTTGTCTTGCCATTCTGTCGTGCGGCGCATGGTCTTTTTGTCATCTTTTCGTCTAGCACCTTACCATGTTGTCATTTTGTCGTGCGGTACATGGTCTTGTTGTCATCTTTTCGCGCAGCACCTTGTCTTGTTGTCTTGTGGTGCCTTGTCTTGCCATTTTGTCGTGCGGTGCATGGTCTTGTTGTAATCTTTTCGTGCAGCACCTTGCCATGTTGTCATTTTGTCGTGCGGTGCATGGTCTTGTTGTCATCTTTTCGCGCAAGACCTTGCCATGTTGTCATTTTGTCGTGCGTTGTATGGTCTTTTTGTCATGTTTTCGCGCAGCACCTTACGATGTTGTCAATGTTTCGTGCAGTGCATGATCTTGTTGTCGTCTTTTCGCCCAGCGCCTTGCCATTTTGTCGTGCGTTGCATGGTCTTGTTGTCATCTTTATGCGCAGCGGCTTGTCTTGTTGTCTTGTGGTGCCTTGTCTTGTCATTTTGTCGTGCGGTGCATGGTCTTGTTGTCATCTTTTCGCGCAGCGGCTTGCCATGTTGTCATCTTGTCGTGCGGTGCATGGTCTTGTCATCTTTTCGATTTTTGATACTGGACAACAATAGGGGAGCCAATCCCAACAATAGGAATTAATGTAGATAATAGACGTTTTATAATAATAACATGTATGGTGTTAACAAATAATAAAGGCTTTTTTGTATATCAATACTATTGTTGTAATTAATATAGGGTATCTTGTCAAATTTAAATAGTTGATCAGGATCCTATTTGAGTAATTGTTTTTCCTATTACAACGCATCAATACCTAACGCTTAAAAGGACTCAACTGTGGGATTTTTTTACAGATTAATATTGATGTAGATATAGACCAATAACTTGTGTGCAAAATTTAAGGCCATACTCGTTTTGGTTTTTTCCCAGAATTGTAAAAAATGACCCAAAACTAAAAATCGTTCATTTAAATCTGGCTCATAAATGCATAATTACGCGCTTCAATTTAGAATTTAAATATCTTTCTTATTTTCTTTGCATATCTTTCTGATTTAAGTGTCTCAGCTGATGTAAGTACATGTAGTTTTAGGCTTTTTGTACCTCAGACGGTGGAGTTCCTGTAATATATTTACTTGCCACAATAAACGTTTGTGCACAAAGAACGTTTGATATAAAAATGACATTTTATTGCAGATGTATACAATTAAACATTTAGTTTATCGGTAAAGTTGATTTAGATATTATATTTATATTGTTATACATACGTAGCCGACAGTTATTCATTGTGTATAAAACTAGCATTCATTTTTACATTAAAACAAAACAAATAAAAGTTGATAAAATATATTTGTGTGTATGTCTTATAGTACTTTGCTGAGTTTATTAAAGTTTCAGTAAATATTTTAGTAGCCAGAACAAGCAGTTTTAACAAAAACCTGTAGGTATTTTATATCTTTATACACAATTATGTAATGTAAATGCATATATATATATTACTAATGTATTTTCTCATTCTAATATAGAAAGGCAGTATTTGTTTAAAAGATGTTTTACATATGATTTTATTCATTGATGAAACTATAAAAAATAATTTTCGTTACTCGCACTCCCCACCGCAACTCCGCCACTGCACTGAAACGCTCGCGGGAACTGACTGACGGGTGCAGCGAACCATAGGCAATCTATTTTGCATGGCCTTTACTTTAAAAGCCACTTGTCAAAACTTTGGAAATGTTCGGATGCGATCGTAAAACTTAAATGGACTTTTTAAATGTTTAAGGCTGAACAATAATGAATATCTGGATAATTATTGATTAGTGATTGCAGGAGTTCTCATCAGGTAGGCTTTTTACATGTATGATATTATGTCATAATAAGTTTATAACATCAGTTGCTGGTTAGAGTGCAGGTAAATAGTAAATACGTGTTTATTTTTAGCGTGTCAGTACAGAAGCCACCAAAAGTATGGACACATCGTATTTTCAGTAGTACGATAAATGTAAATATAAAACAGTAAATAATAACGAAAATATTTATATTTATTGTTAATGTTTGTGCTAATGTTACAAAAATACCGTCACTGTATATAATAGTAATTAAACTACCGGTATAAAAGATATTACTTTGACGGAGAGACTTAATAGTAGTTTGTAAGCGGAGTAAAACACATTTTCGATTTGATGTCAGATGTTAATAATGACTTAGTTGTTTTCTTTTTATGGTAAACTTTGTTTTCTCTATATTATATATATGTAATGTTATGGTATTATGAAATCTTTCCTTAACACCTGTTTATATTTACATAAACAATAAGTTAGTACTGTTCAAAGACCAATTACACATATGTTTTAAAAGATGGTTATTATAACGAAAATTTAACTAATGTTACATACAAGTCTAAAATTGATATTGATCCATATATAAAGTTTACAATTATTCAGTTATGAGATATCAAAGTAATGACTATAATACGTTCATGGGTTCAAACCCAATCAAGGGCAAGTCGTTGTATCCTTGAGCAAGAAACTTTACACTCATTGCTCAGTACTGGTTGGTTCCAGGAACGGATTCGAAAGTGTGTCTATAAGCTTATAGCTTCCTACACAATCGAACTAAAATAAATTCTGTATAAACCAATACGTTCGTTGACAAAACTAACCAAAAAAGAGTTTTGTATGCGCTAAAAAAATTTCCTATTTCAAACTTTTGGACGGTACTGTAGCATGATAAACTTAGCATGAATAACAGCCGCCGATAAGAATGTAAACAACCACAACGATAAGCAAGTTAAAATCTCAATTGAAAAATCTGTTAACTTGTGTTTATATACATGTACACTGTTTGTTAACTTCTTAACCTACTTTAACATATGCAGACTTTGACCTATATATAAAATGTAGAAATACGTATTTTAGTGTACATGAAAAGTATGTGCTACTGGACAGAGCATGGTGTATTAACGTTTTATGAAGAAGAAAAAACATATCAAGCCTGGATGGAGCTTGCAAACATCTCTCTAGACATCCCCGCCCCCCCCCCCCCCCCCCCCCTAACACACACCACCACCACCACTGCTACACTTTTAAACTTTCTTTCATGCTAATTTTGTTTTTTTCCCCCGCAAATATACCCAAATATATTGATATAATAACCGTTTAGCAAAGAGATCAGCTGCAGATGATTGCATTTTGAAATGTTATGTCAATTAGAGCTTGTAGAGTTTTAGAATACAAGGGTGAAACATTTTTGTTATTTTTTGTTATAAATTCGTTTTAAATCAAACGAAATCTTCAGACTTTTCTGATTAATATGTCTTAGGTTTTTATGTCGAACAATTAATTATGTAAGAACATTTGTCTTCTTTCTTCACAAGTCACTTTGCTTTACAGTGTATTACACTTTACAGAATCTAGTTGACTATATTCCAATCCTTTTTAGTTTACAAAAGGTTATCAGGTAAATTCGGTAGTTTTTGAACACCTCACAACTTGAAGATTCCGATGATGATAACATTTATAATATGTCATTCGGCGTCACTTCGTTAATATTGTCAGGTGCATTGCTTTAATTGTCGGACGTCTGTCATCATTATAAAATGTATATTGAGCCCTAGGGCAAATGGACAATGTTTAATGAAATAAAATTCTACGTTGAACAAAATATTGTGAGTAGTGAACGTTCATGAGTAAACAATTAATACATATATAGAGGTAAACCTTGTTCAGGTGTAGAATACATACCAGCAGTAATTTAAAGGCCCATTATGCCTCAGAAATGTTATAATTTTACTTCTCAAAAACTTATTTTGGTTTCTTGTAACAGTTTTCAAAAATATACGCATTTGCTTAATAATCTATCTTTTGCATCTTTAGCTCCGTTTATGAATAGGGAAATAATCGACGAAAAGAAACACTGATACTGTTAATTTCATTTAGAACAATTTAATTTTTTTCCTATTTAACAAGGTATTCTGAAATTTGATGTTTGTCGCCAGACGGGCGTTAACTTCTACATTTCTCAATTTTCGCAACACTGTACATAAAGTCCTTAAATGTTGAGGTGCAAATTGATAGGACCTTAATGATTGGACTTTTTAAGTTAAGCTAAAATATGGCCCTTTGTTTGAGTTATTTCATACATCATTAATATATTCTTTTCTGTGAGTAATTCTTCCTTCAATTATTATGGTATTTAAACCAAAATTTTACATACCTGCTGTCACAAAGTGCACCTTGCAAAAAGGAATTAATAAGGAGTTTAATAATATTTCATAGTATAAATATACACACAATATACAAATTCACAATTTATCAAGTGTACATACAAAGGGATTGTGCTAAATGTTCTAGCAACATAACAGTAGGCCCTTAACTGAGGATGCGCTTTTTGTCCACAAGACCTTCAAACATTTCTAAATGGATTTCAAGACATTATTTTTATATTATATCAACCTGCATTTGTAACAATTCCTGTCGCTGGGTGTTTGTTTCTTTTGTTAAATTATATTATTTTTTACATATTTTCAGGAACCCCTGGTTGGAGTTTCAGCTATGTTTGGACTTCGGCTGCTTTCACTTCTGGCATGTGTTACCATGGTAACGGGTGATGACAATTTTAATGAAACTTTTCACGTCTATCGACTGGACTCTACAGTAATAACCTATGAGTATCCATGGCAGCCTTCTTCGGAATGCTTCTACGACCAACGTTTAGATATGCTTACATGCGTGAAAAATCATCCATATGCGAATGTAACATCAGTATGGAAAGAATCACCAGAAGATGTCTTATACATAAGCGTGAACTGCCTTTCACGAGGACAATACCGTAAAAATGCATGCATTTGCAAGTCTTCAGCGGCTAGTTCAAAGGATGGCTCCGATAGGGAGTCGTATATTCCTTGTCAGCTGAGGCGATTAGACGAAGGTATCTTAAAACGTCTGGTTAATTTAGAAGTTGTTGATCTGTCGTTTAATCAAATAACAACAGTCTCTCGGCGGGCATTTACTGGATTAAAGAAATTGAAATATTTATCGCTTAACAATAACATGATAAAAGAAATACCGTCAGGACTTCTCTGTCAGACTCCAAACTTGGAATATTTGGGATTTAGTGAGCTTGTTTTGACTTCGTATCCAGATCAGAGTTTTAGATGTAAAGGAAATTTTACCAGTTTGAAAGTGATGGAAATAAGAGGAGGAAAATTTACAGATATACCAGACGATGCTCTGGACCATCTGCCTGCGCTGCAGTCGTTAGATTTGAGTTTTACTCACATCACGCAAGTAAAGAAAAGGGCTTTCTCCGGAAGTCGTTTCTTAGAATTTTTAGACTTGTCGAATTGCAACATATCTAGTATATTTCCATATTTCTGCGATTATTTACCACATATTTCACGCCTGTATTTGCATGACAACAATTTTACGACATTTGATTTTACGACAGTCGAAAAATGTTCTTCCTTGACCCACCTTGACCTTTCTTCAAATTATATTGGTACGTTGTCAGGTAATATGACTCATTTGAAGGCACTAACCGCGATTAATCTAGGGTTTAATAGACTTGAATATTTAAACATGACTTTTAAAGGGCTAGACAATCTGACTGCCTTTTTCTTAACTCACAATAATTTAACAACCCTGCATGATCACATGTTTGAGGGGTTGCTTAATTTGATTATTTTGGATATATCAGGAAACAGAATCAACGATAGCACAAACTTTGATTCCGTCTTTGGTGACCTTGAAAATCTGCACTTACTTGACCTTAGTTTCAACAATATTAATACGGTTTCAGACAAAGCCTTTTCAAGCTTACAGACATTGAAGCAGTTACTTCTTAATCAAAATTCTTTAGACAAACTACAGCCATTATCGTTTAATGGTCTCACTTCTCTCGACCATCTAAGTTTGGACAATAACCGTCTGTCAACACTTCCAGACGACATTTTCAAGCCGTTTATATCCGAAAATGAAACAATCCTGAGTCATTTGACGATGAGCTACAATAAATTGTCAACATTATCAAACATTGCCAACTGGCCAAAAACTAAATATCTTGATATATCAAATAATAATTTAGAGTCAGTACCATCAGCTTTAGATTATTCAAAAATGGAAGTGCTCAATGTTTCACACAACAAAATTGTGTCGTTCTTTGGAAAACAAGAAAATCTGATAGCTGACTTTGCAAGCATGACTTCAATCGACTTATCATATAACGCTATAGTTGATATTGACACGACTAAACTCCGTACAATGACCAACCTGACTCATATGAACGCCGAAAGTAACAAACTGGATTTTGTTCTCAACAGTGCAACCTTTAAAAGCATGGGAAACTTGAAGGATTTGAACCTAGCAAATAACAGTATTCATTCTATTGATAACCCTTTCAGTGCGGGTTCATTGCAAAATCTTACTGTTCTGAATATTTCAAGGAACTTGATACAAAATTTAGGCAATTTGTCGCAGAATTACAATGGATCGATGCTAGAAACAGTTGACATGTCAAAATGTAATATTTCAACTATTGGAGAACACACGTTCCGAGGTTTACTCAAACTTAAGAGTGTGGATCTGCGTGAAAATGTTATTGAAACTTTCCCGCCATTTTTGGCCGATGTATCAACAAACTATAATATTGTCGATAATCCTTTACTTTGTGCATGCAACATGTCTTGGTTGAAAGAAATGTATGTAAACTTTACGGAGGAAAGTAAAAAGGTTCCAGTAGCTAATTATAAAGTTTCCAAGTGTAGAGTTTATACTGAACAAGCTGTGTACATTCCAACGGATTTAAAGCGTCAGCAATTTCTGTGCCCGGATGTAGATGATTGTGACTCGCAATGCTCGTGCTTTAAAACAAATTTGAACGGAAACATTACAATTATTGAATGCCGTCATAACTTAAGTGTCATGCCAAAGTTGTCCCCGAAAGCGCTTTCTATATTTCTGGACGGAAATGATTTTGTTGAAAGGACATCGCTGTCAGAATTGTTGAATTTAACGGAAATGGAAGCCAAAGAATTATATATGAATAAAAGTAAAATATCATACTTAAAATCGGAATACTTTTCTTCATTTGGGCGGCTAGAAATTTTAGATCTTGCTTTTAATCTATTGACAACTTTGCCGTCTGGAATATTTGAATCTCAGACAATGCTCAAGCAATTGTATATGAATGACAATTTATTACAAACAATTGAAGTAAACGTGTTTAATAATTTATACAGCCTCAAAGAACTTGATATAAGTGGAAACAATTTGGTGGTCTTATCACCTACAACTGTAACAGAGCTATCTGATTTGGACTATATGAGATATTATTTTCTTGCACGAAATAAATGGACTTGTGGCTGCGCAAACCTTGGTTTCAAAGACCTGGTTGATGACGTGCAGAATAAAATACGTGATAGAAACTCACTTGTCTGTGAACAAGGAACCTTGAAGAAAGAAATACGATACATGCCTAGATCTGATTTTCTTTGTTCAGTCAAAGACAACTCAAAAGATTCAAAGAAAACGATTTTTATACTTGTTATTGTTGTTATTTGTATAGTGTTGATTTTGTTGGCTCTGTTTGTATACTTCAGACGTGAAGTGTTGTCTGTTTTGTATTATTTAACCGGATGTCACATACCTGGTAAAGCCAGATATATCGGAGTTCAGTTTGATGCATACCTGACCTTTGATCCTGCCGACCAGCACTGCTCTACTTACGTTCAAACCATACTGATGCCAAAATTGAAAAACAATTCTTTTAATATTCAGACATCATCAGATGTGATTCAAGACTTGGAAGTCACCAGAAAAGTGATCGAGGACAGCCGCTGTACTATATTCATTATAGACAAAAATTTTGCGACAAATTCATTTCTGTTGGACACATTTCTTATAGCTACTGAGAGACACAGAGCTGAGAAACGTCATAGAGTCATAATAATTATACACGGTGACATTGACCTTTTAACATTAGAACCGGAACTTCTGAAGCGCATGCGCAAGGGAGATTACATAACGGCTAGATCAAAACTCTGGTGGCAGAGACTAGTTTATGAACTTCCGGAGCAGAATTCTGGTTTCCGGCATGGGTTAGAGAATGATGAAGATGATGTAGTTGTTTTCAGTTCACTTGCCGAGGACCAGAGCAAATATCAACAGTTTTAATAAATTGCATTTTAATAAATTGCATTAGGCAAGTAAATCTTAGACAGAATGCAAATAATAGAGTGGTTGTTGTATTATCACGCCAGTATTATGTTTGTTTGGAGTTGTTCAAATGGGCTTTTGCCCATGTACGTCATAGACAAAGGACAATATATTTAACATAATTATAGACAGACCAATCATTTCATGATAATGCTCCAGACAATATCACCCATTTTTCAGATGGAGACACTTTGATAATATGATTGTAATTTTTAAGACCACATCTTTATTAGTTTGCTAGAACCGAAAGTGATATGCTTTTTCAGTGTAGTCTGGCCAGGCCTGATACTGTATGCAACTTAATTGTTGTGCTAAACTGGAATTGAAATATCTTAAACTTTGAACTGACTGTTCCAAATGTTCCAAATACATTACACAAAACCAGAAGGTTCAGGGTACATATAACAAAACATGTTCAAATCTATATAATAAGTTGATAGATATTTTATATAAGATTTTTTGTGTGTTTCATAGAATTTAAACACCTAACACTTGTACATGTTGCCTTGTATGTCAAATCTGTTAGTATTAAATATAGAGTGTCAATAATAAACATTATAATGCAGGCTATTTGACTGAAAAACTGGCAAAGGTTACATATGATATTATTGTATGAAATATGGTAAATTGTTTATTGTTTATGATTATGTTGTTGCATTTATGACATGTACGAAGTTGTATGTCTGTGATGGTTAAAATCTGTAGAATATAGTAGCATTTCAATGATATTCAATCAAACCCTATTAAGGAAAATTATTGGGCTTACACAAAATGTTTTATGAACAGCATTCTAGCATGTTACAAGTGTCCTCATCCATTTAATTTGAAGATACATTGAATTATGTTTGTTCTTTATTATGAATTCTTCCTCAACTACCTAACATGCATTACACTTCTCAACGTCTAGTCTCAAATACATACTTTGTTCACGCATCTAGTTTGTTCAGGCATCTTCTTTGTTGAAACATGTAGATTGTTTTTAACATCGCGTTGATTCAGACATCAAGTCCAATGTAACTCGCTTTAAAACCCAAGTATCAGACATATTATTAGAGACTTGTATACACATTTACATGTATTTTTTGTATTTTGGAGATAATCATGACATTTTGTTACAATCCTGATAAAACGAATCTGTGTTTTCACATATACATTCCTGTACTTTAACCATGAGAAATAAACGGTGCTATGAATAATTTGAATTTGTTACTTTATTGTTAGCTCACCTGAGCTAGCTCAGGGTGAGCTTAAATTAGGATCGTTGAATGTCCGTCGTCCGTCCACATTTGTTTGTTAACACTCTAGCTGTCACATTTTTACCTCGATCATCATCAAACTTTGTCAGGATGCTTGTCTATGTAATTGCTCGTATGAGTTCGAACATGGGTCATCTCGGATGAAAAACTAGGTCACAGGGGCTAAAAATGAAGAAAAAAATGTTAACACTGTATTGGCTACTGTTTTGATCGAAATATCCTGGAAATTGGTCTGAAAGTCTGTTTTGATGATTTCTAGGTAAAGTTTGAATATGGGTCACCTGGGGTCAAAAACTAGGTCACACTGCTCAAATATGGAAAATCCTTGTTAACACTCTAGTGGTCGCATTTTTGACTCACCTGTCACGAAACTTGGTCAGGGTGCTGGTCTAGGTAATTGCTCGGATGAGTCAGGTGAGCGATCAAGGGCCATCTTGGCCCTCTTGTTAATGTTTGTACAAACGTCAATCAACGAAACCTTCTATTGTTACTAGTGTCAATACACAAAGTTTGACGGAAATGGTCGAGAAGCAACGATATGCTGTACAAACCGAAATTAGTATATGTTATCAAATACATGTACTTGATAAGCTTGACAGAATATTATTTGGTTATAAAAATAGAGTGAAGTTAATTCATCTGTCTCTGGCTATGTGTGTCACGTGTGTTAAAGGGTTTCACTCCTAAAACCGTATTATTTTGAAATTCTTACATAGATCCATTGATGCACTAAAAGGAAAACAAAAACATACAATAGATAAAGTATTAAAAAGATGCCAAGAATGAAATTGAAAATCAATTTTGTGCCCTTCTTAGCACGAGCTGTGTTAAAACGATTGAAAGGTTTTCAATCTTGCACTATAGTAAAAATCATTAATCTGGGAAAATGGAGTGAGCGAATAATTGGAAATTTTGCACTCAACCTATATCATAGGGTTCACAAATATAAAAAAATCCTGTTCCTTCATATCTGTGTCCGTACAAATTTTACAAAAACCACTGCAATCCGTAGCCGTCAGAGAGCTGTGTATATCTTTTCAATTTTAATCTTAATTTTTAATATTTGATGTTTCTTTCATTATGCATAATGTATACAAAAAAGTCAAGAATTTAACGTATTTTGTAAAGGAATATTTCGCTAAAATAACGAAAGTATTTGGTATGTAACGTGATACTGTAAATGTATAAGTTACCGACATAAACTACTTCTTCTTCTCTTTTTCTCTATATTTAACATTAAGATGAGTCTCATTTCCTGCCTGCTATGCATTTCAAATTTTGTTTAAATGACTGGTATAGCAAGTTAGAAGTAACATTTATTATAGTAAAATTGCGTGGCGGCTACAGTTGTAACTTCATTTCAAGCCTATTTCATAATTTTCTAATTTCCTAAATATTTGAACCACATGACATCGCTAATGAAAACGTATACAATGCCGAAAATCATTACAATTTTAGGGGAAAAAAACGTTTGTAAATCAATTTATCTATATGACGACCATGATCACTCTATCAGTTAACCTTTAAGTAAATGTAAATTAGTGTCTATAATTATAATTATTAATACATGTTGAAATATGTTTTTTTTTTTCAAAACGGCTTATATTAAGTTTTTTTTATATATATGATCATTACATGTGCTGGGATTGACAAATATGCATTTTATTTGGATTTTAAAGGCATTTTGAGCTCCAAACCCCAAGTGTCTGTGCAATTCTGGTCACGAGATATACATATCGTCACGTGAGTTTTAGCAAATCGTGACGTTACTGCTGCTAGTAGTTTTGGCGTACTAATACACAAACAAATGCATGCATAAGTTAATATTTTCAATTGCTACCTTCAAAAATACCTTTGTAATTAATATAATTAAACGTACATGTATACTAGTAATACAAAATCTTACAGAATACGAAAATCTACTCATCGACGGTGAGTGATTTATTATTTTTTTTTGTTTTTGTTTTTTTATTATTATTATTATTATTGTTATTATTATTATTATTATTTTACAACTATATTTACTGCGTAACAATTTATGTAATTCGGTTCTGCTCGCTTTTGAACAAAAATTTTATAGTCTCAGAAAGCGTCTAGTTTAGCGAAAAAATCCATATTCTGACTTGGACATAATATTATTGATCCTACCAGATGAGGAGCATATTTTGATAACTTTTTTTTTCGATTTCGAGTTATTTTTGTTTAATATGAACTATTCTTGAAGAAACTGAAATGCTTGCAAGCCCTTCTTAATTTTTTCGATAATTAATGTTGTTACGTGAGTAAAGATGCGGTCGGTGCAAATGGTGTGACTGTTGTATCTTTATATGAGCCGCGTCACGACAAAACCAACATAGTGTGTTTGCGACCAGCATGGATCCAGACCAGTCTGCGCATCAGCGCAGTCTGACCAGGATCCATGCTGTTCGCTTACCAACCCTATTACAAGTAGAGAAACTGATAGCGAACAGCATGGATCCTGATCAGACTGCGCGGATGCGCAGGCTGGTCTGGATACATGCTGGTCGCAAACCCATTATGTTGGTTTTGTCGTTTCGCGGCTCATATTATGTCCCAGGGTACACGTAAGTGTTATACATACAATATCATGTATATTTAAAATTGGCTTCATATCTCCTTTTTACCAAATTGCAATATTATGATTATATAGACCTGGATTTATACAGGTCAATAACCCAGTATAAACGTATATCTGCAAAAGTAATCATTTCATTGCTGACATGAGTGAATTATGAAATAAGAAAATGAATAGATAACTAGATACATAATTATACATGTATAGCATTCTTTTTAAGACCTTTTACTTTTTTACTTTTTATCCTTTATTTTTTTAATGTTTTTATCCTTTCTTTTTTTATTCGCACTGCAAACGGTACTTTCAATCCACGTCATTACAAAATAAAGGTCGATATATATATTTTAAATAGTTTTAACACATCTGCGGATGTTTCAAAATTCAAAAATGTACCAGTTCATGTTAAATGTTGAATTCTGTTTAAGCCGGTGCTAGGGGGCGTGGACTATAACTTGCACTTTCCATTACCGTCCATGAACAGGCACAATCACAGCGAGTCTGCAACATTTTCAATTTTGCCGTGTTGGGCTTTCTTTAGGGATTCTTATTTTCTCTATTTACTGCATTTGAATGATTTGTCCCGCAGTAGAAATATGGTGATAAAAGCTGGAAAATCAGTCAGTCTTTGTATATCCTCGACTGACATTTTAATCATTGTGAATATTTTCTTAAAACCTTAGTACATTTTTCTCAAAATTTCTTAATTATGTGGCTCGTGCGGAGGTATGTAGCTTAAGTTAACAGAGTTAATAATTTAGTGGTATTTTATCAAAATGAGTCCAATATCACAAATAGTTACTTCTTCTACACCGTACAGCGCATGCGTATTGAGTAAATGGAAGCGCCGAAGTCTGCAAAAATTTCAGAAACCGGCTTTAAATTCCTTCAGTATTGTAGGACAGCATTTCAACAAACTCCTTTAAGTCAGTTCAAAATACATTAAACAAAATGGCGAGCGTTTCTTACCATATCGCCAATCTTCTTGAGAAGGTAAATTGAACGATTAGAATTGTATTGTTTTTACCCCACCCACACTAATTTTATTGTCAAAATAGTCAATTTCAAATTATAAGTGTCATTAAAGTTCAAAGCAATGGTATATTTCCATTTTTCCAGTGGTAACTTTGGTAAATGTTTTTGCATTTTCAGTCATACAATCATTCAGTCTGGACATTTTAGATTTTCAGTTTTTCCTGGGCTCCAGAAAACTTGTGCATTTGCGTGAATCACTAGGCTACTGGCTAGTGATCAGGGTTCTCACTAGGACTTTAAAACATGGAGTCCATGGACTCCCAACCCTGAAAAAGTTGGAGTCCAAAAGCGTGTCGCAATTAATATGTTTACAGATTAGTCATTCAATGTGCATTAGCATTGCTGATATTTTGAATCTTCAAGAAGACTTTCAAAGTTTTAGTTATTCAAAAGAAACTCTGAACTACATAGTATAATTATTGTTTTGTTGTTAATATTTATTATGAAATGATTTTATTTTAATGCATCAACACATGGAAATCGGTTTTCTTGTTTGTTTGTTTTTTCACTTTTATACCAAATCAAATTTTATTCTGATTAAATAAGTCCATGCTAAAGACAAAAAGTTTATATTTGTAAAAAAAAACGTAAATGTATATAGGCAGCGTTTAGCGGAATGAATAGGAAAATCGTGTACAGCTTCACACAGTGTGTAAGAGATTCATCCGATCGACAATTATTTTAGCAAATATCTTCAAAAGGGGGCAAATTGAAGATCGATATTTAAAGATTTAATGTTGATTAAATAATAAAGGAACAATTCATTCACATGTTTGGCTTGGAAACTGAAAATTTTTGCGAAATTTTAGGGTTTCTGGCGAACGTGAAATCGCCGATGTTCAGGATCAATTTTCGGATAGAATCTAAATATCAAAGAAAAGCGTATGTGTATTTTGGTTTGTTGTCCTGGCATTTCGGCACAATATCTTAAATTCTTAATACTTTTATAGAACGTTTTTGCAAGAATGAAACTAAAGCAAAATTGTGCCTAGAAAATGCCGAAAATATTCGACAATCATTCAAAATTACACTCATTTGTAATTTGAGAAAACAGTCTTTAAACTTGCGGCGTAAATAGTCGATAATTTTATCCTTTAGTCGGTAAAATTTGCTAATTTCCAATCAACTGTTGATCAAAGATATAAAATTATCACCTCGTGTTATATCTGGTAATTACATGTACAGCGCGTGTATACATTAGTCTGATCACTATTGCGTGATAATGATCGGAAGCGTTATCGCTAATTGGCTAATCGCTTCACGGGTCGATGTGCATAGGACCGCCTACATGTACCTATAGACTGACACGCGCTGACATATTTGTGGTTGTAAACAATCGGTAATGTTTATGCGTCCCCAGGCAAAATTAAGCGTACGTGGAATCCTTGCTCTGAAAAATATGCGTCCAGCTGTAATAAACATGCGTCCGAAATACGCCGAAATAATTGTCCCCGAGAACCCTGGTGATGTTAACTTACACACAGAATGTCTGAATGTGGCCGGCCTTGTGAGTGCTGTAGCACACATAGATAACATTAATGATGTGTATAAGTTATGCTGCCATAAGTGAAATTGAAATCACAATATAATCAATAATAGAGTCAAAGTCTAACAAGTTTAAGAAAAACCCGTAGTTGATCAGGGCACTGCCATTTGAAAATCTTGAATGGGCCCTCGGGTTTAAATTTTTTAAGTTTACCTAAGACCTCTCAATGTTCACAATATTTTTTTTCAAGAATTTGCGTCTTTCGGCAGACAACATGGAATTTCATCTTGTCCAATGCCCAGAAAAATCGGTGAGCTTTTCTCCTTGCAATTCATTCTGTAAATCAGGGAATGGAATGGGTTGGGAGAGCGATGGGAATGGATAGTTAAAGGGAAAGATACTACGAAGAGGGGAATGTCTGAAAGAGGTCAATTGGGGATAAAAGAAATAAAAACTCTTGCCCAGTTATAACACTCCGTGCTCAGTTACTGAAAATGCAGAAATCACGTTGTATAAAACTACAAAGGCATTTCTATATGTTTTCTGTCCATAAACAGATTTACAACCATGTAAAAGTCTTGTTCAGAGTCAAAGACAGTGACCCTAATTTTCTGGACATATGATATTCATTGCAATAAAACCCCTTTCTACAACCTATACTATTCCAGGGATAGACCTAAAATTTAGGGAGAAGTGACTTCTCCCTCCAGTGAAAATAGGGAGAAGTTTTTACAGGGTTCGACACTAACTGTTTTAACAAGGGATCCCATAGGAATCCCTGAGATTTAATTCAGGGATTCCTCCTAAATGTCAGGGATTCCTCAGATCAAAATAGTAAAATATGAAGGCGAAGAATAACAAGGGAGTGTAGCAATCAGATTTCAAATTCTTTTTTTAAAGGCCACATACATGATATATTGCCTTGTTTCAGATGCAGAAAATGTAGTTTATGAGCCCTTTGGTTTTTTTTGTTTGCTTGGATTTTTACAGCATGTCAACACATAACTGGCCATATGAGCCCTTTGGAAATATTGCTGTTTAAAGTTTTAAAAGTGTTTCAAAGTGTTTTCTTTACTTGTATATATATATAATTGGACTGCTAAGATAAATTAAAACATAATACATTTTTTACATGCACGTAAACAGAATAACATTAAGCTCACCCACTGAACAAGAGTTCGATTTGAAAATAAAACCTGTTTTCTCCCTGGGGTTGGTAATTGTGAACCATGCAGTTTCTGTAAATGAAGGTATAATGCAAGTGACTGGGCAATGGGACTTAGGGTTTGAACTTTTGAAGTTAAGTAGGAACTGGGGAAACATTTTCCAAGATAGCCTAGGGTTCACTGAAATAGAGCCAACAAATCATCTTTAAAAACTTACAGGTAATGATTAGGCTCCATATTCCAGTAAGTTCTGGTATGGATAACTTTTGGAAAATATTTACTTTCATGTCATTTAAAAAGAAATGTTTAATTATGATCACTTTAAAAAGATAAGTGATTTTCAGCTTACTGTACACGTTTTGTGTTTAAAAGGAAATATCCCATAGATTGTTGTAAATTAAATATTTTGTTAAATATTTACTAAAGCTAAAATATCAAGAAAAAAGTTTTGTTTGTACCTTCAAATGATTTCGTTTTTAAAAGTAAAATTGTAAAGTGTAATATCCAAATTTATTACAATTTATCTCAATTTTTACACTGCAATGTCCGATTCTTTTCCTCCCTGTGTGTATTGATTTTTTTTAAGTTTTGACATATGCCACATCAAAGGCACTCAACAACAGTCATGTAGTTCAGAACACTGATTGGCCCAAAGAACTGTCAGATGAAATATACGTCATTTGGTGTATGTTTCACCTTAGGATTTTTCTAATTTTTTTGTCGGTAAATTATGCATGACCTTGATTGACCTTATAACACTTCAGTCTTTAGTTAGACATTTAAGCATATAAGGCTGCAGAGTTTCAAAAAGGATTTTAAGCTGAAAAGTATGGATTCTTTTTATTCTATTTATTAATTATACTTTTGCTGTACTTCAGGGAGAAAAAAAATACATCAGTAATCTTTTTGTTTTTTCACTTTTTTTACGAAAATTTACAATGATCACAAATGCCGATTTTTGGCACACAAAAAAAACACGTACTTGTTAACTTCGTAGCTACCGCCGGCAACGCTGATCTGCACATATTTGAAGTGCACACCGCTCGTGTAAAAAATTATACGATAATTATATTTCTTTCTTGAATTTTCACAACTTAACAGGGCTTTTTTTGACAGGTTGGGGAAGCAGCCCTGTCCTTAATTTTGGGGAAAAATTACACGGTATATTTGCCAAAGGGGAAGAAAAAACTTGATGTAAATTCAATTTTGGGGGAAAACTGCATGATTTTAAAGAATTTTCTTTGGGGAAGCAGCCCTATAACGGCCCCTACTAAAGAAGGAAAAAAGGCCCTGCTTAATATTATGAAGTCAATGCATGATATAAAATTATTCAAGAATGTTTCTTTAGCCAAAATATTTTTCATTATATATCGCAAATGAGTTGATAGCAGTCACTGCACAAAGGAAATCTGGCGTACATGATTCAAGAGCGTAGATTTTACCGGCGGGACTTTTCTTTTCTTTCTTGAACCTTGCAGTTGTGCCAGTCTTTATTAACACTTTTCTTGAATATTTGTGATTCAATGATATTAATTCAGACAATTTCAAAAATTTACACAGCAATTTTTCAGGGATCCCAACGGAATCCCCAGCTAGGAATCACAGAGATTCCTCCCGACTTTTTGGGATCCTCGGAATCCCGGGATCCCGTTAATGTCGAACCCTGTTTTAGGGACAAGGAGAAGTGCATACGAACTGCATTTTTTTGAAGTGTTGATGTTCCATTTCTAAGTTTTAAGATTGATTAACATTATGTGGAGTACATAACAGTTTATTAAGTAACTCATAACAATATACAGCAAAATTACAAATGTGGCAGTTTTTTTCCCTTCTATACCATCTTTATCATAGGTTTTGTGTAGCTTGTTTTGATTTTAATGCTGCAGCCATGTGATGTTGTGCTGAAATAAAAGAAAAAAATATTTTAGTATCACTAGTAGGCCCCTAGGCCCTATACATGTATTTCATTATTTTCCCCAGAAATAGGGAGTGCCGAGTCAAAGTTCATATAAACTTAATAAGGTTTATGTGGATGCTTTTTTCTTTATTTCATTTATTTATTATCCCCCGCCGAAAAATTTCGGCGGAGGATATAGAAATAGTCTCCGTCCGTCCAACCTTCCGTCCGTCCGTCCGTCCTTCCGTTCGACATTTTTGTCCGGAGCATATCTCTAAAAGTATTTGAGTTATCAACTTGAAACTTCATAGGTGGATAGACCTCATTTGGGAGGAGTGCAGTGCACAAGAATGATAACTCTACCTTGCATGATTTTTGAGTTATTGCCCTTTGTTATTTTTCAAAATTGATTTTTGTCCAGAGCATAACTCCAAAAGCCTATGAGATATTAACATGAAACTTTAGGTGCATAGATCTCACTCAGGAGGTGTGCAGTGCACAAGAATGATAACTCTACCTTTCATAATTTTTGAGTTATTGCCCTTTGTTATTTTTCATACCTAATTTTTCACCTGAGTGGAGCATAACTCAAAAAGTGTTTGAGATATCAACATGAAATGTCATAGGTGGATAGATCTTATTGAGGAGGAATGTTGTGCGCAAGAATGATAACTCTTCCCTATACAATTTTTTTGAGTTATTGCCCTTTGTTTTTTTTATGCTATTTTGTCCAGAGCTTATCTCAAAAAGTATTTTAGGTATCAACTTGAAACTTCAAAGGTGGATGGATCTCATTGAGGAGGAGTGCAGTGCTTAAGAATGATAACTCTACCCTGCATTATTTTTGAGTTATTGCCCTTTGTTATTTTTCAAAATTAATTTTTGTCCAGAGCATAACTCAAAAAGCCTTTGAGATATCAAAATGAAACTTCATAGGTGCATAGATCTCACTCAGGAGGTGTGCACTGCACAAGAATGATAACTCTACCTTTTATAATTTTTGAGTTATTGCCCTTTGTTCTTTTTCATACTTAATTTTTCAATTCAATTTTTTTCTCAAAAAGTATTTGAGGTATCAACTTGAAACTTCATAGGTGGATAGATTTTACTGAGGAGGGATGCAGCACACAAGAATGATAACCTACCCTGCATTATTTTTCAGTAATTGCCCTTTGTTATTTTCAGCCATCAGTATTCACATAGGTTTCATATCTGTAATCACTATAGCCATCAGTTTTCATTACCAAAAGACCTCTTAAAATGGAATTATTCCGCTCTACTACATATACATTCTTCCAATGAGCAAACACATTCGGCGGGGGATGGCCATGTTGACATGGCTCTTGTTTATTTTTTAAAGAAAATCTAACGTGTACCTAGTTGTTAATTTTTTTTTTCTTCGACGGACTTTTTCTGCATAATGCATTAAATCTATCGGTAAAAAAGTTCTTTTAAAGAATAATAATCAAGGAATAAATCATCACCAACATTTATAACAGCTAGAGACCCATTTTCAAAATTGCTGAGACAATTGTAAACATCGATACATGTGACCAACACTTTTGGCGACACGCTTTTGTACAGATAAGATCACTAAACTTACCGACTAATTAATGCAATAAGTATGCCCCCAATTTATCCTAACTGGCATGAATCGCCAATACCCGAAGATGTCAACCATTCAATTCCAACACTCGCTAAATTGTCTCGCTGCGTTTCATTGGCTTTCCAATTTTACGGACCAATGAAAATGCGTTTAACAAATCGCTTTGAAATAGGAGGAGCGTAGACGATTACCGAGGTGCTTGACACTTTAGAATTTATTGCAACCGTTTGTTAAAAATTAGGGCGACTTTGTTTTCGCTTTTCTGAGCGATCCGGGCGAAATGGAGAGAGACAAGGCGTTTTTGTCGCCCAAGTCGCCTAGAAACTAGATCCCTGCTATACAACTGCATTAGACACTAGACAGTAATTATAGCACCTGTAGACACTTTGAAGTTTATGACAATAGCAAACATTACTTTTTAAAATTTATCTAGTTTTACATGTACAAATATTTTTTCTATTGAATTGCTAATGGGAAAATTTAAAACCTATCACTCTAGCGTGAATATTGAATGAAATATGGCCTATCAGCTTCAATTCCAGACAAAAGACAGGACTCTGTCAAAAGTTTTAACAAAAGTATACTTGTCTTTAGATTTACAATTTTGATTTAGTTTTTGTACTTTCCCACTGTTTTTAGTAAAGGGCATTAATTATACTCTTTAAGGTATTTCCATAACTCTTTATGCCTTTTTTTTCCCAACAAGTCAATGTGTAACTTTACTTTACTTATTCAGTAGTCACTTACAAGTACTTAAAAAAAAGTAATCAATAGTGCTACAGACAGCTTTTGTTTAATTTGGAGCCATCAACATTAAAGAAAGGGGAAAATATTGTAAAAATTGAGTGCTTTATTAAATGTATGCATTTTTTTTCTTTCATAGATGACATCCAATGACAAAGATTTTCGTTTCATGGCAACAAATGATTTAATGACAGAGTTACAAAAAGATTCAATCAAACTGGATGATGACAGTGAAAGAAAGGTTTGCTTCACTTTAGGGTTTTAATACTTGAAATAATATATTTTACTTGCAGTGATTTTTTTCGTTTAATTGGGAGGAGGCCTTAGCCTCATGATTTTGTGAAAATAAATCGCTAAAATTGCTAATTTGGGAAGAAAAAAGCAGGTTTAAGTTCAGATTTTTGGGAAAACTGCATGATTTTAAAGAAAATTTCAATAGGGGAAGAGGCCCTTTTTCGGAGTCTGTTTTATAAGTAGGAAAATCACTGACTTGATACATAATCTGAAGACTGACATTTTAGATGTTTGTTTTTTATGCCCCCAAAATGTGGGAGCATATAGCGTTGCACTTGTCCGTCCGTCAGTCAGTCCAAAATCTTGTGAACACAACTCCTCTTAAACCGGATGGCAGATTTTGCTTAAACTTAAAGGGATGAACAACCTTAATGTGTAGATGGTAGTAAAGGAAGGAATTTTCGCTGCGACCAAATTTAACAGAATTATGGCCCTTTGTTGAGTTTTTCACTAGATACTATGTAGAAATTTTGTGAACGCAACTCCTCTTAAACCGGATGGCAGATTTTGCTTAAACTTACAGGGATGAACAACCTAAAGGTGTAGATGGTAGTAAAGGAAGGAATTTTTGCTGCGACCAAATTTAACAGAATTATGGCCCTTTGTTGATTTTTTCACTATATACTATGTAGAAATTTTGTGAACGCAACTCCTCTTAAACCGGATATCAGATTTTGCTTAAACTTACAGGGATGAACAACCTTGACCAAATTTTACAGAGTAATGGCCCTTTGTTGATTTTTTCACTATATACTATATAGAAATTTTGTGAATGCAACTCCTCTTAAACCGGATGGCAGATTTTGCTTAAACTTCCAGGGATGAACAACCTTAATGTGTAGATGGTAGTTAAGGAAGGAATTTTTGCTGCGACCAAATTTAACAGAATGATGGCCCTTTGTTGATTTTTTCACTATATACTATATAGAAATTTTGTGAATGCAACTCCTCTTAAACAGGATGGCAGATTTTGCTTAAACTTACAGGGATGAACAACCTTAAGGTGTAGATGGTAGTAAAGGAAGGAATTTTTGCTGCGACCAAATTTAACAGAATTATGGCCCTTTGTTGATTTTTTCACTATATACTATGTAGAAATTTTGTGAATGCAACTCCTCTTAAACTGGATGGCAGATTTTGCTTAAACTTCCAGGGATGAACAACCTTAATTTGTAGATGGTAGTAAAGGAAGGAATTTTTGCTGCAACCAAATTTAACAGAATTATGGCACTTTGTTGATTTTTTCATTATATACTATATAGAAATTTTGTGAATGCAACTCCTCTTAAACCGGATGGCAGATTTTGCTTAAACTTCCAGGGATTAACAACCTTAATGTGTAGATGGTAGTAAAGGAAGGATTTTTTGCTGCGACCAAATTTAACAGAATTATGGCCCTTTGTTGATTTTTAGTTTTCAACTTGTGGCACATGTAGTTCAAAAAATATTTGACCTAGAGTCATAAGATTGACAGAACAGTGGCGTGCGGAGGCATCAGTGTCCTATGGACACATTTTTAGTTGTGTTGTTGATATGCTTTTCCTTAGTCAAAACCTCAAAAAATCAGTGCTATATTATACATGATGATGAAGTACATATGAAAAGTAATATGATATAGACATACTATATATATTAAAAAACGGTGTTCTATGTTTTACAGTAATCCTTGCCTATTAAACAGGGAAATTTTAGTGAGGTTTTAACATGATAGTGATTTAGCAAACTTGTTTAAATAGTATAAAAAGGGTGTTTCATAAAAAATAAAACATATTTGCCTAATAATGGATCTTGTTGGGAGTATGTTCTCAGTTTTATGGAAATTTAAGGAGTGAATTAGCTTGTCAGTCAGAATAAATCTGTATTCACTTATTTTATGAAAATAAAAAACACTTGAAGGTAAAAATTAATCTCCATCAAGGCAGTTGTAATACTAATATATTTTTCTGTGAAGATTTTCTTTTCTTTCTTTAACAGGTAGTAAAAATGTTGCTAAAACTTCTAGAAGACAAGAATGGTGAAGTTCAAAATCTTGCTGTCAAATGGTAAGTTTCTTGATATTTTAATAAGAAATTAATATTTAAACAAGCATATATAAGTCAAGTAATTCTTTCCTGCTTAATTTTTTGTTCTGGATTTTCCCTACTTTGACTTTGGTCCAGTCCATCCAAAGGACAAGGGATTTCAACACTAAGTCTATGGCCAAGTCAATGAGATTGTTGACTTTAAACCCATTAACTGTTGTGGGTTTGAATCTAAAAAGGGACTTTGGATTCTTTCATGTGGGGAAGAATGTCATTGTTTCTACTCAAGTGCCTGTCTGTGCCTTAAATAATGGATGGAAGTGTACCTGAGATTTTTCTCCACTGTAAAAAGCTGGAAAGTTGCTGTACTGTTTTTGTGTGACACTTTAAAAAAGAAGAAGAAATTCGGCTCAGAGTATAGAGCCTGATCAGACAGCATGATTATTGTGTTCAAGCTTGCATGGCTCTACGCTGGTGGCAAAAGCTATCTGTTTTTTCTGCAAAATTATTAAACGTCTAATAACTTTATCAGGGCAATAATTCAAAACTGTTACTTTTCATTTCAGCCTCGGTCCCCTGGTGAATAAAGTAAAGGAGTTTCAAGTGGAGACTATAGTTGAGACATTGTGTAGTAATATGTTATCTGACAAAGAACAGTTGCGAGATATTTCTAGCATTGGTGAGATGTTATATAACTAGCTTTTCTAAATAGGAAAAACCTCTAGGTCTTACATATACCCAGTAATGATAAAGCCTTAAGGATTATTTTATATAAGAGTCTCCCTACATGCATTTATCTCTCGTTATTGGGCCTCTTGATTTTAGGAAGAAGTATTGCTAAAAGTAAAAGGCTGGTGTAAGTTTGTATTTTTAAGAAAACTGCATAATTTGAAAGAAAATTTTGTTTGGGAAGAAGCCTTTTATAGGCCTCTTTTTAATAAGATGAGCATTTTTGATATAGAAATTTAAGATTGCCTCAAGGGCACTTGTCTGTTGTCAATGCCTTGATCTTACAGAAGAGCTAAATGTGTTAATTCATGAGAGCATAATAGATATTCTCTTACAGCGTATTTCAGTTGTATGTTAAAATTACATAATTTGATACAGCATGGCATTAATTCCTTGATACATTGTTATTGTTATGGTCATGTAAACTGATAACTAATGACATATTTTTGGCTTAAATATGCAGGGTTAAAGACAGTTATAAGTGAGTTACCTCCCTCATCAACAGCTCTTGCTGCCAGTATATGCAAGAAAATTACAGGTCGACTAACCAGTGCAATCTCAAAGGTATTATTGATTCTTTTTGTTTGGTTTTGATATTGAGTTATATCTTGTGTACATTGAGGGTTCACAAGTCAATGATAATGGACTTTGAATCACTGTTAAAACCTTATTTAAGAAAGCAGCATGATATTTGGTTTGGAACATTTTTTTCCGTTAATGTGCAATTTTCATGTGTGTTAGATAACTAAAGACATTCCATGTAACAGCTGTATCGGAAATTAACCATAAGATCATGCGACAACATAAATTTACTGTTCATAATTTTCATAAAAATGTCTTGTAAGATACAGCTTTATATTTTAAAGACTTTATAACAATGATATTTTACAGCAAGAAGACATGTCTGTACAGTTGGAAGCTCTCGATATCCTAGGAGATTTGCTGAGTAGATTTGGAGGTAAAACTATTCTATTTTTAGCTCGACTATACGAAGTATATGGAGAGCTGTCCTACTCGCCCCGGCGTCGGCGTCCGCGTCCAGATTTTAGATTAAAGTTTTGGTGCAGTAAAATATTTTTCACTATAACTTTGTCATTTCTTAAGGTATCAACTTCAAACTTCAAATATATCTTCCTTATCATCAACCACATCATATGTGACAAGGTTCATAACTCTAGCACCAATATTTTCAGATTTATCTCCCCTTGAACTTAGAATTTTCCTTAAAAAATACTATTTTTTACTGTTACTTCCTTATTTCTTAAGGGATCAACCTCATACTTCAAATATATGTACCTTATCATCATCCCCATCTTATGTGACAAGGTTCATAACTCTAGCACCAATATTTTCAGATTTATCTCCCCTTGAACTTAGAATTTTCCTTAAAAAATACTATTTTTTACTGTTACTTCCTTATTTCTTAAGGGATCAACCTCATACTTCAAATATATGTACCTTATCATCATCCCCATCTTATGTGACAAGGTTCATAACTCTAGCACCAATAGTTTCAGATTTATCTCCCCTTGAACTTAGAATTTTCCTCAAAAAGTACTATTTCTTACTGTTTCTTCTTTATTTCTTAAGGGATCAACCTCATACTTCAAATGTATTTACGTTATCATCATCCCCATCTTATGTGACAAGGTTCATAACTCTAGCACCAATATTTTCAGATTTATCTCCCTTTGAACCTAGAATTTTCAATAAAAAATATTTTTTTTACTGTTATTTATTTATTTCTAAAGGGATCAACTTCATATTTCAAATATGTTTACGTTATCATCATCCACATCTTATGTGACAAGGTTCATAACTCTAGCACCAATATTACAAGAATTATCTCCCCATAAACTTAGATTTTTTTACTAGAAAAATGTTATTTTTTATTATAACTTTTTTATTTTTAAAGGTATCTACCTCAAATTTCAAATACTTATTCCTTATCAACAATTACATTTTATGTGACATTGTTCATAACTCTTGATGCAATATTTACAGATTTATCTCTCTTTGAACTTAGGATTTTCTTTAAGAAATATAATAGCTTCTTTTCTTTTTAAGGTATCTACTTCAAACTTCAAATATATGTTTCTTATCATTACACAAATGTTGTGTGACAAGGTCCATAACTCTAGCATGACTATTTCTAGCATTATTCCCCTTGGAATTTATGTTAACAAATATTATTTTTTTACTATAACTTAATACATAATTATACATAATTGATTTTTCTTTCATAGTTTTGTCCTCCTTACTGCGTCCAGTATTTCATTAGTCGAGCTTCGCTGTCTCCTGTGACAGCTCTTGTTATCATTTAAATAATGTAAAGATACTAGTTTTTAATACACAGATATTTTATGCCTTTTGTAATGACAGAATTATTATAAAAATTGTAATTTTTTGTAATGTGAAGTATTTCACTGTGAAATTTTATCTATAATTCCAAACAGCATGCTGAACAATTCTTGGTGTTAAAAAAAATGATGTTAAGAATATTTGTCTTTAAAACTTTAAAGATTGAAATGTGTACCATAGTTAGGTGCCATAGCAAAATTGAAATCTGCTGTAGGACCAAATCATGGAGAATATTTGGATGTATTGTTCCAGATCAGGACCGGACGCAAATTAGCTTTTAGGGGACTAGGGGAATTTTGTGTTGTTTTGAACAAAAAATCTCCGTAACTCAAAATGTGAAGTATATGATATTATTTTGAAAAAAGGAAAATTTAAAAAATGTATAATATTGCTAAGGGTCTTGTGCTTTGGGCTGGTAAAACTTAAAAGAAAAAAAAATAGATAGGATTTTTTTTTCCAAAAATAGTGATGAAAAGATGTATATTAATTTAGGAGACAATTTTCAGCCAAAAAAAAAGTAAAATGAGGACCCTTTGCATGTAAATCTGTAAAGCTTCTATAACTATTGCATGTAACAACATGCATGATGTAAAGTTGGTTTAATAAAATAATAATTATATATATATTTTTTTTTTTACAGGATTGTTGATAAGTTTTCACCCAACCATTTTACAATCACTAACTCCCCAATTGTCCAGCCAGAGATTAGCTGTCAGAAAAAGGGCAATTATTGCAATAGGTAAGAAATTTCTGTTTTCTCTATGTAGTTGAGAAGTGTTGTTTAAGATGATACCTACTTCCAAGTGATCAAATAGTTTCATGTATTTTGATTGTCCAACAACTTAAATATAAAATTTTGAAGGCTTTCTGTAGCACATATTAAAGGATTTTTAGTGAAAAGAAAAAAAAACTGATTAAATGTGATTTGGGAGCATATGCTTGTGGTATTATCTGATGAATTAGTGATAGTGCTAAATTTGTTTGTTTGTTTACAACAGGATATCTTGTAATGAGTTGTAACAACACATTGTTTGTGGAGTTGATAGATTATCTGTTATCTGAACTGGCCAAAAACACTAGCACATCTACAACTAGAACATATATACAATGTGTAGGCGCCATCAGGTATGATTAACTCATATTTCACAGTAAATTTTATAATACTATATAAATGATTTCAGTTGAGAATGCTCTATCTTTCTAGATAACATTTGGACGGTAAATTCAAAATTATACAAAATAGTTAAAGAAGACAAAAATACTCACTGGCAAATATAAATAATTGTTTGCCTCTTATTTCTGAGAAGTAGTAAGCCATTATATTATGTTAAAATGACTGCTATACTAATAATCTAGCAAATGTGTCCTTGTAATGGTTATATTTGACAGTGTTTGGAATTTATGGAGTCTGTATGCCAAGTGGTTAAAATAGCTCTCACTGCTCTGGTTTTGAATCCTGCTCATAACTTATGATTCTTTTATGCATGGAAGCTATTCAGCTGGCTTATAGAAGGCCAGTGGTGTCTCTCTGATGCTTGAACAAGTGGTTCCCAACCTGTAAATCATGAAAGTCATAGTGTGAGCTTTACAGTGACAGCATGATCTGAAACAAACAAAACATGAGATAAAAGAATTTACTGGCAATACTAACAGACAAAATAAAGTCTACAGTTATATTGATTTTTCTCTGTTTTAAGTCGTCAAGCAGGACACAGATTTGGGGAACACTTGGAGAAGATTATGCCACACATAATAAAATTCTGCCGTTTAGAAGATGATGAACTTAGAGAGTACTGTCTGCAGGCCTTTGAGTCTTTCGTCAGAAGATGTCCAAAAGAAATCTCACCTTTTGTTTCTGATGTATGTGTTCAATTTCCATTTTAAGTCTATAAATTAAGTTCATTAAGTGCTGCAGTGTTTTTCAAAAAAAGGGGAAAAAAATATGTTGATGTAGGTAGAAAATTATAATGAAATAATCACTCCTTCCAGTCTGCATGTCTACCTGTTAAATTTAGTATTTATTAATCTTATTGTTTGAAATTATATTTTATCCATTGAGATTGTTCCATTTTTAGCTCGACTTTTCTATGAAAAGGGGAGCTATCCTACTCGCCCCGGCGTTGGCGTCACACCTTGGTTAAGTTTTTCGTACCACCCCACTTTATTTCAGAAGTATTACAAGTATGGCTTTGAAACTTACCATACTTGTTCACCATCATAACCTCCATCTACAGACAAGAGTACATAACTCTGTCAAGGTTTTTGACAGAATTATGGCCCTTTTTTGACTTAGAAAGTGTATTGAGCTTGGTTAAGTTTTTTGTACCACCTCACTTTATTTCAAAACCATTGGAGGTATTGCTTTGAAACTGACCATACTTGTTTACCATCACGACCTTCATCAACAGACAAGAGGACATAACTCTGTCAAGGTTTTTGACAGAATTATGCCCCTTTTTGACTTAGAAAATACATTGAATATGGGTAAAATCCACTTATTGCCTTAACCCTTTGAGATATTGCTTTGAAACTTTTAATGCTATTTCACATCATTACCCCCATCTGTACGCAAGAGAAGGTAACTCTGTCAAGGATTTGTTTTAAAAATTAAGGCCTTTTATCGACTTAGAATCTTGGTTAAGTTTTTAGTACCAGTCCACTTTTTGACTGAACTGTTTGAGATATTAATTTGAAAGTTGGAATACTTGTTTACAATCATGATTCCCAAACATGTCCAGGAGAAGGTAATTCTGTCAAAGATTTTATTTGAATTATGGCCCTTAACTGTCAATGTTTTGTATTATAGGCAAGCACTAAAAAACTTAAAAAATCTAAAAAAATTCATTCCTATCCACTTGTTCACTTTACCATAAATTATGTCATATAAACATTGCTGTAATATTCAAGGGTATCAAACAACTAGTTCACTTTAAAAATACAGAGATTCTTGTATTGCCTTTTACTGCAAAAACTTTTTTTATTGGCAAGCAATAAAAAAGTCGAGCGCGCTGTCTTACGGACAGCTCTTGTTCATTTTCTTTGTTGCATTCAGTTATCAGCTTATCCACTTGTGAATAAATTCAACAGAGGTGAAGATGTGAAATTATATTTTGTTTTCTGTTTATAGATAATACAGATATGTTTAAAATACATTTGTCATGATCCTAACTATAACTATGATGATGATGATGACAACGATATGGAGATGGAAGCAGACGAGGAGGAGGAAGAGTAAGTTAGACTGTGCCCTTGATTTTAGTTCTCCTTTAATTCAACTTTTTAAAGAATTGTGGAACTATCTTACTCTCTTTGCACAAGATCATTGCCATAACATTTATTTTTGTTAAACTTCATATATGGTCAATCCTCATCCATTTAAAAATTCACGAAAGTTTTTAAGATCGTAATTGTAGGTCGCTGGCCATGACCCATAACTGATACTCTGACATGGACTTTGTCTAAATTATAGCGCTTTGTCAACACAGAAAATTTCTTGTTTTAGTTTTGCTGGTGAGATCAATCTTCTTTACTACTACTGAAAGTATTTGAATTTCACACATGTCCTAGAATCATACTTTTAGGTCACTAATCAAGACCCATAACTCTGGTCTGGATTTTTACTGAATTAAAAGCCCTTTATGATCTAAGAAAATGTAACTACATACTAATATTACTAGTATTATACTGTATATTACTTGAAATTTGGTTGATCAGCTTCTTAACCCTTACAACATAGGGATGAAATTAACACTGCAATGTATTAGATTTTATAATATAAAGTGTTCACACACAAGTGCTAGTATTGTTGTAATGTTATATATATTACAGGGGATCAGATGAGGAATATAGTGATGATGATGATATGTCATGGAAAGTTCGTCGAGCAGCTGCCAAATGTTTATCTGCTGTCATAGCAACCAGGCATGAGATGTTGTCAGACTTCTATAAAACTGTCTCACCAGCTCTCATTCAAAGATTTAAAGGTAATTTCTTTTTATTTCACATAATTATTACACTTAATCAAGTTTGTCAGATGTTAACAGAGTATTTGAATGAAGGAGAAATGTAACTGTTGTTAGAATATGTAGCTGCATGGCTGTTTATTGAGATAAGGGGTCACTTTATCATTTGTCATTTGAAACATATGCTGTAATAATGAATAAATTAATCTTTATTTTTCGAGTTGCTCTTTATAAAAAAAAATGGAAATTTGTGAGGCAGGTTATAAAAAGGTATACATGTAGTTCTCAATTAAATAGCTTTAAAACAATTTGATGTTTGAGACTGACTTTGCTTTAAATCATGAATCTTTCTGACATATAAAGGAGCAGACTGCTAGTTACTGTCTACAATATACATGCATCATGTTTCTATAGAATTTGGTGTGTTTCTAAAAAGTCCTGAAAACCTGTTTTGGTGAAAATAGAATTGATTATTCACAATGAACTGTTGACATATACATTACAGTGTTCAGTGCTTGTTTGGGACCTAATTATTTGGTTGCTTTTAACTGACTTTACAATATACACAAGTTTGTTTTAAACAAAGATTTTGATATAAAATAAAGAAGAAATATAATTTGGACCTTGGAGAAGTTCTTAATAATATGGTGATTGCTTTATTGGAATGTGGACGATTGTGCTGGGCTGCATTGAAAGTTATACATAAATTCAGAAGGGTAACGGCTAAAAGTTCTGAAATCATGTCAATATTTACATAGATATAAATATATTATAATTACAGAGAGGGAGGAGAATGTAAAGGCAGACATATTTCAGGCATATATTACACTGTTACGACAAACCAGACCTACAGTATCTCCAGATCCTGATGCAATGGAGCAAGAAGGAGGGTAAATATAAACTTGTTTCATCTCTTAAATTATAATTTCCCTTGTCTAATGTCACACTGTCTGTTGTCTGACAAAACAGTAAAACGTGGCGGAATCAACACTTTTCATTTTATTGGGCATATTCGTGTTTAAAGAACTGATTTTCAGTTACAAATATAAAAATGATATAGTTGCAGAGTGACTTAGGTTGTCTCACTTCAGTTCACTTGCACCTCTCTGCTGAATATTTGAATCTGGTCATGGACAATAGATTGTCCAGGAAGCTATTCAGCTAGCATTTGAGGTATTTGTTTCCCAGTAAAAAGCTGGAAACTCCCCATATGATCTTTACAGGGTCATTGTTACAAAACAGACAACAAAAAGATTGATGTGAAGTATATAAGCTTTCTCCATGTTTAATTCTTTCTATGTTACTAAGTAGGATACAATGTGGCATTAACATATTTGAATATTAAAGACCTTTCAATACTGTTACATACCCATATTTTTAATACTTTATATACAAATATAGACTATAGTGCAAGTGTTTATTGATTTTTTCAGCCCAGTTTCAATGCTTCAAACCCAGATTCCAGAAATTGTTAAGGCTATACACAAACAGCTAAAGGAAAAAAGTGTGAAAACAAGACAGGGTTGTTTCAGTCTCCTTACAGAACTTGTCTTAGTTCTGCCTGGTGCCCTCACAGATCATTTACCTATGCTGGTTCCCGGTATACAGTATGCACTTGGGTAAGTTTGCTGAAATAACTTTGTATGGCCAAAGATCATTGACCTATGCTAGAACTTTCTTGCATTATAGATTTGGGATATTAGACTCTTTGATTCTGCTGGTACAGTGTTCTTTATGCTCAATAAATTAAAGATTAGACCAGGCATTGTAAATGAGCAAGATTCCATCAATATTTTATTAAATTTACGATTTTACTTATAGAATTTAAGGCATTTTGATTACTAAAATGTATATTATAGTTAGATATGAAGTTATTTTGATGAATATTTTATGATTTCAGTGACAAGAACTCCACATCAAACATGAAGATAGATACTCTAGCTTTCCTTAATTGTTTACTGAGTAACCATAGTCCTGTAGTGTTCCATCCTCATATAACTGTAATAGTTCCTGTAAGTATGTTGTGTAATTTACTGTAAAATGTCTTGTTTACATAATTTAACGTTTTGATTAATTAATGGAAAAAGGTTGTTACGATTCAGGAAGACTTTGGCGCTGATGATATGAGTCACAGATTTGAAACTTATATTTATGCTTAGAAATATTGCAAATGTATTAAAGCACAGTGCTCCTATGCAAGATTGTGACCTCAGTGTAAAATGTGTTAGGTTGCTGCTGTGTGTTTAAGTCCAGCTAAGGACTTTGACTTGTTTCATGTATGAAAGCTAAACAGTTGACTTACAGACTGAAGGTTGGTAGTTCTACTCAGATGGCATCTTAGTCTGAAATGATGGTGGGAAATCTTAAGTGTTCCTCGATCTGTAAAGCTGGCAAGTCACCATTTAAACTTTACTGTGACAGAGTTACCTATAGGCTTACAGTAATAAAAAGAAACAATATACACGACTTCTGCCAAATGAAAATACTATCAAGTTAAAAAGTGAAACATAAAACAAATGGCATTTTGATGATTCAGCACTTTATAACCAGTAATATGTCAATGTCGCTGTTAAATCCATACAAACAAAAAAAAACTTTGAAATTTGATTTTGTTTTCCTTTGGGCGCATCTCTTCATACATTTGAGCTTGTTATTATTTATTGATTGAAAATGAAACCATGTTTTACTGATGTATGTATGATATTGATTTTCAGCCTATTGTACATGCAGTAGCTGATCCTTTCTATAAGATTACATCTGAAGCTCTCCTAGTAACTCAACAACTGGTCAAAGTTATTAGACCATTAGGTATGTACACTGTTTATTGAAACCATAATTAATAGCCCAATCCAGTGAGTCTACATGGACAAGTACTTTAATATAAGAAACACCAATTATCCCGTGTTACTGATTATTTTCCAGTGGAATCCTTTAACACTAACATGGTACGGAAAATTTGTTACCAATGTCTACATACTGATAACAAGGATAAAATGCTGAAGTTGATTCATGCTACATTATGTTAAATCCTATAAATTCCTGTGTTGAAACTATTGAATGTTGGTAAATACGAAATGGGGAAAATAAATGATTTATAAATTCAGCTTTGTCATTGTTTGATGGAATGTATATTTGATATACATGTGTGCTTGTGTTTATATTGTAGATATACAGACATCGTTTGATTTTAAACCATATGTAAGGGAGGTGTATGGATGTACCTTGATGAGACTGAAAGCTGCAGATATTGATCAAGAAGTCAAAGAAAGGGCTATCTCTTGCATGTTAGTCTCTGTGACCTTTTAATTCATTAATTACTGGTAGTGATAACTTGTATTAACCAAGTCTGACTGTTACTTTCCAGCAGTCAGACTGGATTTTATACTGCTCAATTTACTGATCTGTTTTATATTTTTACAATTTAAACCTTAACAATAGATAGTTCTGAATGATAGAAATTGAGGAGGGTGAGGGTTATTATGATTTATGAAAGTGGCAGCTGAGGGATTAGTCTTACAATTTCTTGAGTATTAGCTTAATAAAATCAGTGAGGTATAGAACAAAATGTTTTACTGATATAAGAAAATACCAGTTTCTCTTCTTCATAATTAATGAATAACTTGTTTATTTGCAGGGGACAGATAATTCGTAATCTAGGAGATGTGTTATCATCAGAACTTAAAGAATGTTTGCCAATATTCCTAGAGAGATTGAAAAATGAAATAACCAGACTCACAGCAGTGAAAGCTTTAACCATGATTGCAGGGTATGTTTGTATACATTAAACTTGTTGTAGCGTAATAAAAGCAATTATTTTTGCAAGAAAGCAAAAAGAAAAATTGGAATGTCTTGTTGATTACAAGATCATATTTTTGAAAATGACTCCTTTATAAATTTTAGGACTGTAGTGCTAGTCCTAGTAATAAGATATCTGAATGGTAGACAGTTTGATTATTTCAAACCAAATATTACAGATATTAATGAAATAATTTCCTTGCTTGGTATTCAGCATTACAGGGAAACTTACAATAACATGTTCTTTTTTTCATTGAGTTAGCACAAAAGTGGGGATCTTTGTTATATATGATTTGAAATTCTGTTCCGAGGTGGGGGGGACAGCTAAAATGTTTATTTTGAACCTGTAATTAAAAGATGTCATCATTTATTCTTTTTTAACACAACTATTCACCCCAGCATTGGCGTCACACTTTCATGAAAAGACTATTTTGATGTTTGATGTTTATTTTCAGGTCACCACTAAAGATTGATCTCAGACCTATTCTAGTGAGTATTTTATATATTAGATACAATATACATGTACAATATTTATTACAATTTTATCAGTGACAGATAAATTGTGAAACATCATAATAAAAAGATACCTGTAAACTATGATTTTTCTTGAAATATCCTTTTAAAAATATTTAATTTCATAGACAGGTACTGTATTAATTTTGTCTACTTGAAAGCAAGTCTTCATTTTTAGCTTGTCTGATTCTGAGAGTAAGCTAGTATTATCTGCTCAGTCATTGTTGTGGTGTGTAAAATCTTTAATGCGGTCATTTATTCAAAAATTAAAAAAATTACTAACATGAAATTTGGACTGTTGCTAATAATGACAAGGTGCAGTTGTTCAACAAGGGGCATAATGCTATACTTCTGTAATAATGCCATTGTTTAATATAGATTTTTTTTGGGTTAAAATTGGTTGCACTGAACAAACAAGAGTTATCTTCACATGTACATTAGAAATTAAAAAAAAAAAATTCTGAGAAATAATAACGACTCCAGTCAACTTTGAAACCACAATACCTTGGATAAGAGGCACACTGAAGAAGGTACCTTAACCACTTAGTCAACTGTCCCCTTGAAAACAATTGAGAGTGAACAATATGATTGATTATTTTATGTAACATACTTGTTTTATATTTATAACTGAATAAGCTGCAGTCTTTTTTTTTTGTTCGTTAAAGTTATAATGAACATTAAATATTTCAGACTGATGGAATTCCAATACTTGCCTCATTCTTGAGAAAAAATCAACGAGCTTTGAAACTAAGCACACTAGCGTGTCTAGATGTTCTTGTTCGTAACTATGGTAATGTATTCTATTCTCCTACTATACTTATAATCAAAAGTTCAAAGCCTAGAGTCTACCACTACAGACCCATGCCAACATGATTAAAATACTCATACAATACATCTCCTTGAATTAAAACCATATATTTAAAAATAATGTGATAGTATTACAGTACATCAAAAATATTATGTGAGATAACACTTGTATATAATATATATTTTCTTTCTATTGGGTTGTATTTGTGCATGTCATTGAACATAGCAAAATATATTCAAGTATATAATGAAGGAGAACATTGCAAAGATGTGCTATTCTGATGAATTTTTATTTCTTCTACTCTGATTTAAGTGCATGAAGAAAATCTAAACAAACAGAAGGAATTATTTTCCTTAATGCCAGTATATATATTCATGTTGTCATAACAAACAATATTACAATGTGATGAATGTAGTATTTCATCTATTGAAAATAATCATTTTTATCAGAACAGTTATATTATAACACTGTATATTACAGGATCAGCATTGACTGCCAGTATGATAAATGAAATGATGAAAGAGATGCCACCTCTCATCAATGAAAATGATCTGCATGTTTCTCAGGTAATATCATATAATACTACACATCTCTCAGGTAATATCAGCCATTCAATACTACACAACTAAGATAATGTCACACATGATATTTTATACAAGACTGTCTATGCAACTCCTGAGTGCAATTGATTAGTAAATTTTGACTTTGCATTCTTTACTTCAATGAAGCTTTCTTTTTACTTTCTGGGAGGTCAGAGTTTCTATTTAATTGCTGTTGTAGGCATGAAAGAATGCAAAAAGGGGCACATAAGGTCTTCTTCTAAGACACATGCTCAAAGCTGAAAAGTTGGCATATGACCTAAACAGTGCCCATTTTGTCTAGTCAAATATGGGTTTATGCTTTAAATATGTTTTTGTTGTGGCAGAAAAGGAGAGATATCTGTAAATTTAGACTGTTCATATAGCTTTTAATACATCCATGTTCTATTTCTGTTTACAGCTGACATTGAACCTGTTGTCATCTATATCTAAAATACACAAGCAATCAATGGCAAATATCCCCAATGAGATACTGCCTCAGATATTGGTGCTCATACAGTCTCCACTTCTACAAGGTGGTGCACTAGGAGCCATGCTGGAGTTCTTCCAGGCAATTGTTGGTTTACCGAAGCTTGGATTTAAGGATTTACTACAGATGTTGATTAAACCAGTTTATAACCCCACATCTCAGACCCACCACCAGGCTTTCTCTATACATAAACAGGTAATGTGTATATGTAATTTATATTTGTACAAAACTTGTAATAACGTCAGTGAAAGACAGGTGTTTGTCATTTAATAGTTTTTAGCTTGACTTGTTGAAGAATAGGGAGAGCTATTGTACTCACCCAGATTCAGCATCACACTTTATGCAAGTTGGTTATAGGTTGAAACTTCACACACTTATTTGGTAGCATAATCACTTACCAAGGTTCATAACTGTTACATGGACAGAATTGTGGCCCTTTCTGATCTTAGAAAATTCTACATTATCCAGGCTCTTGTCTTGTCAAGCACTGTGAAAAGTCTATCACGCTGTTCTGCCAACAGTTCTTGTTGTTCTAATAAACTGTTGGTTCATTCTTATCACAGAAAAATTATTTTTGTAAAGTTTTATTTTTTAACCAATACTGCTGAAATTTACTACTTAGTAATTAAAAGAACTTTCCGTCTCAAAATTTAACTATTACATGAAGACTACATGTTTAAGCCAGCTTGGATCTTCTTTGTTTTAATTAGTGATCTGGTTAAACATGAGTAGGTTTTATCTAAAGATAAAAGCAAAAATTCCTTTATCAAAAAGAAAAAACAGAATCACACAATGTATTCTGTTCATTACAATATGCATTTTAGGTTTGTATATGGATGCTAAAAGTAACAGCCTAGTTGTGACCTGTGTCTGATGTATGAAGTATGGTAAGCATTGGCAATATATCAAGGCTTAATTATACAGTTATCTACTAACTACTAGTTATCTAAAAAATTATATATGCTATGTTTATATTTCAGGCGTTCCATTCAATAGCAAAATGTGTTGCAGCACTTACTGTGATGTCACCTAATGAAGCTACAAATGTTGTCAACCAATTTGTCAATGATGTCAAGGTAGGTTGAGAGAAATATAGCCTACCTGACTAGCTTAAACCCTGTCACTGAGCTGTTTCTACAGCTGTAATTTTTGTTGTCTAGCTTACAATCTGAATTATCTCCCTTCAGTGAATTTAAATTACAAGTTACAGGCACAAATATGTTGCATAAATTTGTAATATAGCTTATATATTTTATATCATTTTTGTTTTCTTTATGCATTTACAGAACACAAAATCAACAGACTCAATTAGATTGTTCTCTCTGTTGGCTCTGGGAGAAATTGGTAAACATTTGTAAGTATAGCAGTTCTATTAGCAATGTTTCTCTGTTCATATTTTCCTCTATTTTGAAAGCTTGATGTGATTCGGACACAAAAATCAGTGGTCAATATGCTCTATTTATATTAGTTGTTCGTTTTTTATGCCGATTTAAACTGGTCTTATTCGGTAGTTGGTCCATCTTTCTGTTGAGTATTAATTTCCTCTGCAAATGATGGTCTGTTTATCCCACATGATTTCTGAATCAGCTGTCACAGACAAATGACCATTAGACTTAATGATTAATTGTTGCAATGCTTGTATTTTGAAGGAAATAATGCTGAATGTGAAATAATTGGTGATAAATGTAAGAAACAAAGTAGTATTATGTCTTCAACACAAAATACTAAATTGCTACATGTATAACTGTACTAATTGCTTAAACATAAAGGCAGCAAAATATGGCTAATGAAAAACTTTTTTGAAACTGTGTTAGGGCACCAAGAATAAAAAGTTTTTGAAGGAACTCCATTGCTCCAAAAGCCACAAATCATAAAAAATAAGTTCTAACATAAGCTGGGACACTTAAAACAGAAAGATGTGCAAAAGATAATTGAGACATAAATTGAAAATTGTATATTGTTCTATTCTTAGTCACATTTGAGGGAAAGTCATTGCAATGCTTTTGAATTTAGATTTTCACAATTAAAATAATTATTCTGGAAATAGTGAGATCTGAAATTTTGCACATTAGTATATTGTCTAGATCTATGTCAAATGAAATCTCTATGAATTATTTTCCTGTCCCGTCATGTCAAAAAAATTTCCTCAGTGAAGTCCCTTTAAGGGTTATGCAACTTTTAAAAAACTCTGATATAAACTGTATATATTTACAGGGATTTGAGTGCGCAGGGTGAGATACAGACTGTGATACTAGATGCTTTCTCATCACAAAATGAAGAGGTGAAAGCAGCTGCATCATATGCTTTAGGTATGTACTACTTTATTTCTTTATTAAACAGACACGGCAGTCAAGTGTTTTATTACAGTACTCTAGTACCGATTTAGTATCTGGTTACTCGCAAGATTTCTTACAACTTCTCAAATGTAAAGCCATGATTCTTGTACGTTTCATCACGAAAACAAAGACTGTACTTCATTTGTAAGATCTACTTGAAATGCAAGGACTGTACCTTGAAAATAATAAAAAAATATTGTTGATTCAAAGATATAATAAATAACTTAAATCTATAATTATTGAAACCATTATCTTACCTTAAAAGCTGTGTACAAGTACCTCGGAACAAATATTGGTAACACACTTGTCACTAAAGGTCATCATGAGTGAGTGAGTGACAAAGTTGGTTATTACATACACTTGTTTAACAACAGATTGCCTTATTAAGGCGTTAACCATTGTCAATTTGCTGTAAAAATTTGTACCTTTATTAAATCTAGGAAGTTTATAGTGGACAATATTCCAGAAAGTTTCACATGCAAAAAAGATTTGATACGTATTTCTACGGAGTACTTGAGTATCAATCATGTTGAACGCTACTGACACGTTAGATATATTACTTGATTGATTTGTTACTTGTTTATGTTACTCGTTGCCATCATACTTGCTTTCATTTTATTTTGGAGAATAGTTTACCTTGTTAGATAGTGAGATATTATTTTATTTCAGGTAATGTAAGTGTGGGCAACTTGAACAAATTTCTGCCATTTGTTTTACAAGAAATTGAAAGTCAGCCAAAGAGACAATACTTACTGTTACATTCACTTAAAGAGGTAAGTCGAAAATATATGTTATTAAGTTTGACTTCTAAATTATAAAGAATTATATATATTTAAACTAAATTTATATAATGGATTTGTCCTACTTTTAAAAGATTTCATTAAAATCAAATAGCTTCAAACAACACAGATGATAATTAGCATTCAAATTTTAAAATATGCTTCAGTTAGTGTAACACTATAGACACGTCAATGAAACATTACTCTTTTAATTGTAAAACAGTTCTTATTTTGTATATGTGATGTATAGAACGTTTGTATAGATTTCAGTTCCCTAATTTATAGAACTCATTAAATAAAACCATATTTTGTTTGCCAGAGGCTTGCATAATATGAATTTTTATAAACTTGTTCAATAAATTGAGTATTAAATCTACACTCAGTCAATACCTATATCTATAAATAAATGTTAACATATGATTACAGATTATAAGTTGTGAGTCGGCATCACCTGCAGGAGTTAGCAACCTTAAACCTTATGTACAAACTATATGGTATGTATTATTATAATATAAAACTGTCAATTTTTATGGTGTCATTGTTTTAAGAGATTGATTTGTAACTTTTTGTGTAACAAAAGCGTTAGTAAAAGTTTATAGTATGCAAGTAGTCTTATCTGTGTTCCTGAAATTGCAACAAAAGGGCTATAAATTCAGTATAGAAGTGGATGCTGCTTACAGTATTTGTTGGTTTTACTTGACTACCTTGTATAAGATACTGCAGGCCACTAAATATCCGCCAGTGTATGCAAACACTTTCCATTTTACCTCTGTAGTGTTATTTGAACTTGAGTAAGCATTTTATCTAATTAAGCATAAAAATACAATGTGAAATTGGTGAACCATTTATTTTAGCTTTAGAAAAAGTGTATTGTATATCACATTAAGAAATTTAAAGTTTGTATGATTGATTGTTATTGTAGGAATATGTTATTTACACATTGTGAATGTCCGGAGGAGGGTACAAGAAATGTGGTATCTGAATGTCTCGGTAAACTAACATTAATGGATCCTCAAACATTGCTGGCAAGCTTGAAGAAACATCTGACATCTCAATCAGCTTTGACTAGAAGTACAGTTGTCACAGCTATTAAATTTACCATATCAGATCAGGTAATGTCTCCACTTGATTTAACCATTTACCTGCTCAAATTGTGTGATTAATCTGTCCAGCTTTGACTTTAGAACATTTTATTTGTATTTCATCAAAATAAAAAAAACCTGGGCTACCAACAGTACAGAGCCTGGTCAGACTGCATGGATGTACAAACTGGCCTGGCTCTATACTTGTGGCTATGGCCTATCATTTTCTGTTCCTGCATGTTAAGGGTTATAATCTGTTTACATCTTACGGTAAAAATATTGCTTACTCTTCAGGCAAACATGAAAAATTGGCAGATTTATAAATGGTTATTCTATCCTTCGTGTATGTACTGTAAAGATTAAATTGTACTTTAAGCAGCAATAAAGTTTAAGTTTGACTTTAAACTCATCAAGATAAATCAGATGCTTGATAAGAAACTAATTAAAAAGAAAACAAACAATCTTACTTCACAGATTATTTGGGAAATCATCATATGGCTTTACATGGTTGATGCTGTAGGAATACAAAAACAAGACTGTTGAAAGTTCTACTAGATTTCTTGCCTGTGCTTAAAATAATGACGGCAGGATATTGTAGGTATCCCTCTAATAGTCATGATGCCTCAATTGATTATACTGATTTTCTCTTATTTCAGCCTCAAGGTATAGACCAGTTGTTACGTGCATGTATTGGAGAGTTCCTGCAAACATTACAAGATCCAGACCTGAATGTTAGACGTGTTGCCTTGGTAACGTTCAACTCGGCAGCTCACAATAAACCTGCCCTGATTAGAGATCTGTTAGAAAGTGTTCTACCACATTTATATAATGAAACTAAAGTGCGGGTAAGTATCATCAATATTAAAATGTTTTATTGATGAGGTTAACGTTTAGAGTTTAGTCTTTGATAAGGGATGAAATTAGGGGAGGGGTGAGGTGGGTGTTGAGTACATTTAATCAAGGATGCAAGTTAAACATTATATGGATGAAAAATATTCTGCAGAAAATATTTAGGACAAAGGTTTGAGGGTAAGTCGACTTTATATATAGGATTCATATTGAGAATATTGGTTCACAGGCAATGTTCAGTGCTCTAGGTTTAACGATTCTAAATGAAAATAGTTTCATGAAAATTTATTTAGTAAATTATGAATATAAGTTATATGAAGCCTGTTTGTTCAGGACTTTTTATGATACTTTCATTGTCTTTGATTGTTTATTTTCTTAATTTAGACTAGTTTATTTTATTGTAGTATACTACTATTAAGGAAGCTTGTTGATAGAATGTTAATTGCTCTACACCTAATGTGCCTGATCATATTTATAGAGTGATACTTCCTTAAATAGTACAATTTACAATAAACATTCTGACCAAGTAAAAAAGTTCATATATTAAATCATTGTAATTTCAGAAAGAACTTATACGTGAGGTTGAAATGGGTCCTTTCAAACACACACTGGATGATGGTCTAGATATAAGAAAGGTAAAAAATAATTGTTGCCATGGTAACCTAAATAGTGATTTTATATCATTGCATATATAGGTTTTTTCCTGTTCTAAATATGTCTTAGTTGGACCCACTTACTCTTTATCCTGTCAAGGACTTCTGATAAAGCCAATAAGCTAAGTTATTGAAGGACAATGGTTCAGCTCAGGTGCCAACTTGTTCATGGAGGGTCACCTGAGGTCAGTCTCCTTGCCAGGAAAGTTTGAAAGTCACCATATGTCTTTAACAGTCTTTGTGTCAACCCTAACCTGCGGACTTGGTGTATTAAATTTCCTCTGAGATAGCTTTTTTCAGTGGTCAAATATTGAATTGTTTCGTTAGTTTTTGAACAAAATATTGACATGAATATATGCATGTTTATTATCAGAGAGGTTATGGTGAATCTTCAATGCCTTTATAACCATCTTGTAAAATTCCTTCATAATCAAAATTATGTATATTCCTTGTTTTTCTGGATTTAATGAATTTGACTATTTGAGCATACATTTTATACATGCAGTGGAATCATTTCATTGAAATTCTTATTACCACAGGTTAAATGTGAATTTGTGTTTTTTTATGAATTTTGTAGGCAGCGTTTGAATGTATGTATACATTATTGGACTCGTGCCTGGATAGAATAGACATTTTTGAATTCCTGAATCACGTTGAAGATGGCTTGAAGGATCACTATGACATTAAAATGTTAACATATTTAATGTTGGTACGTCTATCACATCTCTGTCCTAGTGCAGTATTACAAAGTAAGTTCTACTATTTTATAAAAACAATTGTTTTTAGCGTTTGACTAATTTATCAGTTAGTCATATCATTAAATGGTTCATGATCTAACTATGCCATGAAGATAGAAAAGATGATGAATTACTCTACTGTGTTGTTACAATTACCAGATTCATCATGAGAGTGGGCATCCATGGCAGAGTGGTTAAGTTTGTTGAATTTGAAAAACTTCCACCTAACTGCTGTTTGGTTCAAGTGAATCAAGTACCTGTAGAGACTTTGAATTCTTTCATGTTAGGAAGCTATCCAGCTAACTTACCGGAAGGATGGTGGTTCTACTTTGGTGACTACACATGCCTGAAATAATGAACAGAAGGGCATCTGAATTCTTACACCAGCAGTTAAAACTAGAAAGACATATTATGACAATTGAAGTGTCTGTGTTAATTAAAACCCAACACAAAATATTTAGTAGAACATAACCAATTGCATTTCATAGTTTCCATATTAAATTTCTCGGGCAGAGTGGTTTAAGGTTGTTGACTTCAACTACTTGTCCATCAAATTTGTGAAATAAATTCCTGCCAGGGACTTTTACATGTGAGGAAGCGATCCAACTAGCTAGGTTCTACTTGGGTGTCTTTCATGCCAGAAATAAAGCACTGAAGGGCACCTGAGGTATTCTTCCACCATTAACCACCATTAAAGCTGGAAAGTCCCCATATGACATTTACTGTAAAACATTATGATGTGATATCTATACAGGACTTGACAGACTGGTGGAGCCATTGAGAGCAACTTGTACAACAAAGGTGAAGGCCAACTCTGTAAAACAAGAGTTTGAGAAACAAGACGAGCTCAAGAGATCAGCTATGAGAGCTGTGGCAGCATTGTTGTCTGTTCCTGATGCAGGTAAATATGAGCCGCGTCACAACAAAACTAACATAGTGGGTTTGCGACCAGCATGGATCCAAACCAGCCTGCGCATCCGCGCAGTCTGATCAGGATCCATGCTGTTTGCTTACAAACCCTATAACAAGTAGAGAAACTGATAGCGAACAGCATGGATCCTGATAAGACTGCGCGGATGCGCAGCCTGGTCTGGATCCATGCTGGTCGCAAACTCATTATTTTGGTTTTGTCGTGACGAGGCTCATATCTTAAATACACTGGTTCCTCACATCCAAATCTTGAAAAGTATATAACCTATAACTGACTTACAGTTAGCCACGCCCATTCAAATTGAGTCCATTATGTAAATAGGCGGAGACCTTTATATCGGCTCATGTTAACGTATATTTAATACATACAGTTGAGTTATAGCACTGTATGGTAAATACTTCGGTAAAATTTAAACAAAATAGAGCAAATTATTGGCAGACAGACTTTGGCGAACTGTAAATTTTGCTACCATAATTCTTAAGGGATCTCTTAGAAATTAGTTTATTTCTTAAAAATATTGATATATTAAGTTGAATAGTTGACCAACTATATTTTGATTCAATTAATACATGTGTACTGTATCGTTGTGTATCTACATAATGTATAATGTTTGATTTGTTGATATTGTAATGTTTACAGATAAAAGCCCACAGATGAACGAGTTTCTAACCCAGATAAAATCCAACTCTGATCTAACACAAATGTTTGAGAACATACAGAAAGATGTGATGGCAACATCATCAGATACTGTGATCATGGATACAAGTTGAGGACCTGACAATGTTATATAACAGTGTTTCTTCACAATATTACCTGTAAATGTAAAAACTTACTGGGGATTAGAAACTAATGCCCCATATTTCACAGCCATATAAGACTGTTGTTTTTCTTCATCTCTTTGGTTATATATAGTGATAGGATAAATAAATGTCTAATAGGAATGAAATGCTTCAGTAAAAAATAATAGGATGTTCGCTCTGTAGAAAACTCCGGTGTATTTCATGATTTCAAGCATTATCAGGGAAAGGTATGCTTGCTCTCTTTTTTTAATGAAAAACGTTTGAAAGTTGACAATGAAGAACTTTGTAAAAAAAAAATTCATGATACTTCAAGATACTGTATAACTTGATGAATCCTCAGAGTTCATTTCTCATTGTGTAAAACAACATCAGTGGACCTAATGATTAGTTTTTCTAACTTTGACTATTTATTTGTCAAAAAAACAGTATTTGTCATTGATGTAATAAGTATGAGAGCTTGAATTTGAATACAGGATGCTCCATTTTGGTGTGTGTAGCTTTTTCTATTATTGACTTTAAGTAAGAACATTTGATATGTGTGGAAAGTATGTCAGATATGTTTAAATAATGTTACCCTTTTGCTGTCTGAGTCTGTGTTCTTGTAGTTAATATAGATAACTAAATATCTATGGATATTTAAAGTCACTTTGATTCTATTATTTAGAATTATTCAAAATATTTATAACTATACACTATGTACAGAAGTTATAGCTGCATGCCTCCAGATAAGCCAAAATATTTAAAAAGATAAAACTTGAGAAAAATGTACATGTACTTCATTGTAAGAAAAGTAGAAAAAAATCATGATTTGCAATTTATATGCGATAAACAACTGATTTTTTCATGTTTAACTGTATATTTCTACTGATATCTAATGCAATAAGGGCTATTTTTGCATATTTTGACCCCCTTTTGTAGTACTTTAAATGTATGTGGATTGCAAGCACTGTTTACAATTTGTAAATTAATATATAAATAATGTTTGTTTCTTTACAATATTTTATTTTTAAATACATTTTCAAAATGTTCATGACAGCAAGCATGAATCTGGAGGCATACTACTTTAATTGTTTATGTCTGTGTTGGTTATATATTTAGCTATAAGCACTAAACAACATACTGGTATCTGTCCACTTTTGAATGACACTAAGTTTTTTTTAATATATATGCTAAGTGCTGCAGCAAGGCTGCCTTATCTTTAAGTAAGTGCTATATTACTGTTTCTACTTGATCTAGCTTGACTATACATGTATAAGATTGGGGCTTACCATATGTAGTGAGTTTGTTAAGTAGTAATGTGTAATAACATTATAACTGTTGCAGTATCAACTGCAGTTACATCCCACTACTTCTGGGCTGGGGGTGGGGTATAAAGATTTGTATGTCACAGTGTGTCAATATAATTGTACTAAAGATGGTTCAGGTATGTAACAGATGTGTGACATTTTAGAAACGGAAATGGGACACTCAAAATAAAAAAAGCTTTTGAAAAATATTAGCATTTTTAGGCTTAGTGGGCCTTAAAAAAGTTGACAATGAATGGTGTAATTTCAGGACTGTTTTCTGGAACTATAATAATAAAATAATGCTAATTTGATACCTGTATAAACCATGTGACAAACAAGAAGTCGGTATCATTCTACATGTATACAAATTGGTCAAATATGTTAACACAAATATATGTATATGTGTTTCTCTCAATTGTTACTATATGTGATATTAAGTAACTTAACTTGAAATTAAAACTTGGTGTAGTAGTCTATATTCATCTTAAATACATGTATAAATCAAGAATATGCATAATAGATAGGAGTTATAGCCAATGTTGCACATGTGGGAGGTATATTTATATAGGGACTTTGGGGAAAAAACGGCAAAATAATTTATATGTTTGTATTACATGTGTATAATCAAAATGGAAAGATAATGGATTTACAGATTTATTTTATGTAATAAGTTATTTAAAATTGTGAGCACACATTACGCATTCATTCAAATATAACTTAAAGGTCGCTAGTTTAGCGTGGCATATGTGGTTATGGTCACTGAACTGTATCATTTACCACTCACAACTGTGGTTTTTGTACCATGAGAGACTGTGGAATTTTTTCGTGTGAGGGAGTTATCCAGTTCAAACTTGCCAGAGATAATACACGGAGAGGCTCTGCTCTGAAGATGTAACTCACTTTGATAATTTTTGCTTGTATAGTGTTTCCAAACCCTAGTTTATGAAGTGAATGAATGAAAATGGCTACATGAGGCATACAAACCTCTTTATTCAAACTAAAAGTGCTTTTTTCTGCAGTATTTGGTGCATATTTGTTTACTTATTAAAGGCCAAGACATGATAAATTAGAGATTTGTTTAAATATGAATGTGTTGCAATTTTCTTCTTAATTCTTTTGATGAGTAAGTATTGCTTTGTTTAATAAGGAAATTTCAGTGCACATATTTCCTTGAGTGTTACTTTTAATCATGTATACATGTACCTAATCAAATTTAATATATCAACTTACCTTCTCTAATATTCACAATTTAGTTACTTCATATGTTATAATTACAATATAAGTATATAGAAAAGGGCACACAAAAAATGTTCTAGATCTTCCTGATATATCACGTGACTAGCAGATTTGTCACGTGACTTCTATGTACGTGTATATTGTTTTATGTCAGATTAACTCATAGTAACAGATTATGAAATCTTGTGATTGCTTGCAAAATAATTTTGCGGATGTTCAAATCATGGCTTCTTTCAGCATAACATTACACATATTGTAAGTTTTGTATTAACATATATACTGGTATGATATGTTATAATACTACCAGGTTATGTATGTGACATCTTGGTTCCTTTGTTCTCTTCTACCTGTAACTTATGTAACAGTTTTTTTTGTGTTTTTTTATTTGTGAATGGCTGTTAACTATTTTTATAGTTCATGAAATAAATTTAGCTGTAAACACAATTTTTTGGCGTTTATTATTATATGATCACCTTGTTCATACCACTGGTCTTTGATCACATGATCTTGTCTTGTTATCCCAGGTGAGTGATACTTGCAGTCACGTCATCTTGCTATGTAATTAGTTATTAGTCCCCTACCGGTTTAACCGGATGGGACTTTAGGTTTACTGTCTGTCTGTCAGTCCGTCCGTCCACAAAACTGGATCCCGAGATAACGCAAAAAATACTGAAAATATTTTTATGAAACTTGATATATGGATAAATGGCAGTATGGAGATTATGCACATCTTTTTCTTTTCTTTCTATGTTGAAAATTCTGGTTGCTATGGCAACAAATAGACTGAAAATATGGCAAATTTAACACATAAACTGGATCCAGTGATAACTCAAAAAGTACTGAAAATATTTTTATGAAACTTGAAATATAGGTAGATGGCAGTCTGGAGATTATGCACATCTTTTTCTTTTCTTCCTATGTTGAAAATTCTGGTTGCTATGGCAACAAATGGACTGAATTTCAAGATTTCTGATTTGAATTTTTACGCTTTTTCACTATAAGTTCTTTAATTCTTAAGGTGTTTACTTTAAACTTTAAATATAAGTTTCTGGTCATCAACCACATCATATGTGACAAGGTTTACAACTCTAGCTCACAAATTAGCAGAATTACCTCCCTTGAACTTAGAATTTTTATGAATAACTTCTTTTTTTCTTAATGTATCTTCTTCAAACTTCATATATATGTTTCTTATTATCACTCAACATTTGTGAGAAGGTTAAATACTCTAGCAAGACTATTTCCAGAATTATGTCCCCCTTGAACTTACATTTTTTTCTAGAATTTGATATTTTTTACTCCAACTTCTTCATTCCTTATAGGATTTACTTTAAAATCCCACATCGTAATAATATGACAAGGTTCATAAATCTAGAATCCATATTTCCAGAATTATCTCCTCCTTAAACTGAATTTTTCTTATTATGCCCCCACTTCAAAGAAGAGGGGGTATATTGCTTTGCACTTGTTGGTCTGTAGACCAAATGGTTTCCGAGTGATAACTAAAGAACGCTTAGGCCTAGGAACTTCAAACTTGGTATGGTGATTGGTCATGACCAGCAGATGACCCCTATTGATTTTGGGGTCAAAGGATCCAAGGTCAAGGTCACATTGACCTTGTAGGTAAAAACGGTTTCCTTTAAATTACAAAAGAACGCTTAGGCCTAGGAACTTCAAACTTGGTATGGTTATTGGTCATGACCAGGAGATGACCCCTATTGATTTTAGGGTCAAGGGGTCAACGGTCAAGGTCACATTGACCTTGTAGGTAAAAAAAGTTTCCTGTCAATAACTCAAGAATGCTTAGGCATAGGATCTTCAAACTTGGTATGGTGATTGGTCATGACCAGCAGATGGTCCCTATTGATTTTGGGGTCAAGGGGTCAAAGGTCAAGGTCACATTGGCCTTGTAGGTAAAAATGGTTTTTGATCAATAACTAAAGAACACTTAGGCTTAGGAACTTCAAACTTGGTATGATGATTGGTCATGACCAGCAGATGACTCCTATTGATTTAGGGGTCAAAGGTCATGTTGACCTTGTAGGTTAAAACGGTTTCTGATCAATAACTAAAGAATGCTTAGGCCTAGGAACTTGGTATGATGATTGGTCATGACCAGTAGATGACCCCTTTTGATTTTGGGGTCAATGTCATATTGACCTTGTACTTAATGACGGTTTGTGACCAATAACTCAAGTTGTCTTGGTTGATATTTTTATATTAAACTTAAAATGCTTTTGGTATACACATTTGAAGATCTTATGTAGTATAACAACTTGGCTGTCATTAATGAGGCCTACATGATTCATAAAATTTATGCATATATTATTTGTAAGATTTGTTATAACTTTAACTGCTGCACGCAATTGGGGTCACAATAATTATTACCTTGTGACTAGTCATGACCAGTAGATACTAGATAACCCTTATTAATTGTTTGTTCAGTGGGTCAGAAGTCATGCATAATAACCTGATCATATGACTAATTGGCTGCCGATAGGGGGCATACATGTTTTACAAACATATCTTGTTCATTCTTTAACTTCTATTTTTTTCTTCATGGATTTTCTTCAAATTCAAAATAAACATTCATTATCAACACCTACA